TTAGCAGGCCTTTTTTCTGATCATTTGGCTGAGTCAACTGAGGATACATTGCACAAATGTGTAACTTCTCATAGTTATAAAGAATACTGAATACATCACAGTATTGAACTATGGTACACATTTCACATTTGTACATTACACAACAATATATTTATCTATTTAAGTAAAGTAAAGTAAAATTTATGACATCACATCATCACACATGTCTACAAAATATCATCGCACTATGTGAAAAAATATATAATAAATATTTCCCCACCAACATTAATTCGTGAGCCTAAAATCTGAGCGCTTGATGGGGCAGTGATTTATCACTAAATTTACTAAAATTATCCATCCACAATAGTGATTTACAACAGGGCACTTAAACCTCGTGTCTCGGTTCAAACTCAAGCATTAATTGGTAACTGAACTTTGGTGTCTAGTGTCTGCTTGATCGTACTCCTGATATTATTAAATACTAGTGTAATCCGGCCTTCGGCCGGGATTTCACTGCGGCAGTTAAAAGGGTAGGAGTAATTACCCGCTGAGTCAAAACCCGCATTAGGTGACCCAATAAGTAAAATACAATTTTTTAAAGTAAAATACAATTTTTATTTTCCACAGAAGAATCAATACATATTGAATTATAAATATCCGATTATTCCATTAATAATCATTAAAAGTTGCTTTGTAAAATCAAAAACGAAAAGCCGTACGCTGAAAGCCGTACGCTGAACGCGCGCGGTCTCATAATCAGTTCTTTCTTGTGGATAATTAAGTCATTATTAGCCATTAGGCACCACATTCCATGATCATAAGGTCTGAACACCGACTATTACACCTCATTACTCCCTTCTTGAACCGCTTTCCATTTTTATTTAAATCTTTATAGAAATTAACCCTTGTTAACTCCGCAGCACACCCGCCAATTATATTTGAAAACACGCATAACATTGTTGTATGAACTCTCTCTCTCCGCAGTCCAAACAGACCCCAAACACTATCAGTCCCCCCTCCAAGATCAAGGTGCGAGTCAACGACGCTACCTCCCTTGTATTCATCAGCACCAATGGAGGACCCCAAGGTGATAGTGTTTCAGGCCTCTGTTTCACAATCACTCTAGCTGGTGCCTGCTACCACTTGCGTGCCGTGATGCTGCGACCAACCCCCCCTATAAGCCCTAGCGGCATGCCTGAAGAAGATGCCTACTCTGATGACATCGACTATCTTGGTGAAGACAAAGATGCTCTAGAAGCCCTCCTCCCTATCGCTACTAAGGTGTTCAAAGAGTGAAATCTGAATATTAATGAATCAAAGACAGAGTTTGTACACGTCTACATAGCTGGGAAAGAAAGGTCATGGATGATGGTAAACCCCTTAGAATGAATGAAGAATGGTGCAGTAGCAAGTTGTTGGGTTCTCTGCTAGAAAGTAGGAAAGATGTCACCAGAAGAATCATGTTAGCCAATGTAGCATTCCAGAACTTCAAGAAGGTCTGGTGCCAGAGTAAGATCCCCCTACAGAAGAAGCTGAAGGTCTATGAGGCCCAAGTAGTATCTATCCTCATGTATAACTCTAGTTGCTGGGGAATGCCTAAATCGTACTGGGACAAACTAGATGCATGTCACCGTAACCACCTCAGAAAGATCATGAATGTCAGCTGGCCACGCAGTATGATGTCCAAAGATACCCTCTAGAAACAGAGTAACTCTACCCCTATGTCTGAGCGTGCTGAGTTATCTAGGTGGAAGATGCTAGGACACATAATGAGGAGCGATGAAAGATCACCAGCTCAAGCTGCGCTGTGTTTTGCTGTCAAGATGTGTAGTGAAGTTGGTAGACTCGGGGCTCACAGACGTAACCTCCTACACCACCTGAAGGTTGACCTCTGGAAGCGTTTCATCTTGCTGGAGTCGTATGATGATATTCTCCATTTGAGAGAACTTGCTAGTGACCGTGGTTATTGGAGTAAATTGTTTAACTTTATACTTGAGTACAAGTCAATTTGATTATTGGGACATATAATTTTACAAAGGATCACGTTTCGGTTCTAAATTATTTTAGGATTGTTGACATTTGTAAGATTGACATGTTTGATAATAATAAGTCCCCCCTCCCCTAATAAGCTTATGGTATAACATTACAGCGAATCTTCCCGGGCTAACCCATTTATGAGAGACGAGCCCCGTAACTCTTGCCGTTCTGCTCAAGCCATTTTATGTAACATTTGTGGTACAAAACCATCAATTAAACCACTTACCACCTGCCGATTTAAAAAAAATTCACCATTTGACTTCCTCATAGCTTTGTCGGCACTATACCGAAAAAACCGGCCCCATAACTCTTACTGTTTTTTTGATTAAGCCGCTCGGAAATTACACACAGACGAACAGAAAACACACATTCTGGGATTATTAAGGTGATGTATGACTTTTTAGTGAACCAACTTTGCAACCTGGTAGCGTGGCTAGCATGAAAACAAAATAAATTTGTGCCTGGCTTCTACATAACCGTGAATCACTTGCGTTCCAATTATAGCCGTCTGAACTGTGGTGTCTAACGTTTGCAGCTAGATTGGACTCTGATATTAGTAAATGTGTATGATTTTTTAAATATTGAACATACTCTGCAACCTGGTAGCGAGGCTGACACAAAAACAAATGATGGCCTGGCTTGTGCAGTGCATAACCTAGTAAATAACCAGCACTCAGATAAAAGCCGTCTGGAGAAATTCCACAAAATGTTCATTGTAGTCAACGGGCACAAAGAAGCATTACTAGTAATTGTGTCCTTTACCCTCCTACACAATTTGAACATTTTCGTGGCTAATTCATTGAACCATGTCAGACTTAATATGTATTTAGTATTAAACAATTCAGTACAAGTTATCTTTTCATGTACGCTGTACACTGTAGTTAGTAAATGTAAACTAAACTTTTTTGATCAGCCGCGTGCTGAACCAGTGTTGCTAACTAAAAATTGTGTATTTTTTGTACATTTTTATAAAGCGTATGTTATTGCCCAGGGGCCTGTTAATAATTAATGTAAATTAATTTATTAATTTATCACTTTTACACATATCACAAATTATTTTATTATAATGAAACCACTTCTGTGAAATGGTTATTTTGTTTTATTTTTGGAGGGACTCTACAAAAATGTTTGATTCAGTTAAACAAAAGTTTCAGTTAAACAAAAATTTCAATTTTATGCCATTTATTACAGAATAAACAAGTTTACAATAAATCAATTTGATATTTAAAGGAATCCCAATTCAATGTGTAGTATGGTTGTCACTCTTTAAATAGATTAGATATAGGTTGACGGGGCAAAGGAGTGTGCGTGCTGTTCGCTATTGCTCACACCAAACGGCAACCTAGTAAATGTTTTGTATGGACACCGGTCTCCATCACGATACAAAATTAGGATTGTAGAATTTATTGTAATCAACAGGCACAGAAAAGCACTAAGCAATCAGGTCCATTGTTACACAACCTGGACATTATGAGAAGTGTGCTAGTAGCAGTAAGAGGTGTACTTGGGAAGGCAAAGAATTAGAAGGCATGGACTGACCCTATTATGTATATCGAATGTATCCTTCAAAGATATGTTAGCAATTTACAAATAATTGAAAAATATTTTAGAGCAATTTAGAAATAATTGATAAGACCCCATCTTAAATATTCTTAACCAATGTCACAATTCAAATTTGGTATCTATCTGCTGCTCATGGTAGTTAGCGAATTATCATAGAGTTTGAGGGATATGGCATGGCCAGGTGTTTGGTACATAATCTGGTTGCAGTCCACCCCCAACCATCACGTTGGAGACACACTGCTGATTTTTATGCTATAAACCCCCTCGAAACAGCATAGAAAAATTTGATAAACAAACAGTGATGAGTGAACACTGAACATGGAAGAAGAAATAGGAACTAAAACAACAGCAAACATTCATTTGTGCAGTTTTTTAGTTATTTTGAAAGATTGGATCAAGTCAAATTGTAATGGATTGTGTTTGGCATTTTAAAATACAATTGTCCTACAAAAATGGGAGCTCTAGCTACTCAGATGACTGAGATATCAAGCAAAAAGGGTTGACACTAGATCCACGCTATAGGAATTCTGCAGAAAGCCCAATTACGATGTCATAGTGTATGCTATCACATGATTATTGATTACCCAATCAATTTTGTTAGCGAGATGAACAAATTGCTTGAAAATCTGTTTCATGTCGTCTTTTCAGATCATATTCCACATTTCTTCTTCTTCTGATTGGTCAGCGTCTCCTGCTGCTGGAGAGAGAAAATACTCCACATTTAATGACCTATTGCGATATATTAAAATGGAGTATCAACCATGTTCGCAAATTGGGTGTGGCCTCTAAAAATCGAATTTGCACTAACTTTATGCCCCCGTGTATATTATATTATTATGTGTATTATATATAATACACATTGCCAAACATCATTCACAGAACTTTATAGCATTCGAAACGAAACGAAACGAAACACTAAATTTACTACCCCGCTCGTATGCGACAAAGATATTGCATAAAATATACCTAAATAATTTACACAATACGGTGCCCATGTCTGAGCGGCTCTCCACAAAAACTTTCTCTCCTCCTCAGAGCAGAAAGTTTTTTTTTAAATATATAAACTGGGATCTCATAAAAATTTAAGAACCAATGTACTTTATTTGACAATAAAAGATAAAAAATTGTGTCACACCTAAGGTTTATAAACTACTAAGACGTGCGCCGAGTTAGACTCGTCGACGGTCTTATATAATTAGAACAAAAAATTTACGAGTATCACCCGTTAAGTCACACACAAGAAAAACATTCTCAAACTTTGCAGACATCATTATATTATAATAGAACTAGAAACCTTCTATGGCAGAGGAATCTGGAACTTAAACTTAAATATAGAAATGAACCACTTACTAAATCTGTACATTCTACATTACTTGATATTATAAAATAAATTATTGTGAACCTGTTCAACTAAACCTCATTATTATTAGATAATATATATGAACAGAGATGAGTATGAAACCAACCTCAAGTAAGAAGGAAAGTCAGAGCATGAGGATTGCTTTTGAGGTAATGAAACAAATATTTTAATTGATCAGATAAAAGTTATCTATAGATATATGATACAATTGAATCTTGATTATTAATTATGGACAATTTAGTTTTTGATTTTAAGATTTTAATGAGCAATTTGTGCCTGTTATTGATTTATTAAATGTGCAATGTGCATGGTAGTTCAACTTTAGATAATCGTAGAGACATAAGACAGTAGGGCCAGTCGTGATATTATGGATCTTATTAAGATAGCCTTCACATACCTTCAACTGAGGCAATTTCCCTTGAAACACTCAACAGCTTTTAACCTGATAACACGTGATAACCCGTGGTAACCTGATCTCCAAGGAAACTTTCCAGAATATTGCCGTTATTTTCACTTGTTGTCGTTCCAAAACGCTTCCAATTAGTAAGTTGCAACACAACAACTACTGAGTTGTCTAATTAGCTGACCACTGAAGTAGACATTAAGAGGTAGTAGTAGTATTTAAACTAGTTAAAACAGTTTCAGGGAACCGACTAAGCAAGGTTCACAGTAAATAGTGTTTTACTACTTACACAACACCTGGTAACACCTAGTAACACCTGTTAACACCTAGTAACACCTCGTAACACCTGTTAACACTTAATAACACCTGGTAACACGTGGTATTTATCTTCAGATGAACATGGACGAGTCCTATGTGCAGTCTATGCTGGACTTGTTGGAGGACGCAATAAGGACCATTCAGAACAAAGACAATGGGGGGCTCAGCTACGAGGAGCTCTACAGAAACGCTTATACGTTAGTTTTACACAAACACGGCCCCCGCCTCTACAAACTAATGAAGGAGGTTATTGAGGAACATCTCAGAAAAGAAGTAAGGATTTACTGATAATTAAGTACTAATTAATTACTAATTATAACTGATAATTGGAGGGAGGTGTGGGATATTAGTTATTTATTTGGAAAATTCTATAAAATAACGGCAAAATCGCGGTGGTCCCAATCGTTAAATCAGTTATATTATAGAATGTACTCAACTGTAATAATAGGAACAAACGTGTGATGAATGTTTCTAGTTCGTAAGTCGTAACCTACAATAATCATTCTCATCGTGTTTCGGTGCAAAATGTATAATTTCCAATACACGTTCACTGAATGTTTGAAAGTGTAACATTTTTTAAGGTTTCAACTCACACCCATGTTGTAATGAGTTTCGATAATCGACCCATGGTCCGACTTACAAATTGTAGATTAAGGGGGCCAGGGCGGGTCTTCATGACAATTCTCTTGAAATTGAGTTTATAGTTGTTTGTGATAGAGGGGAGTGATATCCTGTGATATGAGTAATTGTATTGTGCAAGCGATTTTCAATCGGGCCTCCTATCAATCGGGCCTCCTATCCTGGAAATCGAGTCTAAAAATCTATCTTCTCCTAAATTTTTGAGCAATCACCCCCAAACTTTCAAAAGGTCTTTCTCAAAATTCTGGCTGAAATACAATTAAACATAAGCAGTGACCTTTGACCGGCGATAACTTCCACTAGGAACAATATTTTTCCATGGGACCGAAAGCAGCTGATAGATATCACTCCCCTCTATCACAAACAACTATAAACTAACTACTATAAACTCAATTTCAAGAGAATTTTTAATAACACAGACCTCTTTAAAACCCACGATTTATTATTGATGTGGTTAATTTTAAAAGGTTGAAATTTAACTGGATTGTACTTGTACGCTGTTTTAATGTGTCGTTAATAACATCGCTAACACTATACATATTGTAAATTGTCATTCCATTTGGGCATGTGATTCAGCAAATAGCAACGTGTACAATGACATAATGAACATGTATTCTGGGTGTTACTAGTTTAACTGAAAGTACACTTCAATATTTTATATATATTCCCCAAATATAGCTGTTTTAACATGCTGCTCCTTTGTAAAATATTTTAACATGATACCGCCCCCTGTCTAGCCCGTGATGCTATTCTTAGCTAGGCAGTGCACCGGGTTTGTTTTGACACGTGACGTACAGGTAGTTGCTAGGTGCTGTCTCGTGCTTTAACGCTAATAGTAGCTAGTTGTAGATACGGTTGGAGTACATGTTATTTTCTTTGTAATTATTGTCACAAAATATACGGCACAATTTATTTTGAGTGCTATATTATCATTGAAATAGTAGGCAAGAGGGATCAGAAATCTTTGTACGTAATCTATTTTTTTCAGGTCAGAGAGATAGTTCAGAAATCGTTGTACAATAATTTCTTGGCTACTTTGAATACACAGTGGCAAGATCATAAGGTTTCAATGCAAGTAATTAAAGATGTCTTTATGTATATGGTGAGTTGAATAATTATAATAAGTATTCTATTCTAATATTCATGTGGTGGTACATGTGACATTACTAAGTTTAAGTATTCGAATGATTTCCAAAAACTGCTTTCATTTTGTAAAACTGTTTGTTTGACGATCTTCATAACAGGATCGCGTATACGTAAAGAATAACAAAGTTGACGAAGTACAAGATCTCGGATTAAAATTGTTTAAAGAATTGGTAAGTTTTTCACACTCACGATGTTTCTCAAATGATTTACTTTCTGATTTGTTGTAAACCGGGACGGTGGATCTCAGATAGTTTTTATCACTCAGCAAGTTTCTCAACGAAGTAATCTTGAGGAGTTAGAATCTAATTGTTAAATAAGTTCGCAAAGAAATGTTTTCGAAATGTCATGTTTTAAATTCTTGCAACTTGGTGATTTGTGTTGTTCAGGTAGTGAACCATCCAGCTATAAAAACTCATCTTACATCGACTCTGTTGGATATGGTTTCAAAAGAAAGGAGGGGTGAAATAGTGGATAGGTCAGTAGTTAAAATAGTCACACGTGAGGTGAAACGAATTAGATCACAGGACCCTACATTATGAGGACTCTCGCGCGGCTCAGATGCGCGTTATAAATGCTAACAACTAGAACTTTTTAGTGATTCTTATGGAAAGTATAACCAACGCGCACGTCCGTTTACTGTGACGCGCATCAGTGAATTCATTGTGTATTTCGCTGTCAGGGGTGCAGTAAAGGCGACCTGTGAGATGTTGATGGCTCTCGGAATAAAAACAAGAACAGTTTATGAAGAAAACTTCGAGCAGCCTTTCCTGGAGGTTTCAGGAGAGTTCTTCAAGGTAAGCAGCGTATTTATTAGTTAAACTTATTGGCTTCCCTTCTTAACTTGTCATCATAAGATCACACTGTAGGTCATGTTTTCCCAAAAGTGTAGCATTTTAAGCCGAAATTAAAGAATGTAGTAAAATTATTCATCTAACCTCCAAAGAGTGTCCAGAGGAATAGTTTCCTTGAACTTTGTTGTAGGCGACTGATAAATTGGCAATTAGCCAATTATAACTGCATAATTCAGTTAGATTGAGTCAGTGTGCGGTATTTGTAAAGCGTGTAGAGCATTTGTAATCTAAACAATGTTATCTATAGTATATCCTAGAATGTTTTCTCACTTTGCAACATATTTCAGATGGAGAGCCAGCAGTTTTTAGCAGAGAACAGTGCTTCAGTCTACGTTAAGAAGGTACGGGCTGTTGAAACTCATAACTAAAACCAGCTGCATCGAGGAGACTGCCACACTTGTCTCATTCCCAGTCTAGACAATTCTAGCAGTTATTAAGATTGTGATTATTGTGCTAGCAGTTATTACGATTGTGATTATTGTTCTAGCAGTTATTACGATTGTGATTATTGTTCTTGCAGTTATTACGATTGTGATTATTGTGCTAGCAGTTATTAAGATTGTGATTATTGTGCTAGCAGTTATTACGATTGTGATTATTGTGCTAGCAGTTATTACGATTGTGATTATTGTTCTAGCAGTTATTACGATTGTGATTATTGTTCTTGCAGTTATTACGATTGTGATTATTGTGCTAGCAGTTATTAAGATTGTGATTATTGTTCTAGCAGTTATTACGATTGTGGTTATTGTTCTAGCAGTTATTACGATTGTGATTATTGTGCTAGCAGTTATTACGATTGTGGTTATTGTTCTAGCAGTTATTACGATTGTGATTATTGTTCTAGAAGTTATTACGATTGTGATTATTGTTCTAGCAGTTATTACGATTGTGATTATTGTTCTAGCAGTTATTACGATTGTGATTATTGTTCTAGCAGTTATTACGATTGTGGTTATTGTTCTAGCAGTTATTACGATTGTGGTTATTGTTCTAGCAGTTATTACGATTGTGGTTATTGTTCTAGCAGTTATTACGATTGTGATTATTGTTCTAAATACTACTATCTTTCAGGTGGAGGCCCGCATAAAGGAGGAAGCTGAGCGGGCTAAACATTACCTCGACCTCAGCAGTGAGGGCCCCATTACAAACGTGGTGGAACGGGAACTTATATCCGTGCACATGAAGACTATTGTTGAGGTTTGTGATCAGTCAACCAGTCTTATCATGTTTATCAGTCAACTTTAAACATCACAGCTAGATGCTAACATGTGATTTCTGGAGAAGTGCCAATAATAAAGTTACCCAATTACAGTTCCTTAGTGTCAGCTAATCACGTTAATGTCCCGTATAAGAGAGTAGAATTGTGGACAACAAAACTTATCTACAGTAGGTCTTCATGAGGTAGTCTTTAAAATGTGATGAATAATGTAGTTCAGGAGACTGATATTATACACTTCTTCTTCTTCTTCTTCTTCTTCTTCTTCTTCTTCTTCTTCTTCTTCTTCTTATTCTTCTTCTTCTTCTTCCTCTTCTTCTTCTTCTTCTTCTTATTCTTCTTCTTCTTCTTCTTCTCCTTCTTCTTCTTCTTCTTCTTCTTCTTCTTCTTCTTCTTCTTCTTCTTCTTCTTCTTCTTCTTCAGTCGTGCACTTACACACATTGTTTTACATCCTGCAAACAATATAAAAACTCTGATTTGCGGTGTGGTACAATCTGTAGACACGTGGTGTGACGTCATAACACGTGGTGTGACGTCATTAGTGTAATACAATGTGTAGATAACCACAGTACACTTTCAGATGGAGAATTCAGGAGTAGTGTACATGTAGATAACCACAGTACACTTTCAGATGGAGAATTCAGGAGTAGTGTACATGTAGATAACCACAGTACACTTTCAGATGGAGAATTCAGGAGTAGTGTACATGTAGATAACCACAGTACACTTTCAGATGGAGAATTCAGGAGTAGTGTACATGTTAAATAACCACAGTACACTTTCAGATGGAGAATTCAGGAGTAGTGTACATGTAGATAACCACAGTACACTTTCAGATGGAGAATTCAGGAGTAGTGTACATGTTAAAGAATGATAAGCAGGACGATCTGAAGTGTATGTACGGGCTGCTACAACGAGTGGAGGGTGGTTTACTTTGTATGTGTGATGCTATGAAAGGTGGGGAGTTTGTCTTTTTATAATGTCATGACTCAAGCAGTTGAGTCATGACTTTACCAGTTTTAAAAATTTGAAACGTTTTACTAAAATAGATCTATATTGCAATGTAGATAATGTCAGATCAGCGGTACTAAAATCAAAAGAGAAATCAGTTTTCAAACCAAAAAGTATCAAAACTGGTTAATGAGGAGGTTACACAGTTCTCAAAATAATTACCATATTTATTATTCAATAATAACTAATTAACTAATTAACTAACTAACTAATTAACTAATTGTGTTCAGGATACATAAGGGAGTGTGGTAAGACACTGGTGGATTCCGAGGGAGATATCAATAACACAGTAACGTACGTACAGAGCTTGCTGGATCTGAAAGAGAGGTTTGATCAGTTCCTCAAAAACTCGTTCGGTAACGATCACACCTTCAAGCAAGCCATCTGCTCGGTTAGTCCAATTTATTGATCAATTTAACGATTTGTTAATAATTTGAGTAATTTATGTGTCTACATTTTGACACAGTGTCAGACATTTGAAATATAACTCTTTCAAGAAGAAAAATGTTCGTAATAAACCTTTCCCAGGAATTCGAGCATTTCCTGAACCTGAACCCTAAATCTCCAGAATACTTATCACTATTTATTGACGATAAATTAAAGAAAGGAACTAAAGGGGTGAGTCTTAGAAACTTAATTCAATTAATTTAATTTAATTTAATTAAAAATGTAATTAAACTAAATCTCGAATAATAAAACTTGTGTGGTTTTAAAATGCTGTATCTAATTAATTGTCTCCTGTATAATTGATTCCTATAAAATTAATTAACTTAATCCCGTTTTCAGTTGTCAGAGCAAGATATCGAGAGGGTGTTCCTATAAAATTAATTAACTTAATCCCGTTTTCAGTTGTCAGAGCAAGATATCGAGAGGGTGTTGTAATTAATTAACTTAATCCCGTTTTCAGTTGTCAGAGCAAGATATCGAGAGGGTGTTGGACCAGAGTATAGTTTTGTTTAAATTCCTCGTTGACAAGGACGTGTTCGAGAGGTGGGTAAAATACTACTAAATAATCCATTAATAAACTAATTTATCACTTAGTTCAGTCAACTGGGGTTCAGTAACCTGATCGTGAAGATAAAGTTATTTTACGCTCTAATTGATTAAATTACATTAATTAACATAACTAAAAAGACATTAAAGATAAATTAACATTTAACTAAAAAGACATTAAAGATAAATTAACATAACTAAAAAGACATTAAAGATAAATTAACATAACTAAAAAGACATTTAAGTTGATAACAAGGCCCTGAATCTCAGGTATTACAAACAACACTTAGCAAAACGTCTGCTCAATCACCGCTCCGTTTCTGACGATGCTGAAAAGAATATGATATCAAAACTCAAGGTAATTATGTTATACCATTATACAAAGAACTGTCACTTGCCCTTCACAAAATGTTACTTGAATGCGGTAACTTAAAATGTGAACAATTTCACTCCTTAAATCACCCGCGCGCTCAATACAACATGTAATTAACTAATTGTAATACATTGCTCAATTATCAAGTTGAAGGATTACTCCTGTGAAGGATTACTCCTGTGTAAGCTATTAATTAATTAATTAATTAATTAATTAATTAATTAATTAATTAAACCTCCAGACCGAGTGTGGTTGCCAGTTCACATGTAAACTGGAGGGAATGTTTAAGGACATGAGTATCTCTAACTCTGTCAATGAGAAGTTCAGGGAAGTCACTAAAGACATGCCTCCCCTCTCTATTGATCTTAATGTCAGGGTTCTCACTACTGGTGAGACTGCTAATTGACTTATTAATTAATTCGTCGTTTAATTTAGAAAATTTGATCATCACGTAATGTTTTAGATTTGCCAAGAAATTCCCGAATTTCTTTAATTGTGTTGTCTCACAAAGTAATAATGTTAACCAGTTCTGGATAAAATATCAAAAAGCTGAATAATAATCTCCGATTTTAAACCATTATTTTATTTCCCAGGTTACTGGCCTATCTCCCCGTGGTGTGACGTCATAACACGTGGTGTGACGTCATAACACGTGGTGTGACGTCATAACACGTGGTGACTATTAAACCATCATTTTATTTCCCAGGTTACTGGCCTATCTCCCCCTGCAAGGTCACATCAAAACTTCCCAAAGAAGCTGAAATAGCGTTTGAGCGTTTCAAGACCTTCTACCTAAAGGACCACAGCGGCAGACAGTTAAACTTGCAGCCTCACTTGGGACAGGCTGATATTAATGCCATATTCTATCAGAAGAAGGACGATGTAGTGTCTCCTAAACGTCACATTTTACAGGTCAGTTACCTAGCAACCTAGTTTCCTAGCAACCTAGCAAGTTTGCTAGCTTTAGTTTGCTCGTAGCCCCGCTAATTCTATGTATAATATGATAGTAGTGCACCCCCCCCCTCTAATAGCATCTAAAGCTGAAGCCAGAGTAACCACGTTACCATGTTGTCCAATATTTCCTCTCGATCTCATGTAAAATAACCAAAAACGATCTGTTCTATGATATTTGCAACATTCCGTTCGATATCTGAATCTAATTATGTAATTATATAATTATGTAATTATGTAATTATCTCAGGTGTCAACATATCAGATGTGTATTCTAATGTTGTTCAACAGACAACAGTCCTATACGTACAAGGACATAGAAACAGAGTCAAACATCCCAGAAAAGGTTAGATTATTGTAGTTTATTGTAGATTATTGTAGATTAATGTAGATTATTGTAGATTATATTGTAGATTATTGTAGATAACTTAACATTTTTATATTGATATCATAATTCTGAAGTTATGATTTCTATAAGTATAATTCGATCGTCTATAAGTATAATTCGTGTCAAAGTTTCAAGTCACGTGTCAAAGTGTGACGTCACGTGTTAAAGTGTGACGTCACACGTTGAACTGTCCTCATTTCAGGAGTTGAAGCGAGCCCTCCTCTCTCTTGCAGTAGGAAGAATACAGCAGCGAGTTTTACAGAAGAACCCTAAAACGAAGGAGATTGCTTCTACAGACGAGTTTACTATAAACGATCAGTTCTCCTCGAAACTCATTCGCGTCAAGATTCAAACTGGTATTTTCCTTTTCTTACTGTATTTGTCAAATCTCACATCCTTATTTGTACAATTACCGTGATGTAAATCTCCTTATTACGAATTCCAGAACGGTAACAGAAACTTCAGCTCGACTAATATAATACAGGGTGGCCCATAAGTGACTACCCACACGCAACCTCTTAATAACTCACGTAATTCGTCTCCAAATTGCACCAAAATTTCAGAGATTATAGATATGGGTCAAACTTAGATTTCCTGAAAGTTTCGTAAGCCACGCCCAATTACAGTGGGCGTGGCGTGACACTCCCTCTTTTTCACTATTGTCTTCATAAAATGAGAAAGCTTTAAGCTAAGAACTCAAAATTTTTTGCACACATTTGGCTTGATAATTGAAAACTTTTCCAAAAGTTTCAAGTTCATTGGTTAAAATATGGCTGAGTTATGACCATTTTAAAATCCATCGGATATGTGATCCGAGCACTCAGTCAGTGATATTTGCACTCAATTATATATATATAATATATATATATAATAGAATAATCTAGTGATAATAAACTCATGAAACTGTAAATGACGGCTAAACGTTTCAGCGATAGCGTCTAAATCGGAGACAGACCCTGAGCGCCAGGAGACGAGGCAGCGGGTGGATGATGACAGAAAACACGAGATAGAGGCCGCGATAGTGAGGATAATGAAGGCGAGGAAGGAACAGGAGCACAACGTGCTCATAGCTGAGGTAAGATAGCTGAACACGACGTGCTCATAGCTGAGGTAAGATAGCTGAACACAACGTGCTCATAGCTGAAGTAAGATAGCTGAGCACAACGTGCTCATAGCTGAGGTAAGATAGCTGAACACAACGTGCTCATAGCTGAGGTAAGATAGCTGAACACGACGTGCTCATAGCTGAGGTAAGATAGCTGAACACAACGTGCTCATAGCTGAAGTAAGATAGCTGAGCACAACGTGCTCATAGCTGAGGTAAGATAGCTGAACACGACGTGCTCATAGCTGAGGTAAGATAGCTGAACACGACGTGCTCATAGCTGAGGTAAGATAGCTGAACACAGCGTGCTCATAGCTGAGGTAAGATAGCTGAACACAACGTGCTCATAGCTGAGGTAAGATAGCTGAACACAACGTGCTAATAGCTGAGGTAAGATAGCTGAACACGACGTGCTCATAGCTGAGGTAAGATAGCTGAACACAGCGTGCTCATAGCTGAGGTAAGATAGCTGAACACAACGTGCTCATAGCTGAGGTAAGATAGCTGAACACGACGTGCTCATAGCTGAGGTAAGATAGCTGAACACGACGTGCTCATAGCTGAGGTAAGATAGCTGAACACAACGTGCTCATAGCTGAGGTAAGATAGCTGAACACAGCGTGCTGATAGCTGAGGTAAGATAGCTGAACACAACGTGCTCATAGCTGAGGTAAGATAGCTGAACACAGCGTGCTCATAGCTGAGATAAGATAGCTGAACACAACGTGCTCATAGCTGAGGTAAGATAGCTGAACACAACGTGCTCATAGCTGAGGTAAGATAGCTGAACACAGCGTGCTCATAGCTGAAGTAAGATAGCTGAACACAACGTGCTCATAGCTGAGGTAAGATAGCTGAACACAACGTGCTCATAGCTGAGGTAAGATAGCTGAACACAACGTGCTCATAGCTGAGGTAAGATAGCTGAACACAACGTGCTCATAGCTGAGGTAAGATAGCTGAACACAACGTGCTCATAGCTGAGGTAAGATAGCTGAACACAGCGTGCTCATAGCTGAGATAAGATAGCTGAACACAACGTGCTCATAGCTGAGGTAAGATAGCTGAACACAACGTGCTCATAGCTGAGGTAAGATAGCTGAACACAGCGTGCTCATAGCTGAAGTAAGATAGCTGAACACAACGTGCTCATAGCTGAGGTAAGATAGCTGAACACAGCGTGCTCATAGCTGAGGTAAGATAGCTGAACACAACGTGCTCATAGCTGAGGTAAGATAGCTGAACACGACGTGCTCATAGCTGAGGTAAGATAGCTGAACACAGCGTGCTCATAGCTGAGGTAAGATAGCTGAACACAACGTGCTCATAGCTGAGGTAAGATAGCTGAACACAGCGTGCTCATAGCTGAGGTAAGATAGCTGAACACGACGTGCTCATAGCTGAGGTAAGATAGCTGAACACAGCGTGCTCATAGCTGAGGTAAGATAGCTGAACACAACGTGCTCATAGCTGAGGTAAGATAGCTGAACACAGCGTGCTCATAGCTGAGGTAAGATAGCTGAACACAGCGTGCTCATAGCTGAGGTAAGATAGCTGAACACAGCGTGCTCATAGCTGAGGTAAGATAGCTGAACACAACGTGCTCATAGCTGAGGTAAGATAGCTGAACACAACGTGCTCATAGCTGAGGTAAGATAGCTGAACACAGCGTGCTCATAGCTGAGGTAAGATAGCTGAACACAGCGTGCTCATAGCTGAGGTAAGATAGCTGAACACAACGTGCTCATAGCTGAGGTAAGATAGCTGAGGTTTTGAGGTTTGGGTAATGTTCTGGCAGCTAAGGTTAGTACTTAGTATATAGGAACTGTGTGACGTCACGTGAGAGGGTGTGTGACTTCACGTGAGAGGGTGTGTGGCGTCACGTGAGAGGGTGTGTGACGTCACTCATGTGATCTTCTAACGCTGATATATCCTCAGGTTACAGGTTTACTGAAGTCCCGCTTCATGCCCTCCCCATCTGCTATCAAGAAGCGAATAGAGAGCCTCATCGAGCGAGAATATCTCGTCAGATCGCCCAACGACAGGTTTGGTTTTGTGATTAGTTCAATGCAAATCTTACACCTCTGGTTACCATGGTTACAACCTCTCAATAGACAAATATAGCAGGCTCGTCATTCACTCACATGAAAATAATTTATTTCTTCTAGCACCGCCTTATCTAACTGTTAAATTTCAGGAAAGTATACATGTATCTAGCTTGAAGTGGCTACAATAATCTACATCTCTAACTTTGTCGTACAAAAAGAACAGTTTTCTTTCGCCAGCGATCTCTCAGTTTGCCTGGAGAATAAATGTTTCAACTTTGATGGACCAATCAGCTAATTGCTAATTAGCTAATTGCTAATCAGTTAATTGCCCAATTAGCTGAAAGATGGCCAGAGATTATAGTCTAGGATTTCGTGTTAACAGGTCGACAATACTGTGAATGTTATATTAATTGATTACTATCAATTATTGTAAATTGGTATTAATTAGTTGGTACGATTATATATTTGAGATGTGTGAAAGTGAAGAGCTTTTATTGAGAAAGAAAAGATTAAAACTATTATAGATTTGAAATTCCGAGGTTGCACTTTCATTGTTGAGGCGCGCTTTCGTTGCACGTGCAATTGTGTAAAGCACACTTACGCCGCGCATCGACTACATGGGGTGTTACCGTGACAACTGCGCAACATCTCGGTTGTAGAGGGTTTACTGTCAGATAATATTTCTTTAGAGAGGAGAGATAATATTTAGGTTATAGTAATTTGTGGTTAAAGTTTACGGGTTATTTTTGAAAATGATAAGCTGTACTTTGAACTGTAAATACGTTTAGTTGCATCTTGTTGAGGAGAATTTGAGTTTATTTCCCGTTTTAAACTTGATAGTGACATGACGAGCAGTGGGAAAACAATTTGTCATGACGTCACACCACGTGTCATGACGAGAAGAGAACAATTTGGCGGCGACTTTTTATATATCGTGTTTATATTTAAGTAACGACTTTAACAGAAACACTCCTAGTGTCACAAAATCTAGTTTAGAACCTACGACAATCACACCACGTGTCATGACGTCACGCCACGTGTCATGACGTCACACCACGTGACAATTGTCGTTTTTTGTGTACCGTATGGACATTGGACATGTTGAGCATGGAAACGTTTCTTGCAAACTTTTATGATGTAATTTGTAAATAACTATAATGATACTTGTTCATCAACAAACTGTTTATTTAATAAAAAAAGCAGGATACAGAAGTTGCTTTCATCCCAACCACTAATTCTTAATCATTATCTTATAATGAAACTCATGTGTACATTTGAAAAATCTACACAAATATGGACAATCTAAATGGTATTGTTGGCCTAATAGCTGACAAAATGTATATCGAAAGAAAAACTTGTTTTTGTTCCCAACATTTAGCCGATGTTGGCTACATGTTGGCGACTATTAGTTTTGAGTAATATGTTGTCCGCACTTAGCTTTTAAAACTACAATGTCTGTCAAATCACTATGATCGATTCCTTATCCGCTGTATTTTCGGATGGCTGCTTTGCAGTACTTGATTCCCTGCGTTCCTTCGAAAGAGCTGGTCAATCGAGCGTTGTAATGGATGATGTGACCAGTGCTGTCGCAAATCCCGTAGGCATGGGTAGGTGTATCCTTCTTCTGACCGTACTGTCTTGTAGCTTCTTTGAGTTTGTTCACCTTGAAGTCCACTACCAGACCCCCAGCCCCGTTGTTACCGCTCCCCCAATAGTTGGACCGGTAGATGATGTAGTAGGGACCGAAGTATTTGCCGTCATCCGGCTCTATGCCATGGTAATCCTTGTTCAGTTCCACACCTATGTCTTTGAAGATTGATTTCACTTCTTTGATCATGTCTGCGTCTACCGTCACACTTGGTCCTGACATGACTTGTCTTCCTTGAAATTATGTCATTTTTTAGATTTATCAGTGCACTCAAAGACCTCCGATATTTCGTATAAAGTTATTAAGTCAATTGCTCTTAATTGTTAATAAAAATAGCCACGTTTTCATTCTTTAGTATTAACAAGTAAAGTGGAAAAGTCGTTGTCAATTGTACGCGCTGTAAAAGTAATTTTTACAAATCTAAAATATACAAAGCCAGAAAGAGAGAGAGACACACACACAATAACTACCAACAGTACTGAACAAATGAGGATCGCAACAGAACAGACATCAACAGACAACATTCAACACCTTATTGTATTTAAATTAATAAATATAGATGATCTGAGATCAGTGATCACTGCGCTGAATTGCCAATCAAATCGCATAGAGACCGCAAAACAAAACAAAGTTGGTACTGTTGTTTGTTGTTGTAGTTTTGAATTGTCAATGTTTAGTTTAAGCTGAATTAGAATAACACTTGATTTAGGATGATGATTAATCACTCTACACTCGACTGGCAGGTGACTTTTTCAACCCGTTCTCTAGCTGGTCTTGAATGACTATTCGAAACCCTAACCCTCTAATCTGATCCCAATCCTCAACAAAAGCATATGCTGAAACCCTAACCCTAACGAGAAATTAGACTAACTTCCTTATACGGTCATATCACGTGATCGAGACAGTTTTTTGCCAATATCTCGTCAGGGGAGCATTTTAACCCTATGTCATGGGGGTTGATTCGGAATCAGCGTCCGAAAATACATCGATTGAAGTTAGTTTCAACTGTCGGGGCCCTTTTAGATCAATCTCAAAAATCGACTGTAGAGTGATTTAGCACGCTCGCTTGATGTAATTGTAGTAAATGATACGAGCTTGCTAAATCATTACTTTAGAGTTAGTCGCCATTTGATTCACGATGTCAATCCTTCGCAGCTTGGTGAGGCACAGTGGTGCATCTCGCCGATCTACCGAAGAGAAGTGTGGTTGCGAGAAGAATTATTTGATGCGCGGCGCGACCCAGTAGTGCATCGCGCTACAAGTCGCCATGAGTTGGCACAGAATTTGTTGTCTCCAATTTTTATAAATTTGGTACTAAAAGTTGCCTCAAAGTGTGAATAATCAATGATACTTGTTGATTCACGATGTCAATCCTTTGCATCTCGCCGATCTGCATAAGTGGTTGCGAGAAGCATTATTGGATACGCGCGCGACCCAGTAGTGCATCGCGCTACAATGATACTTGTAGCGCGATGCACTATAATACTGGGCCGCGCGCGCCGCGCATCTAATAATTCTTCTCGGTAGATCGACGAGATGCACCACTGGGCCTCACCAAGCTGCAAAGTTAACAGTTAAAGATTGACGTCGTGAATCAAAAATAATACAAACAACAAATTCACTGTGCAGCACGATAAGGTCGAGCTGTATCTGGGCCTCGATCCTGTGCATTGCAAGACGCAAGTGCGTAAAAAGGACGAACAAAATAGATAATATAATGTCTCGCTTAAATTTTGGTACCGCAAAATTATGATATTTGAAGGACCGACCAAATTTTTAAATTTTTATTTCACACAAGGGGGAACCCTTTACTATTTGGGGACTTAGGGGTCGTTCTTACTGGGCCGCGCGCAGCCTGTCATTCCGCCTAATCTCTATTCGGTTGTTTATGAACATAATAGCCTGAGGTCCCCAGGTAAGGGTCGTTCATATATTACGTAATCAATATTTGACCAGAACCCATAATTTAATCATGGGTAGAGTGGACCGCTGCCAGTGTCCCTCTTTCCCCTACCTGGGGACCTCAGGCTATTATGTTTATAAACACGCCGAATAGAGATTCGGCGGAATGACAGGCTGAGCGCGGCCCAGTAAAGCAAAAATTAGTGGCATGCAACTTGTAGCGCGATGCACTACTGGGTCGCGCGCGCATCAAATAATGCTTCTCGCAACCACTTCGGTAGATCGGCGAAATGCACCACTGTGCCTCACCGAGCTGCGAAGGATTGACATCGTGAATCAAGCATGCAACGTATTTCAACAAAATCAAATCACGGTAAATTACAAAATACATTTTTTGTCGCTGAATGGCTGGCGCATGGCGTGTGCCAGCCATCAGAACTTTAAATGAAGTAAAATAATTATTTTTCTAAAATGTTGTCTTTCTAAATAAATTACAAAAAACTAATTTTTGGCAAAAAATTAGGCTTATATATATTACAAATTACGTTACCTGGGGACCTCAGGCTATCATTTTCATAAACATATGAACATAATAGAACAGAATAGAGATTAGGCGGAATGACAGGCTGAACGCGCGGCCCAGTAAAAATTAGTTTTTCAATTAGTAAATGATTCAATTTTGTTGGCTTGCGCTTATCAACAATTAAAATGTGAATACAAATAGTTTAAACACAATACAAATTAACATTTTCATTTAAAAAATGAAATAAATTTTGAAAATTTTTCTTGGATAAAAATCAAACAATCACAAATCAAATATTAAAGTTTAAACTTTATTTTTGGTACTTAAGTGCCAGTTGTAAGCTTAAAATTTGTAATACATTATATGGAACGATCTTATTTAAATTTATTCAATACAATCATAAACTATATATATTTATTTATTATAAATCTTTACTCCACTCCATTATTTTCCATAAAAAATTTGATTATTAACGGATCCGGAAAAGTCAATGCGGCACTCGGGTCCTTGGTATTGTCGTCGGTATATTGTCCATTATCTACGTTCTGCTTTCATAGTTCAAACAATAGTGAGTTCTAAACATAAATATAACAGCTTTAAACCGACTAAGTATGAATGAATGAAATACCTGACAATCTACACTCCTATAAAAATTAAAAAAGCATGAGTAACTCGTAGTGATGTATGATTTCTAGAAAGTTTAAATTAAATTTGGCGCTCACAGGTCCTCGTGATCATGTGATCGCCGCATAATGTTCTGTAAATGCGCAGGGCACCTTCAAGCTTAAATTATTCACCATACTGAGGCCAGAGGCAGTCAACCAACGTGCGGCTTTATTTTTATGATATGATATCTCATTAAACTATATAAAAAAATAAGTATAAAGAATAAGGAAAAGGAACGGGAATGAAGCCAATACCAGAAGTGAAACCCCACCAAAGAATAATTGATCCTTAGGTAGACCTGGTGAAATAAAGTAACTGAACTGTAAGTTTAAGAAAAGACGGAAGGAATAAAGGAGAGAGGAAATAATGTTATGTGAACATCATCAGCAGATGACTTGGCACACCGGTTTCGGGGGTTTAATACCTGTACCGGTTTAATGTGCCAAGACCCCCTAGCAATCACTCGTCAGTGATCACCTGTTCACGTTAAATGTGATGTCAAGGATGTCGCTGACATCAAGTATACTGTATTTGTACAGAATACTAGGTCGGTCTTTCAGAAGCTTTCTGAATTTATTCTTCAGGAGTCTGTCATTATATGTTTTGATTGTTATTAATAAATACCAAAATTTAAATTTGTTTTACTAAAAAGTTTCTTAGTGATATCGTTGCATTTTCGAGTTTTGTCTTGATTTTTTTCTTGTTTCAATTTGTAATTTGATTATTAACTGTGTTTTCATGTATCATCATTGATGTGGATTCCTCATCCATTGTTACTCCCATCGTTTTTTCACATGCTTGATACTTTTAAAGTCGACTCTAAGTAACATACTTTTTATCTTCGCCATGCTTTATCGTGAGTGGTTGATACTGAATTGGTTTTCATGGATCCTCTACGGTTACACTGTTAGAGATGTAAAATTCGACAGAATTAGAGAAACAAGATTAATTAAAGGGGTTGTGACCATTTTGGGATGTAGAATTATAAGCTGCTCTTTGCTGAAAGCATCATTTTCACCATTCAATATATTCACTTAGCTTTTCTTTGAATTTTGAATTTTGTAAAGGCATAAAAGCCATGGAAGCAATTTGGTTATAGAGCTGCACTGAGTGGAGTTGGGTTAGAAACATATAAGAGATACGATGATTGGTTATAGAGGTCTATTTGAAACGCTATTTCCAATAATCATTGCCTACAATCCTGACCTGAGTAATTTTCCCCTTTGAGACTTTATTTTGGGTTGAAAATTGAGTTTATCGAGAGGAAGTGAAAAATCTCTGGTTCAAATTTGGATTTGAAGCCATGTTTAATTTTTTCTGTTGAGGTAAATTTTTTGCGCAGAAAGCGTTCGATTTTAGGGGAAAAAATTTAAGTTTGCTTTTAATTTTTAAGGTCCTGTCGGCACCTGAAATCGACGAAATCTGCAGGGGTGGCAAACTTACAGCACGGTATTTAAGGAAAACAAAATTACTGTATAGAATTATTATTATTATTATGCTCGGCTATTGAGTATTGATTTTCCTCTGATTCCCTTCAGCGCAACGAGTCTGCTGTGTAGCAGGTCAAACATGAATTGTGTTCTGGTATGATTTGTGACCTGACTACATTATGTTGATTATGGATTTAGGCATGCTTTGCATTTAAAACTAATGATTATTCCCCAAAACTGAAAAATATCAACAACGTTTTTTTATTCAATTTGTGTGAGTTTACACAGTAACAAGCTTATCCATATAGTAATTCTAATTTTATTCATGTACTTATTGTGAAGCAAATTATTTACACCACTTAATATTGCTTTGTATCTTTTAGTTAATGACGGTGTATTTCTACTCATGATTTAATCATGACAACGGAAAAACAAAGACAGCTGCCATGGGGGCTCAACCCTGAAAATATCACCCCTGGATCAATGAAGGTTTTTATTTTTTATTTACATTAAGAGTTTATTAACTGCCTTAGTTGCTATCATATCCTGTTAATTGTGTGCTATAACTGAAAATTAGTACAAAATAAAGAAGATACTTGTTCATATTTATTATTTATGTGTACATTTCCTTTCAACTAAACTGGCAGAAATTAATGACATGGGTAATTTGCATTAAAGAACGATTCCAGCTGTTAAAGCGAATGTTAACGTCCAAAATCTTTCAGACTATATCTGCCGAGAAATTAAAGGCATTTTCAGTGGGGAATATGAACAGTGTAAGACAGAAAAGTTCTATTTCAAAGAAAAAAGAGGAACTTGAAGAACGAAAACGGGTTATTACAAATTTTCTACCATTTATTATTATACAGTAAATGTAACAACATTTCAACAGATCTTTCACTTTTAGTTGAGTTCTTGAAACTTTGGGTTAAATCTTCAGTTAACAAAAATTACGACTTTTCAGGTTGAAGAACAAAAGCAAGCCAAGGTTTACGAAGAATTTGTGAGGGAATTTGAACATGATGCCCCTAAAGTCAAAACATTCGTTAAAGGAGATGTCATCAACTCAGAATCAAGTCAGTACGAGTGCTTTAGATTGAGATCATATTGGCTCAACTGTTTATTTCTATTAATGCTTTTCATGCAAACAAGTGAAAACGAATCTTTTATGTCATGTATCCAGGGTTTGGACTGGAATTGCCCGCTTAAAGAACTTCCATCGCGTCACATTACATAATTTTCTGAAACATAGAAAATACTACAATATAATCAAGGTACGATGTTGGATACCTGAGTTCTATATCTTTCGATAGCAACTCCACTTATGTATCTGCTTAGCTTCCATCACTGATCCTGGTACTTGAGATTCCAGGTGTGGCTTTAAACAATGTTTTAAGGGCCCAACACTCAGCTCACTCAGTTGATGGTAGAACAGTGGGTCTTTGTGCGATGTTGTAGCAGGGACTCCACTTCTTGTTTTCTCTTGCTAACCAGATTGCATAGGAACATCTGAGAGCAACCAAAGCCGCCTCTTGGAACACTGCTTTCTTTACTCTCTTTGTAACACCAAAGTAGTTTAGTAGGGCTGGTAAGGTATGATGCCAGAAGCCTCTACACCCAACCTCTACCGTAAAAAGCTGAGCTTTCCACCCACTGCCATGCAGCCCAGGAATAAGCTCTCTGTTGTAACGTGCTTGTTTACGTTCTACTTGGTCACTAAAGTTACTCTCGTCACCAACTGTCAACTCTACTAATATGACCACCTTTCCTTTATCAGACCAGACTACAATATCGGGACGTTCTGCAGTTCCGTAGATGTGCTGGGGGAACTGTGCTGGGAGGTCATCTTCGTCCCAGATAATCTGCCAATCTTGGTCTTTCTCAAAAGGACTCTCTCTTTTCATCTTCGTCTTCGGTTTTTGGTAACAGCTGCTAGATGACTTGAAGCCTGTCCAGTCCTGAACTTCAAGTTTAAAATCTTTGTTGTTGAACTTCTCGATTTGATCCAGTAGGGATTTCGCAATGACCCGCAGCACGTTGTCATGCCTCCAATTGTATCGTTTGTTGTTCAGCGAGAAGTTGCAAGCTACCAAAATGTGCTTAATGTTGCAGTGTCTCCATCCGCAAAGTGGACAGTGTCCTGTGTCAGCATAGTTCCACAGGCTCATGTTTGCTGGAGTATTTGCAACGTCATGGGTTGCATTGAGGTGGAACTTAAGAAGAGCAGGGCTCATCTTGTAGTTGTAAATAAGGTTGTTTAGTAGGGCTGGTAAGGTACATTTACAATAAATTATGCAATATCACAATATTACAATCAACAAAATAAATTTAATCGCAGAATCTCAAATACAAATAATCGTAAATTAAACACAAAAACAAATTAAACAAGCAATAAATGAATATACAAATGCGCATCCTTTGACGACTTACTCCTTCATAAAATTAATTATTGACAAAAAAAATTTTTAGACGGTAATATAATGGTTACTAATTTAGTCACAAAGTCACTATATTTATTAAATATTCTTTAATTCTAGTTGAAGGCAAAAACATTTAGCTTATCAGTTACTAATCTTAATTGAAATGACACTTCAGAAGCATCCGATAAAGGGAGGATCTACAACCCTGCTGGTATGAAGAGATTAGAGGAACTCCAGAACGCTAAGTTGCTGGCTGCTTCATCATCCCCCGACCCTGAGACTAGAAAACCGGTTTTTAACAAACCTCTAAGAATTTCTGTTTTTTGGGCACATTCAAATTGTCGGGACTTCTAATATAGCTCTATCAGCTAGTTAGAAATTTTTAATTATAACATACATCAATAACACAATGTATTCGTTTAATTTAATAATTGCAGAACAATAAAGCTAATAGAATAAAATTCAGGATAAACCTAAGAAGAAGCAGAAGGAGCAGGAGAAGAAGAAAAGTAATCTGGAGTTATTTAAAGAGGAGCTGAAGCAGCAGCAAGCTGAGAGGGAAGAGAGACACCGGTTAAAGAAACTGGGCATAATCCCAATGTCAGCCCCAGAGATGATAGGGTCAGGGTTTGAACCAGCTCCTACAGTCAGAGAACAGCTAGAAAACAGCCAGCTAGGATCAGCTCTGTCTGCTGGATTGAGCAGCAAACTCAGCTCTATAAGCTACTACGACAGTGCGGTGGATGATCCCCACTCTACTAACTTGTACGTGGGCAATCTCTCTATGAAGATAGATGAGGAGCAACTCTGCAAGATATTCGGAGAGTTTGGTCCACTCGCCAGTATAAAGATAATGTGGCCTAGGAACGATGAGGAGAGAAAGAGAGACCGGAACTGTGGGTTTGTGGCGTACATGTCGCGAGCTAACGCTGAAAAGGTTTGTGTCTTTATGTCCTTGATTGAAATTGACTGCTTTCGACAGTTCACGTTCTTTGCCAATTGATTGATTGATATTCATCATGTTTTATTAAGATAGCAGTTGAATAAGACACGTTGTTGACATGTTAACATGTTAACATGTTAACATCTCTCAGGCACAACAAGCCCTGAATGCGCACGAGTTGGAAGGTTATGCTATTAGAGTGGGGTGGGGCTCCAGCGTTCCAATTCCCCCTCATCCTGTCTACATTCCTCCTCACTTAGCAGGTTTTATTTTTATATAGTATAGTATAGTATATAATACAGAACCACTTCTATATACTTACCAGTTATATCTACACTACATTGTACACGGCCTTAGTAGTACAATTCAACTACTACACCAGCAGAATGCAGATCTTAGTAATTATTAGTATTTAATCATGTATTATAGTAAAGTGTAGAAATAGGCACACTAGTAGTAGTACCACCTCCATGTATTTCAGGTGAGATGAGCGCTGCAAGTGTAACGGCTACTGGGCTACCTTTCAATGCTCTCCCCAGAAAAACTAACGTCAGATCCCCTCTCATTCTGCCTCCTAATCAACACGACGCTAACGAGGTTAAATTAATAACTCACTTAAATAATAAGTAAATAATGTTTGCCATTTTAATTGTAATCATGTCACTGAAGATTGCTGTTCACACATCCATGAAACTTTTAGTTTGACGATAACATCGTTTACTTTGTTACGCTTATAAATAATAACTTATATAGTTAATAACTTACTTACTATATTATTAAAAAGTAAATATACACATTACACAGCATGGCAGTAAGTATTCGTATAGCATTGTGGTCTGTAGATTAGTCTATATTGCAGTTTATCACAGCTATACTACTGTATAACTTATATAATATTACATTATCACAGTTGCTACGGGAGTGCATTGTGTACGTAGTAGTTCCTCACGACAAACCAATGTTAAACAGAATAAACAGAATAGCTCAGTTTGTGGTTAATGAGGGCCCTATGTTTGAAGCTATGATAATGAACAAAGAGCTTAACAACGCAAAGGTTGGTGCAACTTTATGATATTTATACATTATACAATATACAGAAATTATAATTTGTTTATACATACTATACTATACTTCATAGTTCATACTATACAATACTTTATATTTTACACTATGTGTATTTTACTCGGTTTACTAAAATTGCTAACCTACTAACATAAGCATACATAACAAAAGCCTCTATTTCAGTTCCAGTTCTTATTCGATAACAAGTGTCCAGAGCATTGTTACTACAGATGGAGACTATACTCTCTGCTTCAGGTAACTGTTACCCCACACTTAGTAACACCTGCCCGGATACCATGGTAACCACGCTGTTACCATGGTAACCACACTGTTACCATGGTAACCACACTGTTACCATGGTAAACACACTGTTACCATGATAACGGGTAGACAACACCTCCATAGAACAGTTCTTAAACAGTCAGAATAGTACTGATAGTACATAATAAGTAGACCAAGCTATTGTCCTGATTTTAGCTGGAAAACACGTTATATGTTTCCACTTTGCTTGCATCAGTTGCAAACAGTACTATAATTTATTGGTGGTGTATAATATTGTGTAGTATATACACTGTATATACTACACGCCGTACAAATGAGTAGGTACAGTACTATACCGTAGTACTGCTACTAAAGTAGTAGGGGATAACACATAATGCCATTGAAGGGTGAGACATTTTCCACTTGGAGATCGGAAGAATTTAGAATGTTTAAGAACGGCTCAATGTGGAAGCCTCCCCCGCGCCACTCTAAAGCTGACATGAAGATTATAAAGAAGGCAGTGGAGACTGGGGAGGTTCAGAGACGAGGTCAACTCTCAAACTCGTGAGTTGTTCGGAGGGTTGCACCCCCCCCCCCCCCCCCCCCACCTCACCGCTTTGGTGGGATGCACCCCCACCCCGGGCCCGCATCAGTTTGGCGCTGTCAACCCCCTCCTCCATTTAAATCTCATCCCAATTTGCTTCATCTAATTTTATTAACAACTTTCCTTAAGTTTTATGAACAACATGCTACTAGTCGAATATTTCATGGCTAATTAACTTATTTGAACCAGTTTAATTAACTTAATTAACTGGCTAATTACCTAACGACCTAATGAACAGACAGCGTGATAAGTTAGAGGACATGTTAAGGAGTATGACAGTAGAAAGGGAAACAGTGGGCAGCTGTATGTTCTGGTGTCTCCAACACGCAGATGCAGCGCAGGAGGTATAGTATATAATAGGTTACTTCTTTAGTTACTTCTTTAGTTACTTCTTTAGTTACTTCTTTAGTTACTTCTTTAGTTACTTCTTTAGTTACTTCTTTAGTTACTCCTTTAGTTACTTCTTTAGTTACTTCTTTAGTTACTTCTTTAGTTACTTCTTTAATTACTTCTTTAGTTACTCCTTTAGTTACTTCTTTAATTACTTCTTTAGTTACTTCTTTAGTTACTCCTTTAATTACTTCTTTAGTTACTCCTTTAGTTACTTCTTTAGTTACTTATTTAGCAGGAGGTTACTTATTTACTTTATATTTATTACTTTCTTGTCTTGTGAATTCACCAATTCATTTTTCAATGATTTAATACTTAGTATGTATTTATAGTGGGGGGGGTGTCACGTCCGTCTATGTCCGCTTGTCTCATAGAATCCAAAAAGGACAGGACATAGGCGGACATAGGCGGACATAGACGGACATAGGCGGACATAGGCGGACATAGGCGGACATAGACGGACATAGGCGGACATAGGCGGACATTAATGGACACCTAAATTGCTAAATAAAATGTTCAATTTTTGCTGTTATAGGGGGGATCATGTTTTTTGTCCGTTCGGTACCCTATATTTTCAAAACGGACAAAAAATAGAGCGGACAAAAAAGGACAAAAATGGACAAAAACGGACAAAAATGGAAATAACATTTAGAATTAGATGCTTCCTCCTCCTACTCTTCCTCCTCTTCCCCCTGGGTCTTCCTGATCTTCCTCAGTCCTCTTCCTCCTCCCCTCCTCAGTCCTCCTCCTACTCCTCCTCCTCGTCCTCAGTCCTCCTCATCAGTCCTCAACAGTCCTCCTCCTCGCCAGTCCTCCTCCTCCTCCTGAGTCCTCCTCCTGGGTCCTCCTGGGTCCTCCTCCTCCTCTTCATCCTCCTCCTCTTCCTCCTCAGTCCTCAGTCCTCCTCAGTCCTCCTCCTCATCCTTCTCCTCAGTCCTCCATCCTCCTCCTCAGTCCTCCCCCAGTCCCCCTCCTCCTCCTCCTATTCAGTCCTCCTCCTCCTCCTCCTCCTCCTTCTCAGTCCTCCTCAGTCCTCCTCCTCCTCCTCCTCCTCTTCCCTCTCAGTCATCCTCTTCAGCCATCCTCCTCAGTCCTCCTCAGTCCTCCTCAGTCCTCCTCCTCAGTCCTCCTCCTCCTGGGTCCTCCTCCTCATCTTCATCCTCCTCCTCTTCCTCCTCGGTCCTCAGTCCTCCTCCTCCTGGGTCCTCCTCCTCATCCTTCTCATCAGTCCTCCTCCTCCCCAGTCCTCTCCCAGTCCCCCTCCTTCTCCTCCTCCTATTCAGTCCTCCTCCTCCTCCTCCTCCTCAGTTCTCCTCAGTCCTCCTTCTCATTTCTCCTAAGTCCTCCTCCTGAGTCCTCCTCCTCTTCCTTCTGAGTCCTCCTCCTGAGTCCTCCTCCTCCTCCCTCTCAGTCATCCTCCTCAGTCATCCTCCTCAGCCATCCTCCCCAGCCATCCTCCTCAGCCATCCTCCTCAGTACTCCTCAGTCCTCCTCCTTCTCAGTCATCGTCAGTCCTCCTCCTCAGTCCTCCTCAGTCCTCCTCCTCCTCCTGGGTCCTCCTCCTCCTCCTCCTCCTGGGTCCTCCTGGGTCTTCCTGATCCTCCCCAGTCTTCTTCCTCCTCCCCTCCTCAGTCCTCCTCCTACTCTTCCTCCTCGTCCTCAGTCCTCCTCATCAGTCCTCAACAGTTCTCCTCCTCCCCAGTCCTCCTCCTCCTCCTGGGGCCTTTTCCTGGGTACTCCTCCCCAGTCCTCCTCCTCCTGGGTCCTCCTCCTCCTCAGTCCTTCTCCTCCTCCTCCTCAGTCCTCTTCCTCCTCTTCCTCCTCCCTCTCAGTCATCCTCCTCAGCCATCCTCCTCAGCCATCCTCCTCAGTCCTCCTCCTTCTCAGTCCTCCTCCTGAGTCCTCCTCCTCCTCAGTCATCCTCCTCAGTTCTCCTCCTCCTCCTAGGTCCTCCTTCTGGGTCCTCCTCCTCCTCCTCCTCCTGGGTCTTCCTGATCCTTCTCCTCCCTCTCAGTCATCCTCCTCAGTCATCCTCCTCAGTCATCCTCCTCAGCCATCCTCCTCAGCCATCCTTCTCAGCCATCCTCCTCAGTACTCTTGAGTACTCTTCAGTCCTCAAAATGTTTGTCCGCTAATGTCCACCAATGTCCGCTAATGTCCACCAATGTCCATCCAAGTCCGCCAATGTCCGTCCGGGTCCGCCAATGTCCGTCCGAGTCCGCCAATGTCCGTCCAAGTCCGCCAATGTCCGTCCAAGTCCGCCAATGTCCGTCCGTGTCCGCCAATGTCCCAAAAAACACGTCCGTTGTCTCATAGAATCCAAAAAGGACAGGACATAGGCGGACATAGACGGACATGACACCCCCCCCTATAGTATAGTATACACTGTCACTATAAACTCCAAGTTATAAGCTCAAATTATTTCTACTTTATATTAAGTTACTAGTGTAACCCGGCCTTCGGCCGGGATTTCACTGCCGCAGTTAAAAAGGGTAGGAGTAATTACCCGCTGAGTCAAAACCCGCATTAGGTGAGCAATTCTATTCGGAGTTCCCTCACGTATCCAATAGTTTCTGTACCACGACTATTACACCTCATCACTCCCGTCTTAAACCGCTTTAAATCGTTTTAGAAATTAACCCTTATTAACTCCGCACCACACCCGCCTTATATTTGAAAACATGCATTACATTGTCGTATGAAAGTAAACAAACCGACCGCAATGAGTGCCTCCCCCCCCCCCCTAATAAACTTATAGTATTATATGCATAAACATTGTCGTATGAAAGTATGAACTCTCTCTACAGTTAAACAGACCACAATCAGTGCCCAAGTACACTCCTAATATCACTTGCGGAGCTAACCTAATTACCAACGCTACAAAGTGAAAGAGAGCGAATAGGAAGAAAAAGTGAGCCATTTTAGTGGCTCACTCCATAATGTTGCATTAATAGTACAAAACCATCAATTAATCCACTTACCACCGGCCGATTTTTATAAAATTTGCTTATTGGCTTCGTCAGAGTTTTGTCGGCACTATACCGAAAAAACCAGTCCCGTAACTCTTACCGTTTTTTTTGTATAACCGTTCGGAAATTTCAAACATACACACACACACACACACACACACACACACACGGATTTCTTGGTATTATTAAGGTGATATAACTTCAGGTAGTAGAGTGTATCGGCGAGTCTCTCTCAATCCTACAAACTCCTCCTACTGTCAAGGTAAGATTAACAGCTTAGTAAAGCTTAGTAAAGCTTAGTAAAGCTTAGTAAAGCTTAGTAAAGCTTAGTAAAGCTTAGTAAAGCTTAGTAAAGCTTAGTAAAGCTTGGTAAAATGCTCTGATGGACTCAAGAGTCAAGGTTTCTGTTTAGTTGTTTAGACCTCATTTGAGTAATACTCCAAGAGTAACTGATAAATCAGTTTCTGTAAGTCTAAACTCTAAACCAGAGATATCGTCTTCTTTTCCATACCGTAAATCAAAAGAATGAAACAAGTATTAATAAAATCACAACTTATTGCAAATGTTTATCTAAACGCTGCGGCTTGATGTTAAAATCAGTTATCTTTTAAAACTAATCAAGACAGTATCGTATATATATAAGACAGCATCGTCTGCCCTATTATATTGAATTATTGAATTATTTGACGACTTACTATTACATCAAATTGTAATGTCAACTTCATATTTAGTTAATATCATAGAATAAATTCTTTTATTATAGTCATTTGATTTTAATTAAGAGCCTATATCCACTAATTGAGAAACTAAACGATCAACTATACAAATTATCCAACAAAGAATCATAATTGTAACCCAATTATAAGCTAATTATTGTTACTATGGTAACTAATTATAAATTATAAGCTAATTATTGGTAACTAATTATAAGCTAATTATTGTTACTATGGTAACTGTTACTAACTGTAATCACATGTTAACTAGGCTGCCAGGTTGTTCCTCCTCAATGACTTGCTCTATAATAGTTGTGCTGAAGTACAGAACGCCTCCTCTTACAGAACCAAGTGAGTAACACTTAACTACACTGTTACTATGGTAACTACACTGTTACTATGGTAACTACACTGTTACTATGGTAACTACACTGTTACTATGGTAACTACACTGTTACTATGGTAACTACACTGTTACTATGGTAACTACACTGTTACTATGGTAACTACACTGTTACTATGGTAACTACACTGTTACTATGGTAACTACACTGTTACTATGGTAACTACACTGTTACTATGGTAACTACACTGTTACTATGGTAACTACACTGTTGCTATGGTAACTACACTGTTGCTATGGTAACTACACTGTTGCTATGGTAACTACACTGTTGCTATGGTAACTACACTGTTGCTATGGTAACTACACTGTTGCTATGGTAACTACACTGTTACTATGGTAACTACACTGTTACTATGGTAACTACACTGTTACCATGGTAACTACACTGTTACCATGGTAACTACACTGTTACCATGGTAACTACACTGTTACCATGGTAACTACACTGTTACTATGGTAACTACACTGTTACCATGGTAACTACACTGTTACCATGGTAACTACACTGTTACCATGGTAACTACACTGTTACTATGGTAACTACACTGTTACTATGGTAACTACACTGTTACTATGGTAACTACACTGTTACTATGGTAACTAAACTGTTACTATGGTAACTACACTGTTACTATGGTAACTAAACTGTTACTATGGTAACTAAACTGTTACTATGGTAACTAAACTGTTACTATGGTAACTAAACTGTTACTATGGTAACTACACACAGTGTTTAATAACATTGCAGGACCCTCTACTCTCATCAACAGGTAACATGTAATAGAAGTAATACTGTGTACTATACACATAGCAGTAATAGTAATACTAGTTATACTTTACAACAGTTGTAATACTATGCTGACAGCTGAATGGACAGTACTAGCTAGTAAATATTACTATCTAATATAATGAATATCTTATAAAACATGTTAGATTGCAGGCACTATCTAATGTAATGAATATCTCATTAAACATGTTAGATTGTAGGCACTATCTAATGTAATGAATATCTCATTAAACATGTTAGATTGCAGGCACTAACATGTTACTATCTAATATAATGAATATCTCATTAAACATGTTAGATTGCAGGCTATCTAATATAATGAATATCTCATTAAACATGTTAGATTACAGATAAAACATGTTAGATTACAGGCATGGTAACTACACTGTTACTATGGTAACTACAGGCACTAACACCAAATGTCACAGATTAGAAACTAAGCTAGCGGATATTGTAATAAACCTAAAGGCAACACTAGACGAGATAAAAACGCACACTGCGCGCGAGAAGTACAAGTCCCAGGTGCTGGGCTGCTTGCGCGCGTGGCGGGAATGGAACGTGTATAGTCCTGATTATCTCGCACAACTGGACATTATCTTCGCTGGAGGCAAGAGTAAAGAGGTAAATAGAAAGAGACATTTCTAAACAGGAATTAGGTCTGATTATAACGTCACTCCCCTTCTGGCTCCCCACTAAAGTTAACCTCTTTATATCTGCTGCACCCTTAACCCCCACCTCTTTATATCTGCTGCACCCTTAACCCCCACCTCTTTATATCTGCTGCACCCTTAACCCCCACCTCTTTATATCTGCTGCACCCTTAACCCCCACCTCTTTATATCTGCTGCACCCTTAACCCCCACCTCTTTATATCTGCTGCACCCTTAACCCCCACCTCTTTATATCTGCTGCACCCTTAACCCCCACCTCTTTATATCTGCTGCACCCTTAACCCCCACCTCTTTATATCTGCTGCACCCTTAACCCCCACCTCTTTATATCTGCTGCACCCTTAACCCCCACCTCTTTATATCTGCTGCACCCTTAACCCCCACCTCTTTATATCTGCTGCACCCTTAACCCCCACCTCTTTCTATCTGCTGCACCCTTAACCCCCACCTCTTTATATCTGCTGCACCCTTAACCCCCACCTCTTTCTATCTGCTGCACCCTTAACCCCCACCTCTTTATATCTGCTGCACCCTTAACCCCCACCTCTTTATATCTGCTGCACCCTTAACCCCCACCTCTTTACATCTGCTGCACCCTTAACCCCCACCTCTTTATATCTGCTGCACCCTTAACCCCCACCTCTTTATATCTGCTGCACCCTTAACCCCCACCTCTTTATATCTGCTGCACCCTTAACCCCCACCTCTTTCTATCTGCTGCACCCTTAACCCCCACCTCTTTATATCTGCTGCACCCTTAACCCCCACCTCTTTATATCTGCTGCACCCTTAACCCCCACCTCTTTATATCTGCTGCACCCTTAACCCCCACCTCTTTATATCTGCTGCACCCTTAACCCCCACCTCTTTATATCTGCTGCACCCTTAACCCCCACCTCTTTATATCTGCTGCACCCTTAACCCCCACCTCTTTATATCTGCTGCACCCTTAACCCCCACCTCTTTCTATCTGCTGCACCCTTAACCCCCACCTCTTTATATCTGCTGCACCCTTAACCCCCACCTCTTTATATCTGCTGCACCCTTAACCCCCACCTCTTTATATCTGCTGCACCCTTAACCCCCACCTCTTTATATCTGCTGCACCCTTAACCCCCACCTCTTTCTATCTGCTGCACCCTTAACCCCCACCTCTTTATATCTGCTGCACCCTTAACCCCCACCTCTTTATATCTGCTGCACCCTTAACCCCCACCTCTTTCTATCTGCTGCACCCTTAACCCCCACCTCTTTATATCTGCTGCACCCTTAACCCCCACCTCTTTCTATCTGCTGCACCCTTAACCCCCACCTCTTTATATCTGCTGCACCCTTAACCCCCACCTCTTTATATCTGCTGCACCCTTAACCCCCACCTCTTTCTATCTGCTGCACCCTTAACCCCCACCTCTTTATATCTGCTGCACCCTTAACCCCCACCTCTTTATATCTGCTGCACCCTTAACCCCCACCTTGCTACCAGGTAGATGTAGATGAGGTAGATGGGGTCCCACTAGATGTAGATGGTGTGCCCCTAGCTAAGTTAACCTCTTTATATCTGCTGCACCCTTAACCCCCACCTCTTTATATCTGCTGCACCCTTAACCCCCACCTCTTTATATCTGCTGCACCCTTAACCCCCACCTCTTTATATCTGCTGCACCCTTAACCCCCACCTCTTTCTATCTGCTGCACCCTTAACCCCCACCTCTTTATATCTGCTGCACCCTTAACCCCCACCTCTTTATATCTGCTGCACCCTTAACCCCCACCTCGCTACCAGGTAGATGTAGATGAGGTAGATGGGGTCCCGCTAGATGTAGATGGTGTGCCCCTAGCTAAGGATGTGGACGGGGAACCACTGGCTGATCCTGAGGAAGAAGATGAGGACATGTTTGATATGACTCCCAAGAAAAAGTAAGTTTTGTGTTTACTCGTGATGCCCATAATTTGTTATATACTGATTACATGTGACGCCCATATTTGGTAATATTTTGTTGGCACGTGATGCCCATATATGGTAACATTGTTGTGTTTAGTGTGTCGAAGGCGCCCCCGATAAAGTCTAAATGGGAAGATGCGGGCCCCTCGCTGGGTTCTAAATGGGAAGAAAGTAGCACAGCCCCTTCTCTGGGGTCCAAGTGGGAGAGCAATGAACCGGCTAAGAAGAACTTGGAGAGTAGCTCTAAATCTAGTGACGAGAAGAGGAAAAAGAAGAGGGAAATTGAGGTAAGAATATTTTATATGGGTAATCTTATTCATAATTTTAAAAGTGATAATTCTAAGTTATAAATGTAAGAAAGTTTAGCTTTTTATTTATCTGGTAAGTAATTAGGAGTTTGTAACTTACTGAATATGTACACAAACAGTTTGTGTGCATATTCAGTAAGTTAATAACAGTAAGGTAAGTGTACTGTTATTTGATACTATCAATTTATTCCCATGCTACATACTATATATATATAGTTTATATATAGTTTTAATACTTTCAACACTACTATATAACAAATAATTTGAGAATGAGACATGTAAAGATTACACAATCGATAGCTTAATGTGAATTTCGTGTTTTACTGTTTCACTGAATGTCTCAAATATATATATATAATACTATATAATAATACACTTGCACTATACTTAAAAACTATATAATACCCTTCTCCAGGTGAAAGTAGCAGAGTATATCGACAAGTTAGAATCAGGGAAATGCACCAGAATAAAACAGATAACAACAAATGAGCAGGCTGAAATATACAGATATCTCCTTTGTAAGGTAACCATAACAACACAGCATTATAGATTTTATATTCAATAAAATCATTAACACTCGATATTAAACGTTAGTTACGTTAGACTTGTTAATGTTTATACATGTTAAGTTACTTACTATTTATACATGTTAAGTTACTAACTATTTATACATGTTAAGTTACTTACTATTTATACATGTTAAGTTACTAACTATTTATACATGTTAAGTTACTAACTATTTATACATGTTAAGTTACTTACTATTTATACATGTTAAGTTACTTACTATTTATACATGTTAAGTTACTTACTATTTATACATGTTAAGTTACTTACTATTTGTACATGTTAAGATACTTACTATTTATACATGTTAAGTTACTTACTATTTATACATGTTAAGTTACTTACTATTTATACATGTTAAGTTACTTACTATTTATACATGTTAAGTTACTTACTATTTATACATGTTAAGTTACTAGTACTATTTATACATGTTAAGTTACTTACTATTTATACATGTTAAGTTACTTACTATTTACACATGTTAAGTTACTTACTATTTATACATGTTAAGTTACTTACTATTTATACATGTTAAGTTACTAACTATTTATACATGTTAAGTTACTCACTATTTATACATGTTAAGTTACTCACTATTTATACAATAATATATGTTAAGTTACTTACTATTTATACATGTTAAGTTACTTACTATTTATACATGTTAAGTTACTAACTATTTATACATGTTAAGTTACTTACTATTTATACACGTTAAGATATCAATCTTACTGTAAATCTAACATATCATGAAATGTTTGTGTGTTCAGGGAAAGGACGCTAAGAAGACGATAAAGCACATAGCAACAGGTAGAGAGAGTCTAACAGACCTACAAAGTGAGATGAAAAGTAAGCCTCTCAGTTCTCCTATTATCAGTGGTAAACTAGCCGGGTTAGGAGGTCTGGTTAGTTACGGCTCCTCCCCCACTTCCTCCCCCTCTCCTGAACTAAAGAGAAGACGAGAACATTCCGACAAGAAGAAACGATCAGCCAGCCCAAAACACGAGAGAAAGAAGAAGTCGAGACACTGAACTATTTAATTTCTTGTTTTATCACATTTTTACTGCCCACTCGCGCACGTGACAAAGTTACTAAGTTACTCGCACGTGACAAAGTTACTAAGTTACTCGCACGTGACTAAGTTACTAAGTTACTCGCACGTGACTAAGTTACTAAGTCAGAAATAATCAAAGTATTGAGAACTAAGTCCCTTTTTTACTTCCAATTTTAGAGTACAGCAGTCAGAAGACCTCATATTATTTAATGAACATCAACAGAGTTGTTACCATAGTAACAGAGTTGTTATGGTAGGAGTAAGAAAGTATCTAGTTATTGAAGAGCACCAGGTTTAATGTTTATACTGAACACAACTACTTGTTACCATAGTAACCAGGTTTAATGTTTTAAACACCACTACTCCTTTTATTTTTATCACCCAAGTACCAGGGTGTCTTTTCAACCCTTTTAGCTTCATACTTTACACTGTTACGGGAGAAGGAGACATTTTGTTAACGTGTATAATTTAAATTTACTAATTTTAACGAAACAATAGTATTACTGTCTGCTTCTGTTTAATATGCAAGAGCTGAGATTTTACTAAAAATTTGTTCAACCCTAAAACTGCATTAAATATTGAATCTTGTAACCGTCGTAATTCATATTATAGAATATTTAGTAATTCATTTTACTAATACTTTCTATATTAACTGATACCCTGTACATAGTGTAAGGAGATGGTGTCCCACAAGGCTGGGCCTCTCAAGCAGACTAAGAAGGCGCACAAACACGGTAAACACAGATCTAAAGGCTCCCTGTCAGCTAAAGGTAAAGCTGGTGTATTATCTGGTAATGGCAAGTCTGGGGTGTCTACTCTCAACAAGAAGGACAGGTTGGTTTTTAGTTAATTACAATTTACATTAGTTAATTAGTATTTACAGAAGTTAATTACTATTTACAGTAGTTAATTACTATTTACAGTATTTATATAGTTGATAGTATTTACACAAGTTTAAAACAATGTTCTACCCCGTGACTGTGCAACGGACAGATTAAAACAGTTTCTAGAATTTACCCATATAAGGTAATACTTAGTGCACACGTGATGCCCATATAAGGTAATACTTAGTGCACACGTGATGCCCATATAAGGTAATATTGTGTAGGAAGAACATGGAGAAGCAGCTAAAGAAAGTGAAAGTAGTGAGCAATGCAGCGGAGAAGAGAGGGTTAGGGGGGTCAGGACACCCTCCTATATGTGTAGTGTTGTTACCTGCCCACTCAGGGGTAGACCTGACAGAGGCACTACAGTTACTGAGACAACAGGGCGAGGTCCACTCTCAATCTAGTAACTCCTTCTACTTACTCAATACTAAACTAAAGAAACGGTTAGTTTTATAATGATGTTCGTGATTTGTAAAGCATCTTTTTGATCCACTATACCACAAATCCCACTTAAAAACAAGCCCAGTGTACAGTGTTACCATGACAACAGTGTGTTACCATGGCAACAGTGTACACTCTGTTACTAGAGAAAGTGTTTTTTTAATTAATTGTATTTTCAGGTTACAAGTTGTGTGTCCAGGAGAGGGTATATTAGATCAGTTAGACACTGTGAAATGTGCTGATCTGGTGGTGCTGGTGTGGGACTCCTCGTTTAGCATAGACCCTCTATTGCGCACCTGTCTGTTTGCACAAGGTAACGTTTAGCATAGACCCTCTATTGCGCACCTGGGGTTTGCGCAAGGTAACGTTTAGCATAGACCCTCTATTGCGCACCTGTCTGTTTGCGCAAGGTAACGTTTAGCATAGACCCTCTATTGCGCACCTGTCTGTTTGCGCAAGGTAACAGTTAGCATAGACCCTCTATTGCGCACCTGTCTGTTTGCGCAAGGTAACAGTTAGCATAGACCCTCTATTGCGCACTTGTCTGTTTGCGCAAGGTAACGTTTAGCATAGACCCTCTATTGCGCACCTGTCTGTTTGCGCAAGGTAACGTTTAACATAGACCCTCTATTGCGCACCTGTCTGTTTGCGCAAGGTAACGTTTAGCATAGACCCTCTATTGCGCACCTGTCTGTTTGCGCAAGGTAACGTTTAGCATAGACCCTCTATTGCGCACCTGTCTGTTTGCGCAAGGTAACGTTTAGCATAGACCCTCTATTGCGCACCTGTCTGTTTGCGCAAGGTAACGTTTAGCATAGACCCTCTATTGCGCACCTTCTGTTTGAGCAAGGTAACGTTTAGCATAGACCCTCTAATCTCTATTGCGCACCTGTCTGTTTGCGCAAGGTAACGTTTAACATAGACCCTCTATTGCGCACCTGTCTGTTTGCACAAGGTAACGTTTAGCATAGACCCTCTATTGCGCACCTGTCTGTTTGCGCAAGGTAACGTTTAACATAGACCCTCTATTGCGCACTTGTCTGTTTGCACAAGGTAACGTTTAGCATAGACCCTCTATTGCGCACCTGCCTGTTTGTGCAAGGTAACGTTTAGCATAGACCCTCTATTGCGCACCTGTCTGTTTGCGCAAGGTAACGTTTAACATAGACCCTCTATTGCGCACCTGTCTGTTTGCACAAGGTAACATTTAGCATAGACCCTCTATTGCGCACCTGTCTGTTTGCACAAGGTAACGTTTAGCATAGACCCTCTATTGCGCACCTGTCTGTTTGCGCAAGGTAACGTTTAACATAGACCCTCTATTGCGCACCTGTCTGTTTGCACAAGGTAACGTTTAGCATAGACCCTCTATTGCGCACCTGCCTGTTTGTGCAAGGTAACGTTTAGCATAGACCCTCTATTGCGCACCTGTCTGTTTGCGCAAGGTAACGTTTAACATAGACCCTCTATTGCGCACCTGTCTGTTTGCGCAAGGTAACGTTTAACATAGACCTCTATTGCGCACCTGTCTGTTTGCACAAGGTAACGTTTAGCATAGACCCTCTATTGCGCACCTGCCTGTTTGTGCAAGGTAACGTTTAGCATAGACCCTCTATTGCGCACCTGTCTGTTTTGCGCAAGGTAACGTTTAACATAGACCCTCTATTGCGCACCTGTCTGTTTGCACAAGGTAACATTTAGCATAGACCCTCTATTGCGCACCTGTCTGTTTGCACAAGGTAACGTTTAGCACATCTTTCACTCCACGGAAGGTTACTTCCCTCTCACGTTGATTCGTTTTGTTCCTTTTTATAACATACTTTTTCACTGTATTGTAATATTTCACAGGGTTACCACCAGTACAGCATATAGTTATGCAGCTCGGACAGAGTTTCAGTGATAAAGAGTTCAATATCCAGAAGAAACAGTTCAGTGAAATTCTACAAAAGAACAATTTTAGTATAAATAATTCTAAGGTAAGTAGTAGTAGTAGTAGTAAGGTAATTTCGCTAATTTTCATTAAACGTTTCAAGCTCAGTTACCTCTCATTGCTCAGTAATGATTTATAGCTTAAAACGAGGAGCATACCTTAACATCCTAGAAATGGTAGCTTGTATAATGGTTACGTTACTACGGTTACTATCGCGCAGGTACAGTACATGAGACAGGCCAGTGATTTTGACAATGTGCTCTGGGGACTAGTGAACTTTAAACACCACACTCTGGGATTCCTGAAGGACCGGGGTTATCTAATAACTAGCAGTGTGGAGATGCAGGATACTGGACCGGAGACAGGAACTCTAGTGGTCCGGGGGTTCCTCAGGGGTCAGGGCTTGGACCCAGATCAGCTTCTTCATATACCCGGACAAGGGCACTTCAGAATAAGCAGGATTGTTACCTCTCCTGACCCCTTCTCTGAGAACTCAAATACTGTGAGTACATATTGGGGCCGGGGGGGGGGGGGTTCTTTAACTGTTTTAACAATGAATGCTTATTCTCCTCTAATAATCCTCTTAATAAGATATGTTAAACTCATCTGTGTAATTACTATGTAGTACACTGTACAACACCTCGCAGGGAATAGTGTACGAGCCTAAGAACCCCGCCTCACTTGATATGGAGTGCGAAGTTAACGAGATGGACGCCGAGCAGACCTGGCCTACAGAGGAGGACTACGAGCAGGCAGAGGAGGCTAAAAAACACACTAAACGAGTACCTAAAGGTAAGTTATAAAGTAAAAACACACTAAACGAGTACCTAAAGGTAAGTTATAAAGTAAAAACACACTAAACGAGTACCTAAAGGTAAGTTATAAAGTAAAAACACACTAAACGAGTACCTAAAGGTAAGTTATAAAGTAAAAACACACTAAACGAGTACCTAAAGGTAAGTTATAAAGTAAAAACACACTAAACGAGTACCTAAAGGTAAGTTATAAAGTAAAAACACACTAAACGAGTACCTAAAGGTAAGTTATAAAGTAAAAACACACTAAACGAGTACCTAAAGGTAAGTTATAAAGTAAAAACACACTAAACGAGTACCTAAAGGTAAGTTATAAAGTAAAAACACACTAAACGAGTACCTAAAGGTAAGTTATAAAGTAAAAACACACTAAACGAGTACCTAAAGGTAAGTTATAAAGTAAAAACACACTAAACGAGTACCTAAAGGTAAGTTATAAAGTAAAAACACACTAAACGAGTACCTAAAGGTAAGTTATAAAGTAAAAACACACTAAACGAGTACCTAAAGGTAAGTTATAAAGTAAAAACACACTAAACGAGTACCTAAAGGTAAGTTATAAAGTAAAAACCTAACTGGTAAAGAGGTATAATATCATTTCTGTATATATATGTATTATGTGAGGTGTGAAGGAGTTAACCGTAGTGTTACTATTCAGGAACGTCAGCCTACCAAGCAGTGTGGATGTTATCAGATGACGAAGAAGAAGAAGAGAGTGGGATGGAAGATGAGGAAGACAGCGAGGAAGAGAGTGATGAGGAGGTAGAGGAGGAAGAAGAGACGGATTATTACAAGGTTTCTGTTGTTATTCACATTATTTTAAAAGATTTGGTTTGAAACTTTTTAAATTGTGGAAGAAGTATTATGGTGATACATCTGCTGGGTCCTCCAAATAAGTATGTTAGACTCCAACAGTAAGGGTTAATACATTTAACGCTACTTCAGGATAGTGATAACTACGACGTGCACTTTGATGCAGAGGAAGAAGCAGAAGAGATGAGGAAGTTCAGAGAGGCATGTGAAGACGAACAGTTTCCCTGATGAGATGGATACACCTATTGACATGGCTGCTAGAATCAGATTCCAAAAGTAAGTCATCCTCATTATCCACTTAATTACCCACTTAATTACCCACTTAATTACCTACTTATAAAAATCATGTACTTCGTATGAAAGTTCGGTCCGGCAAGCATAGAAAACACAGATGTCATTTCATATAATATTATGATACAAGAGAAACGCAACCTCAGAAGGAGGATTAGGACTCCTCGGACAACATATTATATAATATCTTTTGTATCGTCCTGGTTAAATATAATTACAAATAGAAATATCAAAAATATCTTTTCAAACGTTTTAGCTCCAGGTCCCACGACCCTAGTCACTGAAAATATTAATGTCCCATCCTATACATTTAAAATTCTCACATCATAGGACCGGGACCTGCCCCTCGGTACTATCCAAAGTTTCGTTGACTGTTGATTGTTAAAGTATGAATTTGAATTAGGATCTTTAACAGTGCAACTTGACCAGAGAAAGTGATCTGACTTAAAACGAAACCATGAAAACTCTACCTCTTGTGGGTCACACCTGTATCCTAAATGATAAAACCACTCAGGCATGTCTTCGTACTTGAAGGCGATTATGAGTGGTTCAGGTTCCTCCTGATCTCCCAATCTTTAAAGTTGTAGGTAAAGTTTAGCTGATTTCAAAGGACAGAAAAATATCGAAAGCATATGATGAGATACTAGTAGATAGCAGCAATAAACAGTGTGAAAACAACAGGGGAAATGCTGTTTTTACCTCAAGTTGGGTATTTGAAATCTGGTTCTTGATTTTAGGGTATAAGTAGAAGATACTCCTTTGGAATGTGTGGCTCCTTTATCAACACAGGCTGTATTCAGTCGTTACACATCTCCTGAGAAAAACAGTGCGCGGCGTGATTTAATTTGATGCCCCTATTCTACGGTCAACATGTAAAACGTTCGTTTATGTAACGCGCTGATACTTATTATTGATAAAACGAAATTGGCTTTTCACATCTTCACGACAGGAGCCAGGCGCTTCGTGTAGATTTTACAATTCTCAAAATCTTGTATTTTTATCAATGCCTATGCTACTGTAATCAAATATAATACAATGTCAGTGTTACTGGTAATACATTAATTAGTGCAGAATGACAAGTTTATTTTCCGAAGTTATATATTAGTTCAACCTTTAACTCACAACTACCACAGGTACCGTGGACTGGCTAGTTTCCGCACGTCAGCATGGGATCCCCAAGAGAATCTACCCAGAGACTACGCCCGCATCTCTCAGATCAGGAACTTTAGACATGTCAGAAAGTCCCTGCTACGTCAAAGCAACACCGAGAAACCAGTCCAAGCGGGCGCCCACGTGGACATCTACATCTCCGAGGTACCTCTCTCTCTACGGGACAGCACCAGCAGTACCTATAACTCTCTTCTCTCTCCTCCCCCACGAGCAGAGACTCAGTGTACAGCACGTAGCACAAGCTAGACACCCCCTCTCTACAGGTACAGTGAAAGGTAAAGAACAGCTGCTGGCTCAGGTGGGATTCAGGAGATATGTGGTGAAGCCCATCTTCTCTCAACACACTAAATCTAACAAGCATAAGATGGAGAGGTTTATGCCAGTAGCAGGGAACTTTGTGGCTAGTTTCTACGCTCCAATCACTCTGACAGAGAGCCCTGCCGTTCTCTTCAAAGTAGAAGAGGACGGCTCAGTTACCCTGCTTTCTACAGGCACGCTGTTGTCATGTGACCCAGACAGAGTGGTCTGTAAACGGGTTGTGTTATCTGGGCACCCTGCCAAAGTTAACAAAAGATCAGCAGTGGTTAGATATCTGTTTTACAACAGAGAGGATATTGCATATTTCAAACCTGTGCAAGTGAGGACTAAACATGGGAGACGAGGTCACATAAAGGAAGCCCTGGGGACCCACGGACACTGTAAAATCACATTTGACAAACCGATCCAACAATCTGATACAGTTTTAATTCCTCTTTATAAACGAGTCTTTCCTAAGTGGCATTTTGAATACTTTTAATCGTCTTTTTGTGGAGTTTTTAAGGCTATTTAACGTATGTTCACTCGAGTAACACTTTACAAATTGACTTCTGAGGAGCTTTAATAATTTGGATCTGAATTCTTTTAATTTATTAGAGTTTTACGATATCTTGTTTCAATGACTTATCCTAATTCCTAGGTAAAAGCAGTAACAACAATTGAACTTGATTCCAAAAGTCGAACATGATACAAAATTAACAAAAACTAGCATTATTAATGGTTAGAAAAACACAATATAAATACTTTTTCTATAAGCAATAAACCTAACTAAAGAAATAGATTGGTAAACAGAGCAGATATCATATAATATATAAATAAGGTAAAAAATGTCGTCAGATTTCCCAATAATGGCACAAATGAGGCCAGGCGTCCAGCGTGAGTTGGCAACATGTTTTGGTAGATAAAGAAGTGGACAAAATTTCAGTGGGTGCAGGTGGGGGGTTCTTTTAATTTACCCTGGCCCTGGATTCATTTCGTTCACTTTAGCAGTGATGCTCTCCAACAACAGTTACAATGTCCACGGCAATTAAATAGGCCAGATTTCGTCATCAGCCCCAATTATCATCTAGACTAGGTCTTCTTCAATAAAACCCTGGTTCAACAAAACGCTGCAGAGCTGTAGATCCTAACTAAAAGCAGGTGAAACTCAGGTCGCCACGACAGGGAGCTGCTTCTTAGCCGAGGTAGAGAAAGGGTTGTAAGCGTGCCGGTGGAAACACACTTTCTCCAGGATCCACTCGTGGTTCCCGTACAAGTCAATGTTCCTGTCTAATGTAATCCACTCCGCGTGCAGTGACTCCCCTTCAACGCTGGCTCTTAGAGGGAACTTGGAGAAGGAGGTGCCGAGTCCGTCGTGATAGTTTATAGCGTGACTCTCAACCCAGGCGTTATCTGTGTTCCTGGGGTCGTCTACGTAACCTTTGTATACCTGAGTGAGGGGCATTGTTTTGAACTCTTCAAACCAATATACAATGCTTGCAGCAAGCTCCATAGCTTGCGAAGGAGTGTGGTTTTTGGTCTGGTCTTAATCAGGATGTTTTTTATCTGAGGTTATTCAAATTAAGTTTAAACTTACTGCTATTCCTAAAGAGAGATGCTCCTTGAGCATGAGTCGGACATGTTCCCTCTCCTCCGATTCCATGTCCATACCTCCCAGAGCGTCCTCACTAAACTCCCTCTTCAGTGCTGTAGTTAACATCTCACCATGCCTTATAAAGCCCTGACAGGTAGTGTACCGGTTAAAAATACTGTAGGGGGGTGTAGCGACTGTAGGGGGGGGGGGGGGGGGGGGTGTAGCGACTGTAGGGGGGGGGGGTGTACCAACTGTAGGGGGGGGGTGTAGCGACTGTAGGGGGAGGGGGGTGTAGCGATCCCCCCACTGCAGCTATCAGTACCAGAGGGTCCCACTTTAAAATATAGTTATAATATCTGATAAACACTTCTTCCTGCTATAGACTGTAGGTTATCTTACCCCAGGTAAAGCCCATTTCCGGGACTCCTTTAGAAATACCCCCACGAACTCCATCACGGGATGCCCGTTCAGTTTAATCTCCTCGTTGTGAATGTCCCTAGCCCACCTTGTAACTATCGGCTCGGCTGAATGGTTAGGTCCCCACCTATTGAGTTGCCCCCTACCACTGATTCCTGTCCTGCCCCGCGGGTTCAGCGGCACTCCTTCCACTATCTGGTAGTTACCACAGAAACTAACTCGGTCCACCTTATCTCCGTCTATATCTATTATCTGGTTAAATGCTCCGATTATATTGTTACTGTTGCTGGGGTCCACAGAGAACTTGTCCACATTCTTCAGAACGTCAGGCTCGGTGAAGTCAGGTGGGTTGTAAGGGAAGGCTACCTCCCACGCCACGTTCCGGTCAGCTAATAGACTCCTCTGTATATCAGTACCAATGTAGGGAGACTTCCTGGAGTCTCTGTGGATTGAGTGGTGTTTTATATCTCTTATCTGGGCCTCTGATTGGTCCACTGACATGGACCTCATCATGCTCAGATCAGCCTGAGCTGTGTTCAGCTGACTGATCATCAACTGAAACAGGGAATATTAGGTTACTTGGTATCCACTAAAACAAGATATCAACATCTGTATTTTGTGTAGATGGTTTGTTTTGTCCCCCCCCTCCCAGTCCCCTCAGTCCCCTCCCCCGGCCCCCACTCACCTTATCCTTGATGAACTTGAGACTCCTCCTAATGTCCCCCTCCCAGTCCCCCGGCCCCCACTCACCTTATCCTTGATGAACTTGAGACTCCTCCTAATGTCCCCCTCCCAGTCCCCCGGCCCCCACTCACCTTATCCTTGATGAACTTAAGACTCCTCCTAATGTCCCCCTCCCAGTCCCCCGGCCCCCACTCACCTTATCCTTGATGAACTTGAGACTCCTCCTAATGTCCCCCTCCCAGTCCCCCGGCCCCCACTCACCTTATCCTTGATGAACTTGAGACTCCTCCTAATGTCCCCCTCCCAGTCCCCCGGCCCCCACTCACCTTATCCTTGATGAACTTAAGACTCCTCCTAATGTCCCCCTCCCAGTCCCCCGGCCCCCACTCACCTTATCCTTGATGAACTTGAGACTCCTCCTAATGTCCCCCTCCCAGTCCCCCGGCCCCCACTCACCTTATCCTTGATGAACTTGAGACTCCTCCTAATGTCCCCCTCCCAGTCCCCCGGCCCCCACTCACCTTATCCTTGATGAACTTGAGACTCCTCCTAATGTCCCCCTCCCAGTCCCCGGCCCCCACTCACCTTATCCTTGATGAACTTGAGACTCCTCCTAATGTCCCCCTCCCAGTCCCCGGCCCCCACTCACCTTATCCTTGATGAACTTGAGACTCCTCCTAATGTCCCCCTCCCAGTCCCCGGCCCCCACTCACCTTATCCTTGATGAACTTGAGACTCCTCCTAATGTCCCCCTCCCAGTCCCCGGCCCCCACTCACCTTATCCTTGATGAACTTGAGACTCCTCCTAATGTCCCCCTCCCAGTCCCCGGCCCCCACTCACCTTATCCTTGATGAACTTGAGACTCCTCCTAATGTCCCCCTCCCAGTCCCCCGGCCCCCACTCACCTTATCCTTGATGAACTTGAGACTCCTCCTAATGTCCCCCTCCCAGTCCCCCGGCCCCCACTCACCTTATCCTTGATGAACTTGAGACTCCTCCTAATGTCCCCCTCCCAGTCCCCGGCCCCCACTCACCTTATCCTTGATGAACTTGAGACTCCTCCTAATGTCCCCCTCCCAGTCCCCCGGCCCCCACTCACCTTATCCTTGATGAACTTGAGACTCCTCCTAATGCCCCCCTCCCAGTCCCCGGCCCCCACTCACCTTATCCTTGATGAACTTGAGACTCCTCCTAATGTCCCCCTCCCAGTCCCCGGCCCCCACTCACCTTATCCTTGATGAACTTGAGACTCCTCCTAATGTCCCCCTCCCAGTCCCCCGGCCCCCACTCACCTTATCCTTGATGAACTTGAGACTCCTCCTAGTGTCCCCCTCCCAGTCCCCGGCCCCCACTCACCTTATCCTTGATGAACTTGAGACTCCTCCTAATGTCCCCCTCCCAGTCCCCCGGCCCCCACTCACCTTATCCTTGATGAACTTGAGACTCCTCCTAATGTCCCCCTCCCAGTCCCCGGCCCCCACTCACCTTATCCTTGATGAACTTGAGACTCCTCCTAATGTCCCCCTCCCAGTCCCCCGGCCCCCACTCACCTTATCCTTGATGAACTTGAGACTCCTCCTAATGTCCCCCTCCCAGTCCCCCGGCCCCCACTCACCTTATCCTTGATGAACTTGAGACTCCTCCTAATGTCCCCCTCCCAGTCCCCCGGCCCCCACTCACCTTATCCTTGATGAACTTGAGACTCCTCCTAATGTCCCCCTCCCAGTCCCCCGGCCCCCACTCACCTTATCCTTGATGAACTTGAGACTCCTCCTAATGTCCCCCTCCCAGTCCCCCGGCCCCCACTCACCTTATCCTTGATGAACTTGAGACTCCTCCTAATGTCCCCCTCCCAGTCCCCCGGCCCCCACTCACCTTATCCTTGATGAACTTGAGACTCCTCCTAATGTCCCCCTCCCAGTCCCCCGGCCCCCACTCACCTTATCCTTGATGAACTTGAGACTCCTCCTAATGTCCCCCTCCCAGTCCCCGGCCCCCACTCACCTTATCCTTGATGAACTTGAGACTCCTCCTAATGTCCCCCTCCCAGTCCCCCGGCCCCCACTCACCTTATCCTTGATGAACTTGAGACTCCTCCTAATGTCCCAGTCCCCGGCCCCCACTCACCTTATCCTTGATGAACTTGAGACTCCTCCTAATGTCCCCCTCCCAGTCCCCCGGCCCCCACTCACCTTATCCTTGATGAACTTGAGACTCCTCCTAATGTCCCCCCTCCCAGTCCCCGGCCCCCACTCACCTTATCCTTGATGAACTTGAGACTCCTCCTAATGTCCCCCTCCCAGTCCCCCGGCCCCCACTCACCTTATCCTTGATGAACTTGAGACTCCTCCTAATGTCCCCCTCCCAGTCCCCCGGCCCCCACTCACCTTATCCTTGATGAACTTGAGACTCCTCCTAATGTCCCCCTCCCAGTCCCCCGGCCCCCACTCACCTTATCCTTGATGAACTTGAGACTCCTCCTAATGTCCCCCTCCCAGTCCCCCGGCCCCCACTCACCTTATCCTTGATGAACTTGAGACTCCTCCTAATGTCCCCCCTCCCAGTCCCCCGGCCCCCACTCACCTTATCCTTGATGAACTTGAGACTCCTCCTAATGCCCCCCTCCCAGTCCCCCGGCCCCCACTCACCTTATCCTTGATGAACTTGAGACTCCTCCTAATGTCCCCCTCCCAGTCCCCGGCCCCCACTCACCTTATCCTTGATGAACTTGAGACTCCTCCTAATGTCCCCCTCCCAGTCCCCCACTCACCTTATACTTGATGAACTTGAGACTCCTCCTAATGTCCCCCTCCCAGTCCCCCGGCCCCCACTCACCTTATCCTTGATGAACTTGAGACTCCTCCTAATGTCCCCCTCCCAGTCCCCCGGCCCCCACTCACCTTATCCTTGATGAACTTGAGACTCCTCCTAATGTCCCCCTCCCAGTCCCCCGGCCCCCACTCACCTTATCCTTGATGAACTTGAGACTCCTCCTAATGTCCCCCTCCCAGTCCCCCGGCCCCCCACTCACCTTATCCTTGATGAACTTGAGACTCCTCCTAATGTCCCCCTCCCAGTCCCCCGGCCCCCACTCACCTTATCCTTGATGAACTTGAGACTCCTCCTAATGTCCCCCTCCCAGTCCCCGGCCCCCACTCACCTTATCCTTGATGAACTTGAGACTCCTCCTAATGTCCCCCCTCCCAGTCCCCCGGCCCCCACTCACCTTATCCTTGATGAACTTGAGACTCCTCCTAATGTCCCCCTCCCAGTCCCCCGGCCCCCACTCACCTTATCCTTGATGAACTTGAGACTCCTCCTAATGTCCCCCCTCCCAGTCCCCCGGCCCCCACTCACCTTATCCTTGATGAACTTGAGACTCCTCCTAATGTCCCCCTCCAGTCCCCGGCCCCCACTCACCTTATCCTTGATGAACTTGAGACTCCTCCTAATGTCCCCCTCCCAGTCCCCCGGCCCCCACTCACCTTATCCTTGATGAACTTGAGACTCCTCCTAATGTCCCCCTCCCAGTCCCCGGCCCCCACTCACCTTATCCTTGATGAACTTGAGACTCCTCCTAATGTCCCCCCTCCCAGTCCCCCGGCCCCCACTCACCTTATCCTTGATGAACTTGAGACTCCTCCTAATGTCCCCCCTCCCAGTCCCCCGGCCCCCACTCACCTTATCCTTGATGAACTTGAGACTCCTCCTAATGTCCCCCTCCCAGTCCCCCGGCCCCCACTCACCTTATCCTTGATGAACTTGAGACTCCTCCTAATGTCCCCCTCCCAGTCCCCCGGCCCCCACTCACCTTATCCTTGATGAACTTGAGACTCCTCCTAATGTCCCCCTCCCAGTCCCCCGGCCCCCACTCACCTTATCCTTGATGAACTTGAGACTCCTCCTAATGTCCCCCTCCCAGTCCCCCGGCCCCCACTCACCTTATCCTTGATGAACTTGAGACTCCTCCTAATGTCCCCCTCCCAGTCCCCCGGCCCCCACTCACCTTATCCTTGATGAACTTGAGACTCCTCCTAATGTCCCCCTCCCAGTCCCCCGGCCCCCACTCACCTTATCCTTGATGAACTTGAGACTCCTCCTAATGTCCCCCTCCCAGTCCCCTGGCCCCCACTCACCTTATCCTTGATGAACTTGAGACTCCTCCTAATGTCCCCCCCTCCCAGTCCCCGGCCCCCACTCACCTTATCCTTGATGAACTTGAGACTCCTCCTAATGTCCCCCTCCCAGTCCCCCGGCCCCCACTCACCTTATCCTTGATGAACTTGAGACTCCTCCTAATGTCCCCCTCCCTAGTCCCCCGGCCCCCACTCACCTTATCCTTGATGAACTTGAGACTCCTCCTAATGTCCCCCTCCCAGTCCCCGGCCCCCACTCACCTTATCCTTGATGAACTTGAGACTCCTCCTAATGTCCCCCTCCTAGTCCCCCGGCCCCCACTCACCTTATCCTTGATGAACTTGAGACTCCTCCTAATGTCCCCCTCCCAGTCCCCGGCCCCCACTCACCTTATCCTTGATGAACTTGAGACTCCTCCTAATGTCCCCCTCCCAGTCCCCGGCCCCCACTCACCTTATCCTTGATGAACTTGAGACTCCTCCTAATGTCCCCCTCCCAGTCCCCCGGCCCCCACTCACCTTATCCTTGATGAACTTGAGACTCCTCCTAATGTCCCCCCTCCCAGTCCCCGGCCCCCACTCACCTTATCCTTGATGAACTTGAGACTCCTCCTAATGTCCCCCTCCCAGTCCCCGGCCCCCACTCACCTTATCCTTGATGAACTTGAGACTCCTCCTAATGTCCCCCTCCCAGTCCCCCGGCCCCCACTCACCTTATCCTTGATGAACTTGAGACTCCTCCTAATGTCCCCCTCCCAGTCCCCCGGCCCCCACTCACCTTATCCTTGATGAACTTGAGACTCCTCCTAATGTCCCCCTCCCAGTCCCCCGGCCCCCACTCACCTTATCCTTGATGAACTTGAGACTCCTCCTAATGTCCCCCTCCCAGTCCCCTCACCCCAGCCCCCACTCACCTTATCCTTGATGAACTTGAGACTCCTCCTAATGTCCCCCTCCCAGTCCCCCGGCCCCCACTCACCTTATCCTTGATGAACTTGAGACTCCTCCTAATGTCCCCCTCCTAGTCCCCCGGCCCCCACTCACCTTATCCTTGATGAACTTGAGACTCCTCCTAATGTCCCCTCCCAGTCCCCCGGCCCCCACTCACCTTATCCTTGATGAACTTGAGACTCCTCCTAATGTCCCCCTCCCAGTCCCCGGCCCCCACTCACCTTATCCTTGATGAACTTGAGACTCCTCCTAATGTCCCCCCTCCCAGTCCCCGGCCCCCACTCACCTTATCCTTGATGAACTTGAGACTCCTCCTAATGTCCCCCTCCCAGTCCCCGGCCCCCACTCACCTTATCCTTGATGAACTTGAGACTCCTCCTAATGTCCCCCTCCCAGTCCCCGGCCCCCACTCACCTTATCCTTGATGAACTTGAGACTCCTCCTAATGTCCCCCTCCCAGTCCCCGGCCCCCACTCACCTTATCCTTGATGAACTTGAGACTCCTCCTAATGTCCCCCTCCCAGTCCCCCGGCCCCCACTCACCTTATCCTTGATGAACTTGAGACTCCTCCTAATGTCCCCCCTCCCAGTCCCCCGGCCCCCACTCACCTTATCCTTGATGAACTTGAGACTCCTCCTAATGTCCCCCTCCCAGTCCCCCGGCCCCCACTCACCTTATCCTTGATGAACTTGAGACTCCTCCTAATGTCCCCCCTCCCAGTCCCCGGCCCCCACTCACCTTATCCTTGATGAACTTGAGACTCCTCCTAATGTCCCCCCTCCCAGTCCCCCGGCCCCCACTCACCTTATCCTTGATGAACTTGAGACTCCTCCTAATGTCCCCCTCCCAGTCCCCGGCCCCCCACTCACCTTATCCTTGATGAACTTGAGACTCCTCCTAATGTCCCCCTCCCAGTCCCCCGGCCCCCACTCACCTTATCCTTGATGAACTTGAGACTCCTCCTAATGTCCCCCTCCCAGTCCCCCGGCCCCCACTCACCTTATCCTTGATGAACTTGAGACTCCTCCTAATGTCCCCCTCCCAGTCCCCCGGCCCCCACTCACCTTATCCTTGATGAACTTGAGACTCCTCCTAATGTCCCCCTCCCAGTCCCCCGGCCCCCACTCACCTTATCCTTGATGAACTTGAGACTCCTCCTAATGTCCCCCCTCCCAGTCCCCGGCCCCCACTCACCTTATCCTTGATGAACTTGAGACTCCTCCTAATGTCCCCCTCCCAGTCCCCCGGCCCCCACTCACCTTATCCTTGATGAACTTGAGACTCCTCCTAATGTCCCCCTCCCAGTCCCCCGGCCCCCACTCACCTTATCCTTGATGAACTTGAGACTCCTCCTAATGTCCCCCTCCCAGTCCCCCGGCCCCCACTCACCTTATCCTTGATGAACTTGAGACTCCTCCTAATGTCCCCCTCCCAGTCCCCGCCCCCACTCACCTTATCCTTGATGAACTTGAGACTCCTCCTAATGTCCCCCTCCCAGTCCCCGGCCCCCACTCACCTTATCCTTGATGAACTTGAGACTCCTCCTAATGTCCCCCCTCCCAGTCCCCCGGCCCCCACTCACCTTATCCTTGATGAACTTGAGACTCCTCCTAATGTCCCCCTCCCAGTCCCCGGCCCCCACTCACCTTATCCTTGATGAACTTGAGACTCCTCCTAATGTCCCCCTCCCAGTCCCCCGGCCCCCACTCACCTTATCCTTGATGAACTTGAGACTCCTCCTAATGTCCCCCTCCCAGTCCCCCGGCCCCCACTCACCTTATCCTTGATGAACTTGAGACTCCTCCTAATGTCCCCCTCCCAGTCCCCCGGCCCCCCACTCACCTTATCCTTGATGAACTTGAGACTCCTCCTAATGTCCCCCCTCCCAGTCCCCGGCCCCCACTCACCTTATCCTTGATGAACTTGAGACTCCTCCTAATGTCCCCCTCCCAGTCCCCGGCCCCCACTCACCTTATCCTTGATGAACTTGAGACTCCTCCTAATGTCCCCCTCCCAGTCCCCCGGCCCCCACTCACCTTATCCTTGATGAACTTGAGACTCCTCCTAATGTCCCCCTCCTAGTCCCCGGCCCCCACTCACCTTATCCTTGATGAACTTGAGACTCCTCCTAATGTCCCCCCTCCCAGTCCCCGGCCCCCACTCACCTTATCCTTGATGAACTTGAGACTCCTCCTAATGTCCCCCTCCCAGTCCCCGGCCCCCACTCACCTTATCCTTGATGAACTTGAGACTCCTCCTAATGTCCCCCTCCCAGTCCCCCGGCCCCCACTCACCTTATCCTTGATGAACTTGAGACTCCTCCTAATGTCCCCCTCCCAGTCCCCGGCCCCCACTCACCTTATCCTTGATGAACTTGAGACTCCTCCTAATGTCCCCCTCCCAGTCCCCCGGCCCCCACTCACCTTATCCTTGATGAACTTGAGACTCCTCCTAATGTCCCCCTCCCAGTCCCCCGGCCCCCACTCACCTTATCCTTGATGAACTTGAGACTCCTCCTAATGTCCCCCTCCCAGTCCCCCGGCCCCCCACTCACCTTATCCTTGATGAACTTGAGACTCCTCCTAATGTCCCCCTCCCCAGTCCCCCGGCCCCCACTCACCTTATCCTTGATGAACTTGAGACTCCTCCTAATGTCCCCTTCCCAGTCCCCCGGCCCCCCCTCACCTTATCCTTGATGAACTTGAGACTCCTCCTAATGTCCCCCTCCCAGTCCCCCGGCCCCCACTCACCTTATCCTTGATGAACTTGAGACTCCTCCTAATGTCCCCCTCCCAGTCCCCCGGCCCCCACTCACCTTATCCTTGATGAACTTGAGACTCCTCCTAATGTCCCCCTCCCAGTCCCCCGGCCCCCACTCACCTTATCCTTGATGAACTTGAGACTCCTCCTAATGTCCCCCTCCCAGTCCCCCGGCCCCCACTCACCTTATCCTTGATGAACTTGAGACTCCTCCTAATGTCCCCCTCCCAGTCCCCCGGCCCCCACTCACCTTATCCTTGATGAACTTGAGACTCCTCCTAATGTCCCCCCCCCCCCAGTCCCCCGGCCCCCACTCACCTTATCCTTGATGAACTTGAGACTCCTCCTAATGCCCCCCTCCCAGTCCCCCGGCCCCCACTCACCTTATCCTTGATGAACTTGAGACTCCTCCTAATGTCCCCCTCCCAGTCCCCCGGCCCCCACTCACCTTATCCTTGATGAACTTGAGACTCCTCCTAATGTCCCCCTCCCAGTCCCCCGGCCCCCACTCACCTTATCCTTGATGAACTTGAGACTCCTCCTAATGTCCCCCCCCCAGTCCCCCGGCCCCCACTCACCTTATCCTTGATGAACTTGAGACTCCTCCTAATGTCCCCCTCCCAGTCCCCGGCCCCCACTCACCTTATCCTTGATGAACTTGAGACTCCTCCTAATGTCCCCCCCCCCAGTCCCCCGGCCCCCACTCACCTTATCCTTGATGAACTTGAGACTCCTCCTAATGCCCCCCTCCCAGTCCCCCGGCCCCCACTCACCTTATCCTTGATGAACTTGAGACTCCTCCTAATGCCCCCCTCCCAGTCCCCCGGCCCCCACTCACCTTATCCTTGATGAACTTGAGACTCCTCCTAATGTCCCCCCCCCCAGTCCCCCGGCCCCCACTCACCTTATCCTTGATGAACTTGAGACTCCTCCTAATGTCCCCCTCCCAGTCCCCGGCCCCCACTCACCTTATCCTTGATGAACTTGAGACTCCTCCTAATGTCCCCCCCCCAGTCCCCCGGCCCCCACTCACCTTATCCTTGATGAACTTGAGACTCCTCCTAATGCCCCCCTCCCAGTCCCCCGGCCCCCACTCACCTTATCCTTGATGAACTTGAGACTCCTCCTAATGTCCCCCTCCCAGTCCCCGGCCCCCACTCACCTTATCCTTGATGAACTTGAGACTCCTCCTAATGTCCCCCTCCTAGTCCCCCGGCCCCCCCTCACCTTATCCTTGATGAACTTGAGACTCCTCCTAATGTCCCCCTCCCAGTCCCCCGGCCCCCACTCACCTTATCCTTGATGAACTTGAGACTCCTCCTAATGTCCCCCTCCCAGTCCCCCGGCCCCCACTCACCTTATCCTTGATGAACTTGAGACTCCTCCTAATGTCCCCCTCCCAGTCCCCCGGCCCCCACTCACCTTATCCTTGATGAACTTGAGACTCCTCCTAATGTCCCCCTCCCAGTCCCCCGGCCCCCACTCACCTTATCCTTGATGAACTTGAGACTCCTCCTAATGTCCCCCCCCCCAGTCCCCCGGCCCCCACTCACCTTATCCTTGATGAACTTGAGACTCCTCCTAATGTCCCCCTCCCAGTCCCCCGGCCCCCACTCACCTTATCCTTGATGAACTTGAGACTCCTCCTAATGTCCCCCTCCCAGTCCCCGGCCCCCACTCACCTTATCCTTGATGAACTTGAGACTCCTCCTAATGTCCCCCTCCTCATCCTCCTCGTCTTTCTGTTGGGTGTAGTTCTCTCTCGCTTCTGACACCTTCATGTGCAGCTCGTAGAAGTCAATATCGGGAGCCGCTGGAGGAGGGAGGTAACACGTTATAGAGTATAATATAGATTATAGGGAGTATATAGTGTAATAGTGACTGTTCGGGGACTGTTCGGTTACTCTAGTCTTATTGATCTATAGGGAGTAGTTCACCATATAATTACTTAACTCATCCCATCAACACTACTCTTCGAGCGCTGTTGCCTACAAAACTACACTCATCGAGCAATGGTACCCTATGCAAATGGCGATATAACAAAGTTTATCAAATAAAAGATTTAATATAGTAAAATTCTATTTATATTTGTGAACATTAGTATTACCATTATGGAGAGGAGTGAGTTATAATACTTTTATATTTATTATCTTGAAAATTGCTGTTGTAACTTAAGATTTAAAATTTGTATTCCTTGTAATTCCCATCCCTCGGTCCCTATTCCCTAGAAAACTCCTTGTTCAGACTCACCTTCTTCCTCCTGGATACAAGGAGCACAAACTTTACACTGTAGCTGAGTAACCACCCATCTCACACTGAATATCATGTACCAAATCAGGGAGAAAGGGTTTGGTAGAGGTTGCTTGTGTTTAAACTCAACTACCACCGCGCACCACTGTACTTTCCAGATCTTAGCTGCCTCCGACTCTACCGTCTCATATCTGCAAAATATTACCTGGTTTAAAAATGTCCTTCAAAACAACAGTTTCTAGAAATAGTTAGTTCTAATAAACTGTGAGAGCAATAAGGAATACGCACGTGTAAGGAGTAAGGAATGTGTGAATACGCACGTGTAAGGAGTAAGGAATGTGTGAATACGCACGTGTAAGGAGTAAGGAATGTGTGAATACGCACGTGTAAGGAGTAAGGAATGTGTGAATACGCACGTGTAAGGAGTAAGGAATGTGTGAATACGCACGTGTAAGGAGTAAGGAATGTGTGAATACGCACGTGTAAGGAGTAAGGAATGTGTGAATACGCACGTGTAAGGAGTAAGGAATGTACTCACGTGCTAGAGAAGATAGCAATGAGTAGGTTGAGAAGAAGCACGTTAACAAAGAGGAGATAGCAGAACATGAGGAGCTGCAGGAAGTAGTAATGTGTAGAGGCGATACTGTCATGCTCCAGAAACTCTCCGATACCTACATCCTCACACCCGTCATCTTGTGTACAGTGTCCTGCACAAAGTTCACTTGTTATGTAACAGAAACCTGGGCTGTAGCTCAGTAGCTACAAAATATGTCCTCTATAACGTTTTTTTAATATCAACAATGCAACCAAACCCCCACAGTTGTACATAGCCTCCCCCTACAGTTGAACATAGTACGTACCATCAATAAGACTGGCCTGCATGTAAATAGTACGTACCATCAATAAGACTGGCCTGCATATAAATAGTACGTACCATCAATAAGACTGGCCTGCATGTAAATAGTACGTACCATCAATAAGACTGGCCTGCATGTACATAGTACGTACCATCAATAAGACTGGCCTGCATGTAAATAGTACGTACCATCAATAAGACTGGCCTGCATGTAAATAGTACGTACCATCAATAAGACTGGCCTGCATGTAAATAGTACGTACCATCAATAAGACTGGCCTGCATAGTACGTACCATCAATAAGACTGGCCTGCATGTAAATAGTACGTACCATCAATAAGACTGGCCTGCATGTAAATAGTACGTACCATCAATAAGACTGGCCTGCATGTCCTCCAGTCCGATCTCCCCAAACACGTTTAGGGCAGGTAGCAGTATTACATTGTATAACCTGAACCCGGTCAACACATCATCATTAGGAGCTTGAAGTGCCTGGGATTACATTATTATGCATTATTATAGAATATCATTTTTGTGTTTTATAGTATGTTACAGTTTTTAGTTTTAAAAAAATAGTATGTTACAGTGTTTTAGTGTTTTATAGTATCTTTACAGTATGTTAAAGTAAAATATTACATGTTAAAGTATATTCTTACACTTCATTATCAGGCACTTAAACAGTTCAATATTTACCTCCTGTATTACGTGAACAACACCTTGAGAGTCTACACTAAGATCACTATAGTTTGTCATAACAACTAAGTACCTGTAACCATAACAACTAAGTAAACTAAGATCACTATGGTTTGTCTGTTGTCATAACAACTAAGTACACTAAGAACACTATGGTTTGTCTGTTGTCATAACAACTAAGTACCTGTAACCATAACAACTAAGTAAACTAAGATCACTATGGTTTGTCTGTTGTCATAACAACTAAGTACACTAAGATCTCTATGGTTTGTCTGTTGTCATAACAACTAAGTACCTGTAACCATAACAACTAGGTACCTGAGAGCAGATGCCGTATGTGATGAGGAAGATGGCGATTAAGAAGAGGAAGAGAACAAAGTCCACCATCATCTTCCCTATCATAATGATCTTAGGTCCAGTCTTCATGCTCACCTCCAATACCTGAAGTAGTTATTTAGAAATACATGTGTATTCTCCTGAAAGAGCATAACACAAGGAATACTACGTGTAGTCTATTTTCTCATGTGATCTACAAAACTTTGTCTGCAAATTATTGTATTTATTATAAAATAAATTTGAGATTTTATTAAATTATTAACCTGAATTATTCTCAACCCGAGTAGCAAGAAAGCGATGATGCTGACGATGTGAGCCACGTTGTGGAGCGTCAGGTCACCAGTTACTGGCAGATCATCCTTCCTGTTAGCCACCGACTAAATGAAAACAGATGTTACCCAACAACAATCACCATGCTAACACTACACAATATATTTCATATAAATACTAGAATCATTAGATAAGCTGTAATCAGTACCTTGAGTATGAATGAAGCTAGATAGGTTGCTATTCCAACTATGTCCAACACATTGAACACGTCTCTAAAGTGAACTCTCAGTTTCTCACCTAGAGTAACTGGGTTTTGTTGCATCAGCTGAAATGGTTTGTTTTTATCATGTACACGTGACACAAATAGGATTTGCACTGCTGACAGTGCGCGCGCAAACTTGCGTCATCTTTTAAACATGCGGAGTTTGCGCGCGACAATGTAGCAATGTTTATCAGTTCTACTCGATGATATAGTAATTGTTTTGATAATTTCTAGAGCTAAGATGTGAGGTTTATGTCTTGGCTACTGTAGTTCAATTAGCAATATGATCTATGTAGATAGATAAATCGATAAAATATCAAGTTGTACGAACAATATATCTCCAACGTATTAGGATTACTTGTCAAGTAATTTGAGCTAATATATCCTAAATCTAGACTGACAGTCAAACTTGCAATTTTTAATCAAAATAAATCTCATATTTTGAACGTCCAAGTTAAGGTAAACAGTGACAGACGTGAAAGAGAAAGAGAAAGATCAAAGAAACCTGATGCCACTCTGAAGGGATTTGGCCGAGTATCCAAAGACACAGGATGATATCGTAGTAAGTAATATTACACCTGTTCGATACCAACCCCTGTTTTACGGGCCTAACTAACAATGTGTACCCGTAGAACGCCAGAAACACGAAATATGTGATCTGAAATGAGTCTGTGTTAATAGGGAATGAAGGTAGCTGCAATATTTACACATTAATTTGATTGAAGATGTTTAGTTATAACCGTCTGAGAAGATTAGCATAATTACTTAGTTACCTAATTACTTAGTTATATACCCTAGTATCCTAGTTATTAATCTAGTGTTAAAGGAGTTACAGACACGTGAACATAGGAAAAATAGAAAACACTGAACATATAGTGATAATAAAAGTAACCCACGAAGTGTAAAGTAAACTTGGTAGCAGGAGAAGTGTAGTAAGCTATAACTGCCTCGTTCCAGTACACCTTCCTTCTATTAGGAGCTGGAACTAGGGACAAATTGTCCATTTCTTCCGTATCCTCACCTCTATTTAGTTCAGTCTGTATTATTAGTGACTTTATACCTCCACCTAGAGGGTAAGGGGTTTAGTTCAGTCTGTATTATTAGTGACTTTATACCTCCACCTAGAGGGTAAGGAGTTTAGTTCAGTCTGTATTATTAGTGACTTTATACCTCCACCTAGAGGGTAAGGAGTTTAGTTCAGTCTGTATTATTAGTGACTTTATACCTCCACCTAGAGGGTAAGGAGTTTAGTTCAGTCTGTATTATTAGTGACTTTATACCTCCACCTAGAGGGTAAGGGGTTTAGTTCAGTCTGTATTATTAGTGACTTTATACCTCCACCTAGAGGGTAAGGAGTTTAGTTCAGTCTGTATTATTAGTGACTTTATACCTCCACCTAGAGGGTAAGGAGTTTAGTTCAGTCTGTATTATTAGTGACTTTATACCTCCACCAAGAGGGTAAGGAGTTTAGTTCAGTCTGTATTATTAGTGACTTTATACCTCCACCTAGAGGGTAAGGAGTTTAGTTCAGTCTGTATTATAAGTGACTTTATACCTCCACCTAGAGGGTAAGGAGTTTAGTTCAGTCTGTATTATAAGTGACTTTATACCTCCACCTAGAGGGTAAGGGGTTTAGTTCCGTCTGTATTATTAGTGACTTTATACCTCCACCTAGAGGGTAAGGAGTTTAGTTCAGTCTGTATTATTAGTGACTTTATACCTCCACCTAGAGGGTAAGGGGTTAGATAATATCTAGACTTTAAGAACAAATAATCAACAAAATGTGGGAGTGGTAACATTACATAAACAAAGCTTGTAACCATAGCAACTAACCTTTATTCATCATCTTCCTCTGTTGCACTGTTTCCCAAGCTTGTTTCTCCTCTGATGTCATGGTCCGTTTATTGTACCTCAGTAACAAGAAGAGAGGGGGTATGAAACACAGCAATATCTTCAACATACTCGTGCTGTGGTGTATCTGTCCCATCCAGGTGTGGTTCAAGTAACTCTGTATCGGACTCTGGAGGGGGTCACGCGTTAGAGGGGGGGGGGGGGGGTCACGCGTTAGAGGGGGGTCACGCGTTAGAGGGGGGTCACGCGTTAGAGGGGGGTCACGCGTTAGAGGGGGGTCACGCGTTAGAGGGGGGTCACGCGTTAGAGGGGGGTCACGCGTTAGAAACACATTATATATTACACAGACTCGAGAGAGAGTAGAACTAAATTAGAACCCACCTCTGCTATAAAGTTGTCAGCACTAATATTCTTAGCTAGCTGTATGAGGTTCATCTTGTTAACCATCGGTCTTGGAGCTGTGAGTATTTTAGTCCAATCCTTCCTGTCAAACCTCCTGAGGAATGTATTAACCAATCAGAGCACAGTATTTCAACCACCTGACATATATTAACCAATCAGAGCACAGTATTTCAACCACCTGACATATATTAACCAATCAGAGCACAGTATTCCAACCACCGGACATATATTAACCAATCAGAGCACAGTATTCCAACCACCTGACATATATTAACCAATCAGAGCACAGTATTTCAACCACCGGACATATATTAACCAATCAGAGCACAGTATTCCAACCACCTGACATATATTAACCAATCAGAGCACAGTATTTCAACCACCGGACATATATTAACCAATCAGAGCACAGTATTTCAACCACCGGACATATATTAACCAATCAGAGCACAGTATTCCAACCACCTGACATATATTAACCAATCAGAGCATAGTATATATAAAACTAACCGGTAACACTCGGACATGACGCTACAAGCCATCAGTTCGAACTGGAAGCCTTGTTTAGAGAGCATCTCAGCGTTATCTTCATCACACGCTAACTTGTTGGACTCAAACTCTGACAGGTGCCTGTAAAGTTTACAGTTAACAAAATATACTAAATCTATAATCTATATATATGTATATATAATACTCAATATTTTAGTAGGTTTTTAGATTTTAGTGATCTGTAGAATATAAAACTTGTAACCATAGCAACTAAAAAGTAACACTCACCAGTTGATCTTAGCAGCGATAAGTCCGGTAACTATCGGCTCTTTACACCTCCCCCAGAATAAGAGAGCCATGTCGTGGAACTGCATTATACAAGCAAACACGACCATTATGTCGTACGGACAGTCTATAACTTCGTCACATATTGACTCGTAGTCAAACTCTGCCTTAGCCCATGGGCTCCTGGCAATAACAATAGCGTAATTTCAACAAGTTGAATTAGATAAGTCCTTGTGTGAACCATTTATTTTTATTCAAAATGTTGTACAGTTCCGAGTCTCTCAACTTTCGGATTTTTCAACTGCCTGATGGAACAGTACTTGAACTGACCTGCAGAATATTTCCTTGTGTTTGAACTGACCTGCAGAATATTTCCTTGTGTTTGAACTGACCTGCAGAATATTTCCTTGTGTTTGAACTGACCTGTAGAAGCCCTCAATGATCTCTTCCAGGAAGCTGCCAATGAGTTGTAAGGTAATTACTCCGTCGTGTTTGGTTTCTGCTCGAGTTAACAGTACTTTACCTATAGTCTGAACCTTCAAGTCCATTGTATTGTATAGACTCTGTAGTTCTCTGAGGACAGAAGGTATATTATTATTATTAGATGCAGCCAACATACGGACTCTATACGGATCCTGTACACCGCAAGGCTCCCGTACAAGGCAAACTAGGTCATATACAAATTATGAAGACGAAAAACTACAATCATTGTAGCACTTATCATAAGTTTGTCCCCCCCCCCCCCCGCACTAATATTAACACTCACTTGTAAGTGAGGTAATGTTTCATGTCAGCCCCCCTCCCGAACTAACATAAACACTCACTTGTAAGTGAGGTAATGTTTCATGTCAGCCCCCCCCCCCGCACTAATATAAACACTCACTTGTAAGTGAGGTAATGTTTCATGTCAGCCCCCGCACTAATATAAACACTCACTTGTAAGTGAGATAATGTTTCATGTCAGCCCCCCCCGCACTAATATAAACACTCACTTGTAAGTGAGGTAATGTTTCATGTCAGCCTCTGTGTCCAACAGTTTCTTAACGAACCCAGTCCTATTCTGAATAATAGCCACTCTCAGGAACTGTTCTAACTCGTGGTCTTGGTACGAGTGCCGAGTTAGAATCATGTCTTTTGCTATCTGTAACCTGGGAGTGCCGAGTTAGAATCATGTCTTTTGCTATCTGTAACCTGGGAGTGCCGAGTTAGAATCATGTCTTTTGCTATCTGTAACCTGGGAGTGTCGAGTTAGAATCATGTCTTTTGCTATCTGTAACCTGGGAGTGCCGAGTTAGAATCATGTCTTTTGCTATCTGTAACCTGGGAGTGTCGAGTTAGAATCATGTCTTTTGCTATCTGTAACCTGGGAGTGCCGAGTTAGAATCATGTCTTTTGCTATCTGTAACCTGGGAGTGTCGAGTTAGAATCATGTCTTTTGCCATCTGTAACCTGGGAGTGCCGAGTTAGAATCATGTCTTTTGCTATCTGTAACCTGGGAGTGTCGAGTTAGAATCATGTCTTTTGCTATCTGTAACCTGGGAGTGCCGAGTTAGAATCATGTCTTTTGCTATCTGTAACCTGGGAGTGCCGAGTTAGAATCATGTCTTTTGCTATCTGTAACCTGGGAGTGTCGAGTTAGAATCATGTCTTTTGCTATCTGTAACCTGGGAGTGTCGAGTTAGAATCATGTCTTTTGCTATCTGTAACCTGGGAGTGTCGAGTTAGAATCATGTCTTTTGCTATCTGTAACCTGGGAGTGCCGAGTTAGAATCATGTCTTTTGCTATCTGTAACCTGGGAGTGTCGAGTTAGAATCATGTCTTTTGCTATCTGTAACCTGGGAGTGCCGAGTTAGAATCATGTCTTTTGCTATCTGTAACCTGGGAGTGCCGAGTTAGAATCATGTCTTTTGCTATCTGTAACCTTGGAGTGCCGAGTTAGAATCATGTCTTTTGCTATCTGTAACCTGGGAGTGCCGAGTTAGAATCATGTCTTTTGCTATCTGTAACCTGGGAGTGTCGAGTTAGAATCATGTCTTTTGCTATCTGTAACCTGGGAGTGCCGAGTTAGAATCATGTCTTTTGCTATCTGTAACCTGGGAGTGCCGAGTTAGAATCATGTCTTTTGCTATCTGTAACCTGGGAGTGCCGAGTTAGAATCATGTCTTTTGCTATCTGTAACCTGGGAGTGCCGAGTTAGAATCATGTCTTTTGCTATCTGTAACCTGGGAGTGCCGAGTTAGAATCATGTCTTTTGCTATCTGTAACCTGGGAGTGCCGAGTTAGAATCATGTCTTTTGCTATCTGTAACCTGGGAGTGCCGAGTTAGAATCATGTCTTTTGCTATCTGTAACCTGGGAGTGCCGAGTTAGAATCATGTCTTTTGCTATCTGTAACCTGGGAGTGCCGAGTTAGAATCATGTCTTTTGCTATCTGTAACCTGGGAGTGCCGAGTTAGAATCATGTCTTTTGCTATCTGTAACCTGGGAGTGTCGAGTTAGAATCATGTCTTTTGCTATCTGTAACCTGATGATAGCTTACATAAACAAATAAGAAAAATTTTCTAATTGTTATAAATAATACATTGTTATAAATAATACATTCCACTCCACTATTCGAATTCCCGGTTATTTCACATTCCTTATATGGGCATCACGTGGTTCTATTACCTGTCCCACGTGATAGCGAGCATCATCTGAGACATCTTAGCTCTGTGGTCGGACACTGACCGGATCATGGCTATCAGGATAGCGTTATCAAAGTCATTGTTCTTGTCTCCTTGTAGTCGGTACACTGTTAGCTGAGATAGCGTGTATGATTTTATAAGGTGGTTTCTACAAAATTATGCTAAATCATCATTGTCAAATACTAACTGTAATCTAATGATGATAATAATAATGTAAAGCTTTAAACTGTAATCTAATAATATAATGTCCCTTACCAGATTGTCGTACTTTAGTAGTTCCAGGAGACCTTTAAAGATGTTCTCTCTAGCCTCCTCCTTCATATTCAGGAAATGTTTGTTTATCTCCATTTTAACGTCGTCCTAGAAACACACTGTGTTAACACACATAACTTACCATGAACTTGTAATGCTATCTTTAATTACTATAACATGTGACGAGGTAAATAAGAATGTTAAATAAGAAAGTGAAAGAAGAAAGTGAGACTGACCCAGTACTCATCAGGAAGAGTACGCTGTTTAGTTTCTCTGTTTCCCTCGTATATTACAGCACATGTTGAGTAACTGTAAGCTTTAGCTATAATATCAGCACTCCTACCTGACCCTTGTAGCACTAACACAGGGTTACCTGAACACACAATATGTCAGCAATGTGGGGCAGAACGTAGAAAGGAAAGTGAAAGTGAAACATGATGAAAAGTAAACTCTTCCTGAACTTCTACAATTCTAACTTTCTAAATACCAGGCACAAGGACAGGGACCAGGCAGGAGGGTAGGGACCTTGGTTCAGGAGGTAGAGGGTGAGGCAGGGTGGGGCAGGAGGGTAGGGACCTTGGTTCAGGGGGTAGAGGGTGGGGCATGATACTTTAATTACCGTTTCTGATAGTAGCTACACAGGTAGAGATGGAGTTGGGACCTCCCTCAACAAGGATGCATATCATGGGTAGTCTGCACATGTCCCCATCTGGTATGTTGTAGTTATCTTGGTAGTGCTCGCATATAGCTGCCTCTATAGCCCCTCTCATTGATATCTCCGTACCGTACTTCTTCTGGGAACCTAGCACAAGGGAAAGTGAAACAATATATAACCTGGCACAAGGGAAAGTGAAAGTGAAACAAGATGTAAACTGGCACAAGGGAAAGTGAAACAAGATGTAAACTAATCCTGTTATTCCGTGATTCCGTTATTACGTTCTGAGCGCCTAGTAAAGGCGAATAGTAGAGAGTGGTATTTGTGAAGAAAGGAATATGAGAGGACCACCTGATGCCCATATAAGGAATGTTAGAGAACTTACCATCATCCACGAGGAGGAAGTGAGAGTGGTTAGGGTCCATGTAAGCTTCAAATGCAGCTGGACTAGCTTTAGTGGGGTAATCGAACACAAGCTTCTTTTTCTGCAGAGTTATATCATCATAACCAGGCAACCAGGTAACCAGGTAACCAGGTAACCAGGTAACCAGGTAACCAGGTAACCTGATAACCTGGTAACGTTCCCACGTGATGCTTATATAAGGTAGTAATACTACTTATTTACATATACTACTGTTTACTTACAATACTACCGTAGTATTGCAAGTAAACAGACAAATAATCACCTCTTTCCTCTTAGTAGGCTTGAGTAACTGCTCCTTGTTCTTTATAATCCCCCAGCTAGCAATACCAATAGAAGTAATGTTACTCCCTGAATAACCTCTCACAGCTTCACCCACCAGCTTCATAACTCCCTGAGGTCATGTTAGTACACTGAGTATCTTCCAAACATTTCACTGTTCTTCTCGGAGTGTTGCCGATATAATTAGGTAATATGTTCTGTGTAAAGTAACCACGTGGTACCCATATAAGGTAATAATAAAACTAACCGTGTTGGTGCCCATATTAGGTAATGATAAAACTAACCGTGTTGGTGCCCATATTAGGTAATGATAAAACTAACCGTGTTGGTGCCCATATTAGGTAATGATAAAACTAACCGTGTTGGTGCCCATATTAGGTAATGATAAAACTAACCGTGTTGGTGCCCATATTAGGTAATGATAAAACTAACCGTGTTGGTGCCCATATTAGGTAATGATAAAACTAACCGTGTTGGTGCCCATATTAGGTAATGACAAAACTAACCGTGTTGGTGCCCATATTAGGTAATGATAAAACTAACCGTGTTGGTGCCCATATTAGGTAATGTTAAAACTAACCGTGTTGGTGCCCATATTAGGTAATGTTAAAACTAACCGTGTTGGTGCCCATATTAGGTAATGATAAAACTAACCGTGTTGGTGCCCATATTAGGTAACGATAAAACTAACCGTGTTGGTGCCCATATTAGGTAATGACAAAACTAACCGTGTTGGTGCCCATATTAGGTAATGACAAAACTAACCGTGTTGGTGCCCATATTAGGTAATGATAAAACTAACCGTGTTGGTGCCCATATTAGGTAATGATAAAACTAACCGTGTTGGTGCCCATATTAGGTAATGATAAAACTAACCGTGTTGGTGCCCATATTAGGTAATAATAAAACTAACCGTGTTGGTGCCCATATTAGGTAATGATAAAACTAACCGTGTTGGTGCCCATATAAGGTAATGATAAAACTAACCGTGTTGGTGCCCATATAAGGTAATAATAAAACTAACCGTGTTGGTGCCCATATTAGGTAATGATAAAACTAACCGTGTTGGTGCCCATATTAGGTAATGATAAAACTAACCGTGTTGGTGCCCATATTAGGTAATGACAAAACTAACCGTGTTGGTGCCCATATTAGGTAATGATAAAACTAACCGTGTTGGTGCCCATATTAGGTAATGTTAAAACTAACCGTGTTGGTGCCCATATTAGGTAATGACAAAACTAACCGTGTTGGTTCCCATATAAGGTAATGATAAAACTAACCGTGTTGGTGCCCATAATAGGTAATGATAAAACTAACCGTGTTGGTGCCCATATTAGGTAATGATAAAACTAACCGTGTTGGTGCCCATATTAGGTAATGACAAAACTAACCGTGTTGGTGCCCATATTAGGTAATGATAAAACTAACCGTGTTGGTGCCCATATTAGGTAATGTTAAAACTAACCGTGTTGGTGCCCATATTAGGTAATGACAAAACTAACCGTGTTGGTTCCCATATAAGGTAATGATAAAACTAACCGTGTTGGTGCCCATAATAGGTAATGATAAAACTAACCGTGTTGGTGCCCATATTAGGTAATGATAAAACTAACCGTGTTGGTGCCCCCAGTGATCACCCAAGCATCAGTACTTTTAACTGCTTTCATGAGCCCCTTCTTAAACTCTGACAGTAGATCTGGTAACACGTGGAAATCTTTAGCTCCCCCGGTAACTGATATGAGGAGTTTAGGGGCAGGGAGGGACCACCTGCTCTCAAACAGCTTGATTACTGTCTTTACTTTCTCTGTGTCTTCGTACTCTGCACCTACTTTCACAAACTGGGGAGTTATTGTTTATATTACGAATCAGCTTCCATCAGTTAGATCACTGATCATTGTCACGTGTTAGAATAATGTGGTTACCTCCGCATTACCATGGTAACACATACCAGTGTCACGTGTTACCATGGTAACACATACCAGTGTCACGTGTAACCATGGTAACACATACCAGTGTCACGTGTTACCATGGTAACACATACCAGTGTCACGTGTTACCATGGTAACACATACCAGTGTCACGTGTTACCATGGTAACACATACCAGTGTCACGTGTTACCATGGTAACACATACCAGTGTCTTATCAGCACTATCCGTTAAAAAATTATCAAATTAATAAATTATTAAATTAATAAACGAACTGACTAATAAATAAATAAATTAATCAAAATGAACCTGAGGCTGCTGGTTTCCGTCCTCGTCTACGAAGTTCAGTCTCCCGTACGAGTTGCAGTCCACTATTTTAGTGTGATAGTTGTAGTCCCACTTTTTACTGGAGTCAGCGGGGGTGTCGGCTCCATGCTCTGACCTTGCATACCCGCAACCACACCTGTAGTATTGGATAATTAGTTAATCGGTTAATAATTGAGCTCTCGGTACCTACAGCATTTTGTTTCATCGGACCAAGCCTAGGTGGCCTAGAATAGCATCCGCCTTCTGCGTTTAATACTATTACTATTACTATTAAGCCTCCCGTGTTTACACGTGATGCCCATATAAGGTAATATTTTGCACTCACGTGGGATCCTCTGATTCCTGGTTGGCGGGTGTCTTTACGAACACATTACATTCTCTGCACTTCAGATGCTCTTCTATCCACGTCTTAACTGGTTTCTGAAGCAGTAGCTTAGTAAGCGATGAGATAGCTTAGTTAGTAATAATATAACTTAACACTACTAGATAACCTAAAAGCAGATACTGGGCTGAAGTCAGTAGATCAGAAATCAGTAGATGAGATAGCTAGACTGATGGAGGACAGAAAGCTGTGGAGAACTGTTGTCAATGGATCTTGGGAACACTACCCGTCTTAAGTAAGTAAGTCAAGTCATATTGAGAATTACATTGAGAAACTTAGCCAATGTATGGATGTGAGCTCTACCACACTTATAGACATATATTATATATAGTAGTGTTGAAAGTATCAACAATATAAGAGCGGGATTATTGTAGGTACTCCAGTCACAACGACAGTAGTTCGAGCCTGGAGGTACTGTTGATATTGAAACTACTGTTGATATTGAAACTACTGTTGATATGTATACTATTGCAAACTACTGATGTATTTATGTATAGTATACTATTGCAATTGAGTATTTAACAAAAGTGTGATTAACAACCCACACATTATCTTATCAACGTGCTGTGAAATAGCGCTGTACTCACAAGCATTGCTCCCTGAGCCATTCTCCCTCACACATTCAGTGATCACACCTTGATCACACCTTGATCACACCTTATTCACACCTTGATCACACCTTGGTCACACCTTGGTCACACCTTGGTCACACCTTGGTCACACTCTTCACACGCAGTCACTACACCACACTTAGTCACACACTAATACTTTAATACAGTAAACACGGTGTTGGTAGGTTGAAGGTTGAAGGTATTGTATAGCAGTATCTATAAGTACTGCTATACTGCTATAAGTATAGCAGAAGTTACAGGGAAATATTTGACGGATGTAAAGGGGCATGGTTATTAGGGGTAATACAGAGACTTATTTGTCATTTTAACTTTTATAAAAATCAATCGTTATATTAATAATATCCAAATTACTGAACGGAACGAAGGGGAAAAAAGTTCTCGTCCATGTATACACCGTGTTGTTATGGATACACTTTGAAAACTACAACTATAAACTGATAAAGCTCACTTGATATTACAACGAAACAACTTTTATAAAACTAGAAACTTAGAAAGCACGTAACTCAATTAGTACCGACAACTTAGCAGCGCACAATAACAGCACCTGTACAGTGCTGCACTACACATGTAAATGTAATAACGCTGCAATAATACAACTGGAAACTGGGGGAAACCAGCGAATTCTCTAATTAACTTTATTTGCTGATTTGTGAATATAATATCGGAGATGTAATAGTATTCATTACGCTGAGAATTATTAGCTGTATTATTGGTAACAGCGAGAAACTTGCAGAAACTACTAACGTTACCATGGTAACACTAACAGCTACTAACTACTAGATCGGGGTCACGTACACACTATCTAATGAGAAAGCGAAATTGTATTTATACAGTTTCGCTTTCGTTTATAAAAGAAAGCGAAACTGTATAAACTGTATAAAAGTTTAACAGTTTGACAGAGAAATAAAGAGAGTACTATACACACAAGCATTAGTTCAGCAGGTCACTACTAGTGTTGACGGGAATGTGAGCTCTATTAGTTAACAGGGAATACACAGGAATTAGTGAGCCGCTAGTTGGAGACAGGCAATGCACAAACCACTAGTCACACCACAGCGCATACATTGTCATACTTTAGTCTATAGTTATATCATACAGTGCATACTCGTCACTACTAACTACGTGTCAGTCTTATATTATACTTAGTAACCTTAGTAACCTTAGTAACCTTAGTAACCTTAGTAACCTTAGTAACCTTAGTAACCTTAGTAACATTGCACTTTCTGACAAAAGAGGTCAATACAGACTAATAAAAAGCACACGTTGCCATGGATACACGTGTTGTTATAGCAACACTCGTTAACAGCTAATAGAATTTTAGAATGTATTCTAAATTGTAGTATACATAATATATATATATATATTGTAGTCTGTAATCTGTATTGCAGTCTATATTTTTGTTTATATTGTTTATTATAGGTAACATGGTGCCTTATCATATCTTAATAAGATTTCCTTCATAGAAGTGCCCTAACCATTGTATAACCAGATAATAATAAGTGTATAATATTTTAACAATAATAACATGAACAGAAGTAGGATACTGTAGGATAATAACATGAACAGAAGTAGGATACTGTAGGATAAGTAGGATACCTGGTGAACTCTGTTTATTTTAGGTATCCTCATCTTGACATGCTCAGTTTTAGTAGTTTTAACAGGAGGGACCTTCTTTACTGTACTGGGAGCAACTTTAGCCATGACAGTATAACGATTAGAAGTTGTAGATAGCAGTAGTAAGGTTAACTACGTGGTGATGACGTCACGTGTGGTGATGGTGTCACGTGGTGTGACAGTATAACGATTAGAAGAAGTAGATAACAGTAGTAAGGTTAACTATCTCATCTCACCAGACAAACAGAGAAACAGTACATCAGGAACAAATAGACAACAGATAAAATGGACTATATTTTGTGAGCACAACAACGGTCCCTTTGAAAGGAGAGCGAGCTGTGATGCAAGTTACCATGGTTACGGGCTAGCTAATGATCCTATAATATATTGTGAAGGTAACCAGGTAGTGAGGTATAGAGTTTCAATTAAGCGTCATTTAGCACTGATACTTCGTAGCAATTACTAATAGGCACAGAGCAGAACGATAGTAAATAGCAAACAGGCTGATTTACATAAACTCTAACTATAAACTCTACTTTAACAAAACGTGAACTATTTGAACTGTACAATAAGAGAGCCTACTACAATAGAGTTGTGATCCTTATATACGCTGTACACAATATACGTTGTGCAATCTGCAATCAGTACATGCTACATGCTTGACAAATCTCTAGAGCTAAAATCACAGTGCAGTATACAAGGTGTATCTATTCTGATTACTATGCTATGTGCTGTTCCCCTGGCACAAGCAGGTCTAGACTATATATTATTATATATAGTGTATCTTTAGTATAACATTTAACTGAAACATTGTTCTAGGGGGAGGGGGCAACCCCATTGATTCCCCAATTATTTGTCAAATGGGCATCAATTAGGTTGCCCCCCCCCCCCCCCCACCAGTAGTTGTTGCCATAGCAACAGTCAACACCAGTATAAGTAGTTATAGCAACCTCGACACTACACTCAGCAACAACAGACAAGATTACAGAACTGCAGTTCACCTCATCACGGGTCACTGCGGCTTAAACAAACACCTTCACACCATTTGCAAATCAAACACCAGTGCTTGTCCTATGTGCGGCGACGGAGAGGAAACTGTCTCACACTTCCTTGGACAGTGTCCGGCTATTGCCCAAATTAGAGGTCAATATTTCCAGGACTACTACCTCTCAGTCAATGACATATTCGACAACCAACACATTACCACGATTGTCAATTTCGCAAACCGCACCAAACGCTTAATTGTGCGGGAAGAGCTGGATCAGACCGGGGTGACTTAAAGTATCAACTCATATGCTGTCTCGTCTCGTTTTACTTTTCCAAACCCAGCTGGCACCAGTATAAGGATTTATAGCAACACCAGTAGTTACAAGGTTACATAGCTACACCAGTAGTTACAAGGTTACATAGCTACACCAGTAGTTACAAGGTTACATAGCTACACCAGTAGTTACAAGGTTACATAGCTACACCAGTAGTTACAAGGTTACATAGCTACAAGAGTGAGCAACCCATCGGTGAGCAATTACAGCTGCCCTAATGCAATGGAAATTCTTCGCTGGACTGGAGTATGAATATTGCAGCAGCGATGCTGTAAGGACGGTCGAACTATTCGATGACCCAGTAGAGGTATCTACGAATCTCTCCAAAGTATTAAAAGTAAGTAAGTTGTTTTAGATTTGTGCACAAAATAGCTTACTCACGTGATGACTAAAGATCCTGCTCAGCAGATCCTCTGTAACCATGGTAACACTACTCTGATCTCACTCTTTCCATTTCTCTAGTCTTCACTCTCAATCTTACTCTCAATCATTAATCAAAACACGAAACTTACGTACGAAATCACAACAACTATTCGAGATTAAAGATACTCCGAAACTAAACTACAGTGGTTACTGGTTAATCAGAATTGAATTCCGGAGTTTGTGAGGAAAGGCTGAATCTGTTAACACCACTTTATACTTCATATCACGTGCTCGGCTACTGTAATAGTAGGCATTTCAATACTAAGATTACTTTAATGTAATCCTATATGAGTGTAAGGTAACAGCCGTGTCATGAGCTCTTACTTTCCCTTTCACTCTGATCAGGTAAACCTACCTTCGCTTTCACTTTCACTTTCACTACTCACACTGTGCCAAGGAGCGTGATGGTGGTTTTGTAGCGATATCCTCCCTTTCCTCCCTCCCTCACTCTTAGTAGAGAGTCTATCCCCCCCTCTACTGGGCACCCTCAGAGGTCCCAAACTGGAGCTCCTGTGTAACATACGGGAGGTAGCTTTGGTAGGAGGAGCAGGGTTCTCTGATAGATTAGAGAGACTGCCCCGATAAGGGGGCAGGGAGAACGATACAGTACTCTCCTCTCTCGTCATCAGCAGCTTCCCACGTTCTTACTAGGCAAAATAGAGGCCTCATTTTAGAAACTATAAATAGAGGCCTCATTTTACAAACTTTATCGTTCGGTTTCACAAACTATTGATAGGAAATATTATACACAATCTGATATCAAAGAAATAAAAGAAGGCAAATAGCAATGTCAATAAAGTAAACAAGGAAAAGTAAATGACTAAGTCATATCAGCAGATTCAGCAAGATTTCAGGATTAGCTGAGACACATTTAGAAAGTTAGAAAGTTGAAAAGTTACATAATTTCAAAACAATTCTCTATTTAAAGCTATTGAAGAGCTGTAAACTGATAGCTTATAATGCTGTAAACTATTAGCTGATAGTCCGGTAAACTATTAGCCGGTTGCATTATCTGTCATCATCTACAAGCGAGGGATGATATAATATCTACAAGCTCCTAAGTTAATGTCAGGGCCAGGCAGGTCCAGCATTGAAAACGGAATTCCAATCTTCTTACAAACTGAACAGATTCTACATAAAATAACAACGCAAGTTCAAACTGAACAACTTCTACACCGTCAAAATAAAAGATACATAGTAAAAGTCCGAGCCACTTTGCAGTATAATTACAGAATTGAATCGACTAATTGCGCGGCGTACTTCTCCAGTCTCACAGCTGATTCACTGTTAGTGTACTAGTAGGTTACTACAGTCTCTGACAGGCAAACACACGGATGTATTAAAATTCTCACAAGATAACAACAAAAGAAAGACTTATTGCAATTAAACAAAGCGGGTCTGGGAGGAGGAGGAGAATGTGCAGTATTTAAACCATAAAGATACCAATTACTTACCAGTACACACAAGTTCACCTCACATTAATTAGTGCATTTAAAATATCAGCTCTCCACATTTATTATTACTGCAGAATAACATTAACAATTAAATGTGGATGATTTTGTGTAATTAGGCTATTAGGGAGGGAAATCATGTGGTGCCGACCGAGAAAAGCTACTTGTATATGTCACTGAAAGAAGTTGGGGCTAACTCTGGAGAGTTTGCTAATATTGCCTAAATAAGAGGTCAATATTTCCAGGACTATTACCTCTCCGTCAATGACATATTCGACAACCAACACATCTCCACTATTGCCAACTTCGTAAACCGCACCAAACGCTTAATTGTGCCAGAGGAGCTGGACCAGACCGGTGTAACATAGCGACTACTCACAGTCACACGTCGTCTTAGTTCACCTTTCTCTTCCACACCCAGCTGCAACTTAAGCGTTCACTTATGACACATCTCACAACACTACCATCACCCTACACTACACATTCTGATTCCCCCGGCATCCTCCAACAGGACTGCCATACCCCAGAGGTAGGCAAAGCATCCACATGCTATCCTCTCGTGGCCCAGCCAGGCCTAGCCTCTCTTAAACAAAAGGGAAATATGGAGAGGGTTATCTGCAGTTAGTTTCTAGTAATAAAAATACGGAACTTACCCTTCTACTAACTCGTCTGAGACGTTGGTGCTGGTTTCCCTCCATCTCACTCCTTATACGGTAGTCACGTGTTGTTGTGATGACGTCACTACACTCCTTATACGGTAGTCACGTGTTGTTGTGATGACGTCACTACACTCCTTATACGGTCGTCACGTGTTGTTGTGATGACGTCACACCACTCCTTATACGGTCGTCACGTGTTGTTGTGATGACGTCACTACACTCCTTATACGGTCGTCACGTGTTGTTGTGATGACGTCACTACACTCCTTATACGGTCGTCACATGTTGTTGTGATGACGTCACACCACTCCTTATACGGTAGTCACGTGGTGTTGTGATGTTACTTTAAATCTGGATAGAATTTATTCACAGCGTCAATACCACTTAAACAGTAAACACTGAAGAAACAATATGTGCGGAGTAAGAAGAAATCCTAATATAACATAACAGATTTGAACAGTTAGCATTTCAATTAAAAATGCCTGCAGGTAAATGAACAATATCCGACCAGAATGTAGCTGTAAATCTGTTACACTAACTGCAACACTGCAACACGGCTAAACATGGTGATTCGGAAGATACAGCACAATATATACTTAATAATATTAACCATTTCGTCTGTGCGGAAATGACTGCCAAAATACTGGAAGCAGAATAATAGACTTAAAATGACAGTAAAATAAAGTCTAACCTGACAAACAGTGTAGTAGCTGGAGATCAGGTAGGAGTAGCCACTAGTTCAAGACCACGTGATGCCCTTATTAGGAAATATAGACAGTTTATTACTTGTTCTAATTAGCAGTTTCCAGTCAACCACGTGACAACCTTGCCTTGCTGCATGACCAGTATCCTGACCAGTATCCTGACCAGTATCCTGACCAGTATCCTGACCAGTATCCTGACCAGTATCCTGACCAGTATCCTGACCAGTATCCTGACCAGTATCCTGACCAGTATCCTGACCAGCATCCTGACCAGTATCCTGACCAGTATCCTGACCAGTATCCTGACCAGTATCCTGACCAGTATCCTGACCAGTATCCTGACCAGTATCCTGACCAGTATCCTGACCAGTATCCTGACCAGTATCCTGACCAGTATCCTGCCCAGTATCCTGACCAGTATCCTGACCAGTATCCTGACCAGTATCCTGACCAGTATCCTGACCAGTATCCTGACCAGTATCCTGACCAGTATCCTGACCAGTATCCTGACCAGTATCCTGCCCAGTATCCTGACCAGTATCCTGACCAGTATCCTGACCAGTATCCTGACCAGTATCCTGACCAGTATCCTGACCAGTATCCTGACCAGTATCCTGACCAGTATCCTGACCAGTATCCTGACCAGTATCCTGACCAGTATCCTGACCAGTATCCTGACCAGTATCCTGACCAGTATCCTGACCAGTATCCTGACCAGTATCCTGACCAGTATCCTGACCAGTATCCTGACCAGTATCCTGACCAGTATCCTGACCAGTATCCTGACCAGTATCCTGACCAGTATCCTGACCAGTATCCTGACCAGTATCCTGACCAGTATCCTGACCAGTATCCTGACCAGTATCCTGACCAGTATCCTGACCAGTATCCTGACCAGTATCCTGACCAGTATACTGACCAGTATCCTGACCAGTATCCTGACCAGTATCCTGACCAGTATCCTGACCAGTATCCTGACCAGTATCCTGACCAGTATCCTGACCAGTATCCTGACCAGTATCCTGACCAGTATCCTGACCAGTATCCTGACCAGTATCCTGACCAGTATCCTGACCAGTATCCAGACCAGTATCCTGACCAGTATCCTGACCAGTATCCTGACCAGTATCCTGACCAGTATCCTGACCAGTATCCTGACCAGTATCCTGACCAGTATCCTGACCAGTATCCTGACCAGTATCCTGACCAGTATCCTGACCAGTATCCTGACCAGTATCCTGACCAGTATCCTGACCAGTATCCTGCCCAGTATCCTGACCAGTATCCTGACCAGTATCCTGACCAGTATCCTGACCAGTATCCTGACCAGTATCCTGACCAGTATCCTGACCAGTATCCTGACCAGTATCCTGACCAGTATCCTGACCAGTATCCTGACCAGTATCCTGACCAGTATCCTGACCAGTTTCCTGACCAGTATCCTGACCAGTTTCCTGACCAGTATCCTGACCAGTATCCTGACCAGTATCCTGACCAGTATCCTGACCAGTATCCTGACCAGTATCCTGACCAGTATCCTGACCAGTATTCTGACCAGTATCCTGACCAGTATCCTGACCAGTATCCTGACCAGTATCCTGACCAGTATCCTGACCAGTATCCTGACCAGTATCCTGACCAGTATCCTGACCAGTATCCTGACCAGTATCCTGACCAGTATCCTGACCAGTATCCTGACCAGTATCCTGACCAGTATCCTGACCAGTATACTGACCAGTATCCTGACCAGTATCCTGACCAGTATCCTGACCAGTATCCTGACCAGTATCCTGACCAGTATCCTGACCAGTATCCTGACCAGCATCCTGACCAGTATCCTGACCAGTATCCTGACCAGTATCCTGACCAGTATCCTGACCAGTATCCTGACCAGTATCCTGACCAGTATCCTGACCAGTATCCTGACCAGTATCCTGACCAGTATCCTGACCAGTATCCTGACCAGCATCCTGACCAGTATCCTGACCAGTTTCCTGACCAGTATCCTGACCAGTATTCTGACCAGTATCCTGACCAGTATCCAGACCAGTATCCTGACCAGTATCCTGACCAGTATCCTGACCAGTATCCTGACCAGTATCCTGACCAGTATCCAGACCAGTATCCTGACCAGTATCCTGACCAGTATCCTGACCAGTATCCTGACCAGTATCCTGACCAGTATCCTGACCAGTATCCTGACCAGCATCCTGACCAGTATCCTGACCAGTATCCTGACCAGTATCCTGACCAGTATCCTGACCAGTATCCTGACCAGTATCCTGACCAGTATCCTGACCAGTATCCTGACCAGTATCCTGACCAGTATCCTGACCAGTATCCTGACCAGTATCCTGACCAGTATCCTGACCAGTATCCTGACCAGTATCCTGACCAGTATCCTGACCAGCATCCTGACCAGTATCCTGACCAGTATCCTGACCAGCATCCTGACCAGTATCCTGACCAGTTTCCTGACCAGTATCCTGACCAGTATTCTGACCAGTATCCTGACCAGCATCCTGACCAGTATCCTGACCAGTATCCAGACCAGTATCCTGACCAGTATCCTGACCAGTATCCTGACCAGTATCCTGACCAGTATCCTGACCAGTATCCTGACCAGCATCCTGACCAGTATCCTGACCAGTATCCAGACCAGTATCCTGACCAGTATCCTGACCAGTATCCTGACCAGTATCCTGACCAGTATCCTGACCAGTATCCTGACCAGTATCCTGACCAGTATACTGACCAGTATCCTGACCAGTATCCTGACCAGTATCCTGACCAGTATACTGACCAGTATTCTGACCAGTATCCTGACCAGTATCCTGACCAGTATCCTGACCAGTATCCTGACCAGCATCCTGACCAGTATCCTGGCCAGCATCCTGACCAGTACCCTGACCAGTATCCTGACCAGTATCCTGACCAGTATCCTGACCAGTATACTGACCAGTATCCTGACCAGTATCCTGACCAGCATCCTGACCAGTATCCTGACCAGTATCCTGACCAGCATCCTGACCAGTATCCTGACCAGTATCCTGACCAGTATCCTGACCAGTATCCTGACCAGTATCCTGACCAGTATCCTGACCAGTATCCTGACCAGTATCCTGACCAGTATCCTGACCAGTATCCTGACCAGTATCCTGACCAGTATCCTGACCAGTATCCTGACCAGTATCCTGACCAGTATCCTGACCAGTATCCTGACCAGTATCCTGACCAGTATCCTGACCAGTATCCTGACCAGTATCCTGACCAGTATACTGACCAGTATCCTGACCAGTATCCTGCCCAGTATCCTGCCCAGTATTCTGACCAGCATCCTGACCAGTATCCAGACCAGTATCCAGACCAGTATCCTGACCAGTATCCTGACCAGTATCCTGACCAGCATCCTGACCAGTATCCTGACCAGTATCCTGACCAGTATCCTGACCAGTATCCTGACCAGTATCCTGACCAGTATCCTGGTGATCGTATTTTTTGTTTTTTGTTTTCTGTCTGGTACAATAATTGAATCTTACCAAGATGTACCCTGTTTGTAATTTATATGTAAGCCGCGCATTGTCAAGGACCTTAACAGTGTTACATCTTGTTAAGGACCTTAACAGTGTTACATCTTGGTGACAGTTAAGTAACACGTGTACAAATAACCACACGTATATCTAGTTGACACGTGACACGTGACACGTGACAAAGTTAAACCAAAGTTGAGTCAGAAATCGAATACTATCCCATGATATACAATACAACAAGGTTTTAAAAACAGTAAAAACATTCAAAAATAAACTTTACTTCAGATTTATTTATTATTTCTCAAGCGATCTATATGTTGTATAAGAAGAGCACTAAAAAATCATCACATTTATTATTAACCTATTACAAACTTGCACAATGCACATCAATTAAAATTATAGTAAGTGAAATAATCATTCTAGGAACATAAGAAATCTGCTAATAATGATAATACAATGTCTTCAGTTAAGTTCACATATCACGGCTGAAATAAGATTTAGCTAATACAATTCTCAAAAGTAATTAACACTATAAACATTAATTGTCAGAGCTATAAGTATAAACCCTGTGTGTTTAGTGAGGCATGATCTTCCTGCACTTCACAGAGGACACTACACAGTGACACACTTGGTACCCTCTATCAGCGAGGCATGATCTTCCTGCACTTCACAGAGGACACTGTACACTTGGTGCCCTCTATTAGCGAGGCATGATCTTCCTGCACTTCACAGAGGACACTACACACTTGGTACCCTCTATCAGCGAGGCATGATCTTCCTGCACTTCACAGAGGACACTGCACACTTGGTGCCCTCTATCAGCGAGGCATGATCTTCCTGCACTTCACAGAGGACACTGTACACTTGGTACCCTCTATCAGTGAGGCATGATCTTCCTGCACTTCACAGAGGACACTACACACTTGGTGCCCTCTATCAGCGAGGCATGATCTTCCTGCACTTCACAGAGGACACTACACAGTGACACACTTGGTACCCTCTATCAGCGAGGCATGATCTTCCTGCACTTCACAGAGGACACTGTACACTTGGTGCCCTCTATTAGCGAGGCATGATCTTCCTGCACTTCACAGAGGACACTACACACTTGGTACCCTCTATCAGCGAGGCATGATCTTCCTGCACTTCACAGAGGACACTGCACACTTGGTGCCCTCTATCAGCGAGGCATGATCTTCCTGCACTTCACAGAGGACACTGTACACTTGGTACCCTCTATCAGTGAGGCATGATCTTCCTGCACTTCACAGAGGACACTACACACTTGGTGCCCTCTATCAGCGAGGCATGGTCTTCCTGCACTTCACAGAGGACACTACACACTTGGTGCCCTCTATCAGCGAGGCATGATCTTCCTGCACTTCACAGAGGACACTACACACTTGGTACCCTCTATCAGTGAGGCATGATCTTCCTGCACTTCACAGAGGACACTACACACTTGGTGCCCTCTATTAGCGAGGCATGATCTTCCTGCACTTCACAGAGGACACTACACACTTAGTGCCCTCTACCCCCTCCTCCTCCTTATAGTTAACCACTATGTTCTTCAGTGTCTCCCCCCAACTAGTACTCTTCTTCTTCTTTAGAGTGTAGTACTTGCACTGGAGCGCTACCTGGGCGATATCTTAGTGAGTACTTACTTATAATAACTATACTCATAACAAATATAAATAACTTATTATTATTAAGTAACTTATTATAACTTATTATACTCTGTTTAAGTGAAAGTGTAGTACTGACCAGTAAAGAGTATTGTAGCGGTATCTGTAGCGCTACTACGTCTCTCTTGGCTTTCTTTGTTTTGTCCACCTTGTCAGTACTGAACCTCCCCTCGTATACCTGAGCACGTGTTATATCACGTGTTAAATTAAACATTGTCACGTCGCACGTGTTATATCACGTGTTATATCACGTGTTATATCACGTGTTATATCACGTGCTAAATTAGAGTAACCTTGAGTGAAGGGTTTGAGTCTGGGGCAGGAGGTTTAGTCTAACCTTGAGTGAAGGGTCTGAGTCTGGGGCAGGAGGTTTAGTCTAACCTTGAGTGAAGGGTCTGAGTCTGGGGCGGGAGGTTTAGTCTAACCTTGAGTGAAGGGTCTGAGTCTGGGGCGGGAGGTTTAGTCCAACCTTGAGTGAAGGGTCTGAGTCTGGGGCGGGAGGTTTAGTCTAACCTTGAGTGAAGGGTCTGAGTCTGGGGCGGGAGGTTTAGTCTAACCTTGAGTGAAGGGTTTGAGTCTGGGGCAGGAGGTTTAGTCTAACCTTGAGTGAAGGGTCTGAGTCTGGGGCGGGAGGTTTAGTCTAACCTTGAGTGAAGGGTCTGAGTCTGGGGCGGGAGGTTTAGTCTAACCTTGAGTGAAGGGTCTGAGTCTGGGGCGGGAGGTTTAGTCCAACCTTGAGTGAAGGGTCTGAGTCTGGGGCGGGAGGTTTAGTCTAACCTTGAGTGAAGGGTCTGAGTCTGGGGCGGGAGGTTTAGTCTAACCTTGAGTGAAGGGTCTGAGTCTGGGGCGGGAGGTTTAGTCTAACCTTGAGTGAAGGGTCTGAGTCTGGGGCGGGAGGTTTAGTCTAACCTTGAGTGAAGGGTTTGAGTCTGGGGCAGGAGGTTTAGTCTAACCTTGAGTGAAGGGTCTGAGTCTGGGGCAGGAGGTTTAGTCTAACCTTGAGTGAAGGGTCTGAGTCTGGGGCGGGAGGTTTAGTCTAACCTTGAGTGAAGGGTCTGAGTCTGGGGCGGGAGGTTTAGTCTAACCTTGAGTGAAGGGTTTGAGTCTGGGGCGGGAGGTTTAGTCTAACCTTGAGTGAAGGGTCTGAGTCTGGGGCGGGAGGTTTAGTCTAACCTTGAGTGAAGGGTCTGAGTCTGGGGCGGGAGGTTTAGTCTAACCTTGAGTGAAGGGTCTGAGTCTGGGGCGGGAGGTTTAGTCTAACCTTGAGTGAAGGGTCTGAGTCTGGGGCGGGAGGTTTAGTCTAACCTTGAGTGAAGGGTCTGAGTCTGGGGCGGGAGGTTTAGTCTAACCTTGAGTGAAGGGTCTGAGTCTGGGGCAGGAGGTTTAGTCTAACCTTGAGTGAAGGGTCTGAGTCTGGGGCGGGAGGTTTAGTCTAACCTTGAGTGAAGGGTCTGAGTCTGGGGCGGGAGGTTTAGTTTCCATGTAGATAGCCTCTCCGTTAAGTAACATGTCCTGCGTCTTCAGCTCCTCTTTACTGAAACATTCTAGTGTTCATTTCCACTACAATACACAATACACCTGGCTAATCCACCAAACTAAAGTACCGATACAGTTATAGATACATCGGATCATCAAACTAGGACTGAGAATTTATAAACAATATCTAATAGAGGATCATTAGCTCTTGTAACTCTTAATATCTCGCTAACTGCTTGCAAAATATAGATTAAGTATAATAATTGTATATAATATATATTATATTATAACAGTTACCATGATATTCTGACAGAGTACTTAGTATCCACACTTAGTTTTATAGTCTGTGTTTCAGCGAACCTCCCTCCGTCCTCCTTGTAGCTGACTGCGGAGTTCCCTCCGTCCTCCTCTACTGATATCTCTATAAACAACACATTACTCATCCTATAAACAACACATTATAAACAACACATTACTCATCCTATAAACAACACTTTATAAACAACACATTATAAACAACACATTACTCATCCTATAAACAACACATTACTCATCCTATAAACAACATATTACTCATCCTATAAACAACACATTATGAACAACACATTACCCATCCTATAATGTAACTCAGCAACAAACTTGCGATTATAATGAAAATTTAAACAAACACTTTTCTAACTGCTACTATTTGATTACTGCTCAACATACAAATACAGTCCTATTAAAACACACTAACAGGTCACGCTAGGTTTTAATAACTGTGTAAATCGGAGAACTTCATTATATTATTATATACAATATACATGTATTATATACAATATACATTATACATGTATTATATACAATATACAATATACATGTATTATATACAATATACAATTTACATGTGTTATATACAATATACATGTATCATATTATATGAAAGTTATAACAGGGAAATTTAGTCATAGAATCGACACAGTACTGGGTATACGAGACAACGCTTGTATCACAATGCAGCTTAAAGACTGAAGAGCGTGCGTTAATCTTAATGAGGCGTAGTAACAATACCACACAACACACACAACACACAGTACACGTGGCAACTAAGCACCTAACTAGCAACTAATTAGCTAATTAACTCCAATTAGTAAGAGGTTATTAGCAGGAAATAAAAGTTAGAGCACTGTTAGATACCCGCTTCTAATCAAAGAAAGTCTTGACTCATCAGTTATACGGTAGACAGAAAGCATTCTAATTATCAATGTGCTAACATCAGTCACTACTTCGCACAGAATATGCACTATTTGTATTGGATTACCACTGACCAGTCATTCAGCACTTTCACATGGAAATACTGTGTAACTCATTACAGTATAGGTAGAACTTCTGCTCAGCTCAGCTGGATGCAGAGCAGCAATGAAGACGTGGCCCCGATACTTAATCGCGTGACACGTTATATTGTAATTATTCTGTTTTTGAGAGTAGTAGCAAGAAGGTATCGTATACATTTTAATTTGTTATCTTGATCATTTATTAATGATTTTATGTAGGGTCGGCACCAATGTAATTATGGTTTTACCACCGTGTTTTGGTTCAGCCGAAATAAATTTTACTATGATGTTTACATAATGTTTCTCACTCCAGCTGCAGTCTGGTAGTGTTGAGTCTAATGAATATTTTTCTAGCTTTCTTTTTCCATGTTTTTGCCTCACAGGAGATATTGTGGTCTTTTCTAAATATAACTGTAATACATTGATGTAAAGTTTATTTGGATTTTGAAATAATAAAAAAACACCCTGTACAACCTGTTTAAGTGTAGATCCAGTTTTTTGAAGACTTTTATCTAAAAAATAAAACACTCACCATCACAAAATACTGAAGAAAAAGACGTAAAATTCTATTTGTGAAAGTTTCAAATCAAATCAAAATCATCAAATTTAAAATTGGACCCAATTTAAGAAATATACCAAGTTGTCAATAAATCATAGAAAAAAGAAAAACGTTCTGAAATACTAATATGTAGTAAAAAGCAAAACCCGAGAATCACCACAAATCAAACTGAAGTAATAAATTATGTTAATTATGTAAATATGACTACCCAAACAACCCTTTCTCATTTTATCTTAACTTGGAACGGCTACTAGTGTCCCGAAATTGCACCGCAAAACCCCTGCCCGGCAACCAGCACCAGACACACGTGCTGTTGCCCGGCAACCAGCACCAGACACACGTGCTGTTGCCCGGCAACCAGCACCAGACACACGTGCTGTTGCCCGGCAACCAGCACCAGACACACGTGCTGTTGCCCGGCAACCAGCACCAGACTGTTGCCCGGCAACCAGCACCAGACACACGTGCTGTTGCCCGGCAACCAGCACCAGACTGTTGCCCGGCAACCAGCACCAGACTGTTGCCCGGCAACCAGCACCAGACACACGTGCTGTTGCCCGGTAACCAGCACCAGACACACGTGCTGTTGCCCGGCAACCAGCACCAGACACACGTGCAACAGTTTATCTGTCCATGATATTAGCTGGTATTTTGGAGAGATAAAAGTCAAAGTCCCTCATTGTGGCAAGTACTCCCGTCTTGTTGGGATACGGCACATCTGCGTGGTAGAGAAGATCTTTACCAAACACGTCCGTCATTTTACCGCCCAGAGACTTTATTATAGCGTCACCAGCGCAGGTGTCCCACTTCTTAGTTCCTGTTATAGTGGCATTATAGTGGCATTATAGTGACATTATAGTGGCATTATAGTGGCATTATAGTGGCATTTAGTGGCATTATAGTGGCATTTAGTGGCATTATGGCGGCATTATAGTGGCATTATAGTGGCAGTATAGTGGCATTATAGTGGAATTTAGTGGCATTATAGTGGCATTTAGTGGCATTTAGTGGCATTATAGTGGCATTATAGTGGCATTTAGTGGCATTATAGTGGCATTATAGTGGCATTATAATGGCATTTAGTGGCATTATAGTGGCATTTAGTGGCATTATAGTGGCATTATAGTGGCATTTAGTGGCATTATAGTGGCATTATGGTGGCATTATGGTGGCATTATGGTGACATTATAGTGGAATTATAGTGGCATAGAAAAAAAATAAAAAAAGTACTATACAAAACATTATCAAGTTGTTATAACTATTTTTATAACTAAATGTGCAACTAACCAGGTGAAGCGAAGAGGTACGCGTCAGCAGTCCCCTCAATAACGAGAATACACTTGCTACCCGCCCCCCCTATCTGTATCAGCTTGTCGGGCTTACAGCTGTCTATTGCATCCTGAGAGGGTATTAGTTACACATGTATAATAGTGACTTATCAGGATGTCAGTTTGTGAGGACTTTACAGGTAAACTACTATTCTAAATGTAGTTAGTTATTTGTTCTAACAAGCTAAAAAGAATGAACAATAAGGGGTCGTTCACATATTACGTAATCAAAATTGCTAAAATATTGATTACGTAATATGTGAACGACTCCTAGCAGTACTTTAACGGGAGATAAGCTCCGCTTTACAGATAACAATATAACAATTATTAGTAAGTAACCTGCACTGATTTCTGCATGTGACTGCGTGTAGTTGTTATTATCTTACGTCCCTCCGGTACTGGAACTCTCTTGAAACCAAATGCTCCTAAACCAACCACGCCCCACAACGTGCGTCCTGTTTCTTTACCTAGCAACAATGTTATCAATAGTAGTGTTATCTACTGTTACCTAGCAACAATGTTATCAGTAGTAGTGTTATCTACTGTTACCTAGCAACAATGTTATCAATAGTAGTGTTATCTACTGTTACCTAGCAACAATGTTATCAATAGTAGTGTTATCTACTGTTACCTAGCAACAATGTTATCAATAGTAGTGTTATCTACTGTTGCCTAGCAACAATGTTATCAATAGTAGTGTTATCTACTGTTACCTAGCAACAATGTTATCAATAGTAGTGTTATCTACTGTTACCTAGCAACAATGTTATCAATAGAAGTGTTATCTACTGTTACCTAGCAACAATGTTATCAATAGTAGTGTTATCTACTGTTACCTAGCAACAATGTTATCAATAGAAGTAGTAGTAGTAGTAGTACAATAGACACAATGTTATTAAGTCTTGAGTGAACCTCAGATTGTTTATAAGTTTGTATTTATTAATTATCTGTGACAACACTCTACATAAAACACGGTTGCTATAGTAACACTCTACATAAAACACGGTTGCTATAGTAACTATAAACCCGGTTGCTATAGTAACACTCTACATAAAACACGGTTGCTATAGTAACTATAAACACGGTTGCTATAGTAACTATAGACACGGTTGCTATAGTGACTATAAACAGTAACTTACCATCCACTTCATACCAGGGTTGCTATAGTAATATAACATGGTTGCTATAGTAACTATAAACAGTAACTTACCCTCCACTTCATACCAGGGCTGGTAGATAACTCCAGCTACCGCCTCCCCGTGAGCAGCTATCCCTATCAGCACTGTAACATCCTGCTTCCTTCCCTCAACATACTCCTTAGTGCCGTCTAGTGGGTCTACCTGTTATTGTACTTGTTATTTTGCAATACATACTGTGATGTTCAGCAAGCTAACATATTATAAGTTTGTGCTTTTTATAAAAGCAACGTTTGACCTGTAAACAGTATTCCTACGAGGGGAGTAGGAGACACTTACATTCCTCTATAAGATGGAATGTAAGTGCCCCCCCCCCCCCCCCCCCCTGTAGTGAACTAACCCAAATAACAAGATCCTCCTCATTAATACCGGCTAGTTTATCAGGACAGGAGTGTTCCATAACTTCACTGCTGGTATCCATGGTGATCAGACTCCTCGCCTCGTCTGTATCGTAGTCTATATCGTCCTCTTCTCCTATTATAGTAGCCTGAATGTACCGTCATTTCACATTTTAATCAATCTAGTTTGAAAACCAAACTGCTAGGAATCAGAGAATTATAGTGGCCGTATCGTGGCCGTATATTGGCTGTATAAAGGCCGTAAGTGTTGTTATGGTAACAGTAGTGTTGTCATGGTAATAGTAGTGTTGTCATGGTAACAGTAGTGTTGTCATGGTAACAGTAGTGTTGTCATGGGTATACTCACCTTAGGGGAGTGTTTCATAAGACTAGTAACGATCAGGAGCTGAGCCTTCTTATCTGCCAAGGTCTGCAGATTGTTAATACCTCCCTTATCTACTATACCTAGATTACCTGCAAATCAACACTTTCAGTACTTAAAGTAACACAACTTTAACACAACTTTACTCCTTATACTATCAGTAAGAAATGTGGTCGAGTTAAAAACGTTATAATGCTATTCAAATTCTAATTTGAATCTACACGATTTACCAACATAAATATCCATCTTACTGTTGCTGTTCCATACAAACAACAAACAAACAAGCTAAATAACACCACAGTATATATACAGCTGACAGTAGTGTTGTCATGGTAACAGTAGTGTTGTCATGGTAACAGTAGTATTATATACAGCTGACCTGAAGCCATGATGTCTCTAAGCACTACTCCTGCTTTCTCCGCTACAGACACACAAGCGCTCAGAGTTCTCATTAGCGCCATCTCTACCTGTTATCAGAACTTACTGTTATCTTTATCTTTACTGTGTACTTACTATAAGTTATATAATTATATAGTGGAGGTATTAGAGGAACAATAATATTATACTTTTACCATTAACTACTAACTATAACTTTTACAATACTTGTTCAGTGTATAATTAAGTTTTATGGAGTTCAGAGTTCAATTTTTACAAGGGTTAATAAGTAAACTAAAATCAGTTCACTTTTCTCTACGCAGTAATAGTAAAATATATAACAAAATGTTGGATACAAATATATATAAAATAAAGAATACAAACCACGGCTAAAAACTCACTCATAAAACTGTAATCTGCACAGTTTACCAAATTCAAATATAAAACGTATACAAAGTGTACCATATAATAGCCCCATGAAGAAGAATGTCTGAGCTACAAGAAGTATTTACATAAGTAACAATACAATACTGTGTGGGTTACTTCCTATCTACTTCCTAACAAAAACGCTAACTGACCACGCAAATTAAACAGTTTCTCTGCAGCAGGTACATACCAAATATTCAGATAACCCTTCACATATTTAGATATTTAATATAATATAAAACAGTAGTGTTTTCATGGTAACAATATAAAACCAGGTGATATATCTGAAACAACAGTTGTTCGCGAACAGGGCCAGGGGTCGGGCTATCTGGATACTGCCCGACCTTCCTCCTGATGATTTTATTAAAGTTTGATAAATACACTAGAGATAAACAGTGCTACATATCAGCAATGTTAGGTTTAGAAGAGACAGAGCTGGAACAAGGGAAGAGCCAGAACAACTTGTTTCCTCTCCCAAATATGCGGAGCAGAGTCACGTGCACTCCCTCCTCTGCTCTAGTGACGAACATCACCTGCAGATACAGAGATATTTATGTTGTCATGGTAACAGTAGTGTTATCATGGTAACAGTAGTGTTGTCATGGTAACAGTAGTGTTGTCATGGTAACAGTAGTGTTGTCATGGTAACATAGTATTTAGATTTAATTTGATTGATTGCTGGTTGGGGACCAGCTTTGCTTACTGGCCAATGTTTACTTCAAATATATACTATTATAGAAACAAAATTAATGTAAAAAAGTAGCACAAAATACTTAATAACTCCCAATCTCTATATGACTGATAAATGATAAATGTGATTATTAATTAGGCAATATGTTAAAAGATAAAATATAAGTTATATAGAAATATAGAGATATTTGCTATATGGGACATAGACTTTTAGTTTTATATAAAACTAGGAGTATGTTTGCTATAATATAACTTAAAATACTTAATGTTAAAGAGTAAACCTCTTTATAGAGAAAGTAAGCTAGGATAAGGAGAGAACTGAGACTCAGACCACAGCAGATAACACTGAAACAATTTAATTAGTTTACATAATATTATCATAATCTATCAATTTAATCTTATATTTGATCCTTCGAACAGCTGTTGAGCAATGAAACGCAAACATAATCTTAGCAAAATGAATATATTTCTTTTATCTTCAGCATTTAATCAGTCACATAATCTGAGAATATCAATGGTTAGTTTGAAAATGTCAAAAATTCTCATCAAAAATGTAGTAAAGTCTCAAAAAATTAATTTAGCATCTCGTAAAAATGGAATAGTTTAAAATCGGAACAAAATTAATCGCATATACTATAATAATGTGGAGTCTGCAGTAGTTCATTAACCCATTAGGGACGATAGGGTCGTTTTTATGACCCACCTTTTCTAGACGAAAAACCAAATTACTAAACGCTATAACGAATCTATAGCACATATACTCAAAATTTATTGGGCTTCATTATATGTAGCCCAATAAATTTTGAGCATATATGCTATAGATTCGTTATAGCGTTTAGTAATTTGGTTTTTCGTCTAGAAAAGGTGGGTCATAAAAACGACCCTATCGTCCCTAATGGGTTAAATCAAAAAGACGCAATTCAAAAATTGATAGACTGCATATATAAACAAAAAATGGACGATTTAAAAATAAAAATAAAAATAAAATTCGGGACACCATGAAAAATTAGCTTCCAGAAACGGAATTCACATTGTTCAGGCCAAACGGATAAAGTGTCTTCAATTTGTTAATATAAAACTGTTCTGACTTTCTAATATTATCTGGGGATGTAGAACACAAAATATCAAAATGGAAACTTTCATTGAAAACAGATCTCTCCCTCAAATTATGAACTGAAAAAAGATGTGCCCCTAAAACATTCTCGTCATCAAAATCTCTGTGGCTCTCAACATTCCCCTTACTACTCGCCTCTAAAATCTCATAATATTTACTGCGATGACCATTCACACGTTGGCTGAGGCTGGTGACTGTTTTTCCCACGTATACGTTATTAACAGTACAAAGTTTGCATGTCGCGCCGTACACAATGTTGCGTGTCTTACAGTTACCACCTTGAGTTCTGACTGAGTGTCCATTATTGGAGACCATGGACTTGCCACTAACAAGGTGACAAGTTTGGCAGGGTCTGCCTTTCTTCTTCTCACCAGGTTTGGTGCATGGGTCAGTTGTTCTTGACTCTGAACCTAAGGCAAGCTTCTTTCTCTTGAATAAAGTGTCCTTTAAGTTAGGGGCTCGCCTGGTCACCACTTGGAGTTTAGGGATCCTCTCAGGGTTCTCACTGCTCCATGTACGGCTATTTGAGATGATGTTACTGGCCTCTTTAGCCTTTTCCTTGGTTTCCTCATAGCCCGCACCGAATGTAACAATCCATGGTGTGAAAGAAGGGGGACCCTGATCCTTTGCCTTGTACTGTAAAGTTCTTGGTATCGATCTGACATCACTGATGACCTCTCTCACCATATCAGTAGGATATGAAGACCGTTCAAAAAACAACTGAAGCTCTGCCAATCTCTCATCCAGCAAGACGTCATCATTGATTATCCTTCTGTATCGAAGTGCCTGTGAGAAGACTATACTCCGGAAGGTATGTCGTGGATGGAAACTTGAGAATTCTAGATACCTGTTGGCGTCAGTAGGTTTCCTAAACAGATCTGTTGTGAGTCTCCCTCCAACAAACTTGTACTGAATGTCCAGGAACTGAGTGAACTCCGTGATTGGTTTCACTTCGTATGTAATATCTAAGCCATAGTTATCAACCATCTTACTGCGTAATGACCCTACCCATTCTTCAAAACCAATCATAGAACCTCTCCACATACCTTGGCCCGAAATATCATCCACAAACCGATCAAGGTTCTTGAGCTCCTCTGGACTAACAACCGGGTCGTAAACCAGACTCTTTAGGACAAAGAACAAAGCAATGTTACCGCAATCCACTGAATTGATACCTCCAGTGGGTACACCGTTAACGACCTCATACCAGTTGTCTGCATTCTTCAAGACTGCCGAATCAAAACTAAGCTGTATCAGTCCCTTCAGCCAAGTCCTGAACTCCTCAGACCAATCTGGTCTACACGACTCCATAGCATCATCTAAGGCTGACATCACAAAGCTATGTTGCAGAGAATCGTATAGAGAAACAATATCAATACTGAAGCTGATCCAAGTATCGACTACTTGTCCGGAAGCTGCCAATTCCTCGAGTTTTATGAGAGCTGCAGTTGAATCTTTAACAAGATCTATACAGTAATCCCTGGCAAGAGGTCCCAACCACTTCCAAACAACAAACTTATCTGATCTTGCAGTTACTCCTCTAGAGAGATCAGTCACGAATCGACTGGGTGGAATCTTTTTCTCTCTAATTTCAGTCTCAGTCAGCTTGTGAATTTTCAGTAATGGGTAACCATACGGAATATCGGGCTTGACTAGATCTGAAGTGCTCTGTGAAAGAGTGTCCCGATCAGACTTCTGAATCAAACCAACCACACACTTAGACTGTTCACCACTTACATACTTCCGCTCCAAACCAGATGACCACAGCTCTAACAACCTCCCTCTCAAAGATCCAGTATATCAATTTAATATATCATTATAATACTTAGTCGACCCCACAAAATCAAAAGTCATACCTCAAAATGGTTCAACAAGTCATGTAAATTAAAGATAGATAATATTTGGAACCTAGCACAGTTAGTAGTGAGTTTCAAGCCGACACACAGTGTGTAGGTAGAGAAGACCACGCCCCAGAATAGTAGCTGGATAAGGAACTTGTGGTTCAGTACCCCTACACAAGTACACATTGCAGACCAGTGTCCTCTAGAACGCACCAAACACCTGCAAACACATTGTTAGCTATCAGTAGTGTTGTCATGGTAACAGTAGTGTTGTCATTGTAACAGTAGTGTTGTCATGGTAACAGTAGTGTTGTCATGGTAACAGTAGTGTTGTCATGGTAACAGCAGTGTTGTCATGGTAACAGTAGTGTTGTCATGGTAACAGTAGTGTTGTCATAGTAACAGCAGTGTTGTCATGGTAACAGTAGTGTTGTCATGGTAACAGTAGTGTTGTCATGGTAACAGTAGTGTTGTCATAGTAACGGTAGTGTTGTCATGGTAACAGTAGTGTTGTCATGGTAACAGTAGTGTTGTCATGGTAACAGTAGTGTTGTCATGGTAACAGTAGTGTTGTCATGGTAACAGTAGTGTTGTCATGGTAACAGTAGTGTTGTCATGGTAACAGTAGTGTTGTCATGGTAACAGTAGTGTTGTCATGGTAACAGCAGTGTTGTCATGGTAACAGCAGTGTTGTCATGGTAACAGCAGTGTTGTCATGGTAACAGTAGTGTTGTTATGGTAACAGTAGTGTTGTTATGGTAACAGTAGTGTTGTCATGGTAACAGTAGTGCTGTTATGGTAACAGTAGTGTTATCATGGTAACAGTAGTGTTGTCATGGTAACCGCAGTGTTATCATGGTAACAGTAGTGTTGTCATGGTAACAGTAGTGTTGTCATGGTAACAGTAGTGTTGTCATGGTAACCGCAGTGTTATCATGGTATCAGTAGTGTTGTCATGGTATTAGTAGTGTTGTCATGGTAACCGCAGTGTTATCATGGTAACAGTAGTGTTGTCATGGTAACAGTAGTGTTGTCATGGTAACAGTAGTGTTGTCATGGTAACCGCAGTGTTATCATGGTATCAGTAGTGTTGTCATGGTAACAGTAGTGTTGTCATGGTAACCGCAGTGTTATCATGGTATCAGTAGTGTTGTCATGGTATTAGTAGTGTTGTCATGGTAACCGCAGTGTTATCATGGTAACAGTAGTGTTGTTATGGTAACAGTAGTGTTATCATGGTAACAGTAGTGTTCTCATGGTAACAGTAGTGTTGTCATGGTAACCGCAGTGTTATCATGGTAACAGTAGTGTTGTCATGGTAACCGCAGTGTTATCATGGTAACAGTAGTGTTGTTATGGTAACAGTAGTGTTATCATGGTAACAGTAGTGTTCTCATGGTAACAGTAGTGTTGTCATGGTAACCGCAGTGTTATCATGGTAACAGTAGTGTTGTCATGGTAACCGCAGTGTTGTCATGGTATTAGTAGTGTTGTCATGGTAACCGCAGTGTTATCATGGTAACAGTAGTGTTGTTATGGTAACAGTGGTGTTATCATGGTAACAGTAGTGTTCTCATGGTAACAGTAGTGTTGTCATGGTAACCGCAGTGTTATCATGGTAACAGTAGTGTTGTCATGGTAACCGCAGTGTTATCATGGTAACAGTAGTGTTGTCATGGTAACCGCAGTGTTATCATGGTAACAGTAGTGTTGTCATGGTAACCGCAGTGTTATCATGGTAACAGTAGTGTTGTCATGGTAACAGTAGTGTTGTCATGGTAACAGTAGTGTTGTCATGGTAACCGTAGTGTTGTCATGGTATTAGTAGAACGCACCAAACACCTGACAACACATTGTTAGTTACACTGAAATCTGCCATCAGGTATCATCAAACCTGGGCAACTTAAATCAGTATTCAGTACAAACTCACTCAAACTGTTTGGAATGTTTTATTTAACCTGATCATACATTATATGTATTGATAAAGTAGGTTTTACCCATTACAAGTTGTGCAGTGTCTCGCTGTCGGAGAAGTGAATATTGAGCAAGATTTGCACACAACCCATGAGGACTTTGTACTTAAATTCTTTGAGAGATCTGAAATGTAAGTTACATTAATTAACAGTGTAACCATGGTAACATAATGCTGCAAAACATCCTAAAACTCTTTTGAGCCTGAACAGTAAATAATGATATATATAACTTTCATGTTCATGCAATTGAAAACACTGTAACATTCAGATGGATTAATTCTATTAATTGTTTCACAAACTCTCTTCCTACCTGAAAAGTCAACTGAGATTGTGGGTTTGGGAAGAAAACCAGGTCTGATGGTAATTAATCGAAGGAAAGATGATGCAGTCAATAGAAGAAACACATTAACAAAACTGGCATGCAGTGATAATTCCAGTTCTTTTCCCTAAAAAAACCAGCATTGAAATATAAATCAGTTTTTACAACATTTCAATTTCAATAATTAATGTTTAATGTTATTTAATGTAAACCTCAATCTGACAAGGTTTTCACTGTCCCATTACTTTATTATTTGTGCATTATTTTAACTACAGTCTAGTTACACCAGTGTTTCCAATGTTTAATGAAACTGACAAAAAGGATTCATCTCAATTATGTACCATAGTTGTGTTATAATTATTCATAGGTAAAGCGAATTATGTTACCTGTTATTCAACTAAATATTTTTTGAAAATTTAAAATGAGCTCACATCCTAGCTAAGATCTGGAATTGTTACAGCAATTTTCAGTGTTCGAAATTAGAAACAACTTATGCTGAAATTAAGGCTCAGGTGTAAGATACTAAGATGAGCACCTCCAAAAGTTTAACTATAAAACTAGAACAATCTGTTAATCTTACCTCATTGTTAACAGCAGTTAGTAATAGCACATCGATTGATAAGAAGGCACTACACCAGTAGATTATGATAAGTAGAGCTCTTTTCATACTAAGACACAAACAAAATCATTAGATCATTGAAAGTCATAAATATGACCACATATAATGTGTATGATGCATTCCCTTGGTTAGGAAGCTTATTTTATTTAAATAATAACAATGCCAGCTGGTAAACTGAAAAGAACAATTGGGGTAGGTAGCCCTTTACGGTCTGCTCTCTCCAAGATCAGCCTGCTTCTCCATTTTACCGTGAAGCTTAATTTCTAGCTTTTGGAAATACGATGCAAGCACATGTTTACTAATCTTAATCTACTTTACAACTCAATAGTCCAAGTCACCATACCAATTGTACATTCCTGAGTGATGGAATAACTTTTAAGTATTTCAAATTGTTGCTATAATTCATTTGAATAAAAATTTGTTGTTTTCTTGAAAAAAAATTGTTGTTTTCTTTAACCAGGCCTTTTGGAGTTGAAAATGAGGCTGAGAATGTAGAGGAAGAGGTTTCAGAAGAGTGAGCTGAAAAGAAAACAAGTTTCTATTCTAATTTATTGATTATTATATTTATTGCAATAAACATATATTGCAAAGAACCATGACAAGGGTATCAGACCTATATTAATCTAAGAGACGAAACAAAACGAATCATCATACAACAAATTTTAAAAATCCTGCGGCACAGGATCCTGTTGTTTTCCTACTCTGCCTCTCCCAAACCCCTCTCTCCTTCTCCTTTCTTCAGGTTTATTCATCAATTTTTTAAATTAGATAGCAGATATATTTTCTTTCGAACGCGAATGTAGTAATGGCATTATACATTATTTGGTATCCTATGTATGTTGTGTTTAGTGTTTGCTAACTAGGTATGTGCTATATATTTTGGAGAATTTTGAGGCTCACGACGTCTCGTCCCATGGGTTGAGTTGTAAGCTGAGTATATGTTCAAATCGCCTTACTTCGTATGGTGAAACATCGACAGGTATGCCTTAACCTTTGGGACGAGTGTTTGCCCACCGGGGATCCAAAAATTTGATCACCATGAACATTACTTTGACACGTGAACTTATCAAACGACTGTAATGATTCCATTAAATTTTCTTAGTACATTTAGCTAGTTTATAGTAGATACACACGATCACAGAATAGAAGAGCACAATTGGGCTCTTTGTTCTGCGACCGTGTTTCCTCGGTGGGCCGACAGGTTTTTGTTGTGTAGTAGTGCTGGGGAAAAACACGCTTTAAATATCAATGAATGTAAATATTGTTAATTGACATTAGTGCCACAGTTTCTGTGGTAAAAACAAATTTATGGTTAAACATTATATATCGTAGAAGGGCATGATTTACGCACATCACCAAGCATCTGGATGGATAATTAACACACAAGGATAAACTGACCTTTAAACATGACCACCAGCAATATCATATAACCATAGCTCCGAAATAAATAAATTGCTCTACATAGAAACATCTGGCCTGATCTTATCACATTGTGGTCCCCAGGGGTTCGGTAAAGCCCTTACAGGCAACTGGGTCCTTTTACCAGCCACAATTAAACTAGTCATGCCAGTACTGTCATAAACTGTAACCAACTATTTAAAAATAAGATATCTTTTGCTAGAATTTTAAATTGTAAGCCATAGAGCAATCTTCTCAATTTTAAAATTTAAAAATAACATTTTACCCTAACTATGATGTGGTGGCATTTCATACTTAACTAAAATTCAACTTTGAAAGTCAATAGATTATTAGTCACAACAAAATTATAGTTTAAGACATCCATTTTGCATTGTGTTTCCAATATTAGAATTTATGATATGTATTGATTGAATAATTGGTAATAAATTTAACTTTTCTTTTATTAACTTTTGTTTTATTATCCATTACTCCAGGAGTGATGACAGGATGTTTAAAAAAAAGTTTAGTTGAATAAATTGTAACTATTGAAATACATCGCAAATTGAGGTGCTATAAACACTCGTATATAAAAATGTTTCACCTAACCATGTGTTTCCGCGCCACCGCGGGCGCGCTTGTTTCACAACAGTGAACAGCCTAGTGCGCGCGCGCGCCACTGCAAGCGCAAGCGCTCTGGATAGAGCATGTTGACATCTTTAATCAATATATCATAGATATGCAAAATAAAAAATTTTACTACGTTTTGAGTAGCATCATAATTTTAAATGAAAACACTGTCCATCAAAGCTTTAAAAATGCAAAAAAATGTGTCGTAACTAAATTTTTATATACGATACAAATAAATTTTTTTTGACGTGGCACGTGTTGCTCTAACCAAAGCCCTAATTTCGCTTGCAGTAGCGTGCGACCGCCGAAGGTGGCATGGGAAACTTGTGAAACAAGCGCGTTACGCAGTACGCGTATACACATGGCTATGTGAATGGCACGTGTATTGGCGCGTAAGGGATTAACGGGTGATACTCGTAAAATATCTGTTCCATATATTGGACCGTCGACGAGTCCAACTCGGCGCGCGTCCTGGTAGGTTGTAAACCTACAAGTAAGGGATAGCATGCAGATTAATTGACGATGTCAATTCATCGCAGCTCGGCGCGGCACAGTAGCTGTGAGAAGCCTCATTGAGTGCGCGGCGCGGCACAGTAATGCATCGCGCTACAACATGCAGATAGCACGTTGGGTAACGCCGCGCACTCCGCCATTAAAAAGAAGTTACGAATCGAGCGCTATCAAAATTTTATCCGCAGTAACGCTCTTGTTTAATACATTATTAATACACTTGCTTCTTATCTTTGGCCTTTCAAACATATATTATTCTTAGCAATGGCATATTTGACCGTATGTAAAAATAATGAGATAGCAAGTTTTAAGTTTTTTGGGAAAACAAACATGCATGTTAAAATTATAATATGTAATATACTTTACATATAGTATATTATATATATGCACAAAATGTAGGCAAACAATTGTATTTTTTACTATAATTTAGGAAGCTTATACCATTAGTTTTCTTAACGTCTTGTGGAATGGGTGGTGAAGCCGAAAGACTGGTGAAGAAGCTGGCCAGTAAGATATAATATCACACAGGTCAAAGATATTCAGATGCCGTTGGATAGAGAGATGAAAAGTGGTAGTGCAGTTAAAATAGCAGATTTAGATATAAATTTAGAGCCAGTCCATTGAATTGGCTACTTTTACTACTTAAAGGGTTTTTATATAATTTGCTCAGATTTTTTTATTTAATTTTTATTAGGGTCATTGTCACATTATGTGTATATTGTTTGAATTTCATTTTTCTCTTTCTGATGCTGTTCGATATATAAAATTGTATTTTACTTTGATTTGAAATCCTTAGAACAGCAGTGATTTCTCTCCGGGGAGACAGAAGGGCGAGAAAGAACTTTGTGGATGTAGAGAGTCTCTATTTGAACTTGGAGCCATAAGGCCAAGGGTGAATTTCAAATGTTTCTGCCATGTTTGTATAAAGAGAGAATACTTTAGTCAGAGGAAGGATCCTTTGTCCCTCTAGTCTTCACAACCTCCAGAGGTATGAGACTGCTCTGTACCGTGTTTGTGTCTTTGAGATGATAGCTGACCACAATAAAGAAGCTAAGAGCCAAGTCAACAAGAATTGTGCCGGTTAGCGGACGCTAGATTTCCATCAACCGTACTGGGCATTGCCTTTAAAATTTTAAAAATCACAATTAACGATCGTTTCATGTTGGTCAAAATATCAAATAATGGTTTCACTATTCTTGGGGCGCTACGGAGCGCAATTAATGGAGGGGTTGCCATTGTCGATTATTCAAATTCAAAATGTTAAATGACCGGACACCGTAGCCTGCGCCTGTGTGGTGATATGCAGTTAAAAGTTTGAAGAACTTGAAAAGCCATGTGAAGGAACGATTGTTTACAAGTTTACATAAGTTGTTCGATTAAATGAAATGGTAGTCGTGAAATTCGTAGTACTAGTAGGTAATGTAACTCATAATAACATTTATGGTCCATTTCGTATAAAAAATCAATCACTGAACAATCATGTCCAACATAATATCAGCATCATAATTTGTCAACAATATAACTAAACGGATTACTAATATCATTATTGGGAGCCAAGTCGGTGGTTGCACCAAGCACTCACAACAAAACAAGATGTTTGTATGATCAATGATCAAGTAAAGAAAAGCTTGAACTACTTAACAAATGTATAAGATCCGGGAAATCGCTTATTATTCAAATCAATTACCATAGAATTCAAATTGTATGATTGGCGCCGCGCATTTTAAAGTGTAATTCAATCAATCGTCAAATCGTGCAAACGTATGCGGAGGGTAACTATGGCAACTACACCATTACTGCTCTGCGCGCGGAGAAGATACATTAAAATGGCGTATGCGGTGGGTAATGCATGTTTTCCTTTGTGACACGACTCACGTGACACGAAAAACCTACCTACCTTCTATACCCACTCTCAATTTCTACCACTTCTAACCATCTTATACTTTTTTTAGAAAAAAAAAGTTGATGGAAAAAATCATATCAGGACACGGTTCAGATTTGTTCTGATCAGAAGATCAACGGCCCAACATCTTAAACTGCAAGACGTTTCCTTCAACCTCATCCCTCAGAATAAATTATACTAGATTTTTGAAGGTTTCATTTTATATAGGAGTACAAATTTTAGGAATACAAATTTGAATTTTGATCTTTATTACAGATTAAACATATCATATATAACCATAAAAGCTGCCCGTCGGCTGATTGCCTCAACTTTGATTAGTAGCAATTTCAGTTGACAGAAGCTGAAGGACGGCAGCTCAAAAGGCCCAGTGAACCATCGGAAAGATCAAGGACTCGAGTGCCAATAGTGGCTTTTCCGAACCTATTTTCGCCGATTTGCTGTGGCCCAGATGAGCCGCGCCCTGCTGCTCAACGGCACATGATGGTTTTTGTTTTGATACTTATTTAAATTTAAGCGATAATTCAGTTGGTGGTTTACAGTTTTTAAATTATAAATCATGTTTATCATTTATTTTTCGTTTAATAATCACGGGTTGACAATATAGGGCAACTAGATCTCCTTAGTGAAAAAGGAGCATCCATCTGGCTATCCACACTCCCTCTCAAAGCATGTGGGTATGTATTCAACAAACAAGAATTGTTTACCTTCTCACCTGCAAGCTGAGAGGTATGTCATGATGTGAAAGTTGAACCTCCGCTACTGAAGGTAAACAAGGGTGACTGTTTCAACCCCAAGACCATAACAGGTGACCAAGCTCGGCTTGATGTATCTGCTAGAGGAGTTTGGACTCCATTTGATAAAACCTTTTTTAACATTAGGGTATCACACCCAATTGCTTATCAAACAGGACAAAGACTCTTCAAGAAGTTTACAAAATGAATGAGAACGAGAAGAAGGATGAGTACATGGAGAGAGTGTTGAATGTGGAGAAGGCTACCTGGCTGTATTCCTCACATCTGGAGGAATATCTAAAGAGTGTAAGCAGTTCGTCAACAGAGTAGCAGACAGACCTCATAGCAAGAAAAAGGAAGGAGAGATATTGTGATGTAGTAAGGCATGTGAGAATGAAGATAAGATTTGCAATGTTGAGAACAACTTATTGCTCTACGAGGGTACGTGTACCGAGGAAAGAAGGTGGACACCAAACATGAGATCAACCTATCAGAAATCTCTGGGCGACTACAAATCGCAATGGGTATTTTTTTGTGAAACTTGGTTTCACAAAGAAAACCCAGGTTTTAGGTGCTCTACTTGTAGCTAGTGGTCTCCTGAACTAGTATATGAAATTTCATCAAGATTGGACAACAAATGACTGAGTTATGAGCCAAAAACCATATGTCCATATTTGGGCATATGGTTATGAGACTTTATACGAAAGGTAATCCTAAACTACATATTTTCTGTAAGTTATAGGTTTATATCTGTTTAAATGTGGATACTAAGGCAAAAATACCCCTTAAAATGAACAAAAGTGCCTGTATCTTTGTTCATGATATTCGCGGAATTGATCTCATTAAATTTAAAATAACTGAATCAGTTTTCAAAATTTTTGCATTTTTAGCCGGTATTGATTTAGGCCTCCACAAAAATGTCACTCTGTGCCGTATTTCATTCATGTCTTAATTTTAATTTTTTCATGTGTTAATTTTAATTTTTTTACAAATTTTGTGTCACTCTCACCTACTTCACTGATTGGTCACTGTTCAAAGTTTCAGTCAATTTCAGATTTAATTTGATTTATGTTCTGATGAGTTTCTGAAGTAGTAAAGTAGTAAGTACAATAAATTTGGTTCACAATAAATTTGGTTACCATAATTTTAGTAACAAATTTCGCAAATTTTTAGTCTACAACAATTTTAGTCACATTTTTCGACTTTTCGAGACCATTTTCTATTCCATTTATTTGATTTTTCCATTATTTAGCTAGTTTTTTTCCCGATTTCGCACACAAAGTCATACTAGAAGTATATAAAGGGGCCAGTTCATATAATTACTTCAATGAGTTAAACTAGATACAGATATAACTGCCTGATGGGAAAAGGAAGTAAGATAATGTGAAAGCAGAAAAGCAATGGATTACACATGTAATAGTCAAAGTAGTTCGGCAGTAGGAACGGTGATGTCATTATATTATTTATTTAATATTATTAATTATAAACAATGTAAGCTCAATAATATTCATGTCATATATATGCTCTACTGAAATTTTGGTGTGCTTTTAAATTAGTCGCTGAAAAATGTAGTCCCAATAAATTTGGTTTACAACAATTTTAGTCAAAATGTTGACTAAATTTATGGTAGACTAAATTTGTCGTTCTTAAGGTACCTCAATTGTGTCTTGTGCCATCCTCAGTGACCATGGAAGATGGTCATTTAAGAAAAAAGTCAAAACAGTGGAATTTGGGTTGCGGAAAGCTGAAATTCGAATAGCTTGATAAGTTGAAACATGAATTTAATATCAATGAAACAATAAGTTTAAACACACATTATATACATTATACATGGTTCACACACAAATTTTCAAAACGAATCATCTATCCCATTATAGGGGCTGGGATGAGGTTGTAGGAGACTTCTGATAGATGGGTCTCATGTTTGATGCTGAAATTCAAATATGTCCTACCGGTAGGATATATTCAAAATTTTCATTGCATCAAAGTTTTCTCAGAATATACTGTTTCCAGTACCTTGATGGCGACTTGTGTCACTCTCACCGACCTCACTGATTGGTCACTGGTCAAAATTTCAGTCAAAACCGCAAAATTTCGCCGAAATTTTGTGTAAAAACGACCATCAAAAACGCCATAGGCGACCATTTCAAACACATATTCTCAATTTTCCTTTTATCGAAGTTTTCTCCGGATATTTTGCCCCCAGTACTTCTCTGATATGCAGGAGTTAGTATAGTTAACAAATTAACAGTATTTGTTGTTATTGTTTCGTTGAGTATATACTATATGTGAGCAGTAATTATTTGTTCATATTTTACATCACTATACTTCTGTAGATTATGTTTCTCAACAAGAGACAGGTTTAGAGAGATTGTACACTATACTTTACACTTATCTGTAGATTATGTTCTCAACAAGAGACAGGTTTAGAGAGATTGTACACTATACTTTACACTTATCTGTAGATTATGTTCTCAACAAGAGACAGGTTTAGAGAGATTGTACACTATACTTTACACTTATCTGTAGATTATGTTCTCAACAAGAGACAGGTTTAGAGAGATTGTACACTATACTTTACACTTATCTGTAGATTATGTTCTCAACAAGAGACAGGTTTAGAGAGATTGTACACTATACTTTACACTTATCTGTAGATTATGTTCTCAACAAGAGACAGGTTTAGAGAGATTGTACACTATACTTTACACTTATCTGTAGATTATGTTCTCAACAAGAGACAGGTTTAGAGAGATTGTACACTATACTTTACACTCATCTGTAGATTATGTTCTCAACAAGAGACAGGTTTAGAGAGATTGTACACTATACTTTACACTTATCTGTAGATTATGTTCTCAACAAGAGACAGGTTTAGAGAGATTGTACACTATACTTTACACTTATCTGTAGATTATGTTCTCAACAAGAGACAGGTTTAGAGAGATTGTACACTTTACTTTACACTTATCTGTAGATTATGTTCTCAACAAGAGACAGGTTTAGAGAGATTGTACACTATACTTTACACTTATCTGTAGATTATGTTCTCAACAAGAGACAGGTTTAGAGAGATTGTACACTATACTTTACACTTATCTGTAGATTATGTTCTCAACAAGAGACAGGTTTAGAGAGATTGTACACTATACTTTACACTTATCTGTAGATTATGTTCTCAACAAGAGACAGGTTTAGAGAGATTGTACACTATACTTTACACTTATCTGTAGATTATGTTCTCAACAAGAGACAGGTTTAGAGAGATTGTACACTATACTTTACACTTATCTGTAGATTATGTTCTCAACAAGAGACAGGTTTAGAGAGATTGTACACTATACTTTACACTTATCTGTAGATTATGTTCTCAACAAGAGATAGGTTTAGAGAGATTGTAGCAGCCGCGCCCTCCGGGGCGGCTCGCAAGAAACACCCTGGCAAAGCAGTTATGGCTGGTTAGTATATTTAGCATGTTACCATGACAACAGTATATTGTTATTTATTTGTGATATCTTAATGATTTAGCTGGGTTTTGAGTTATTAGGTAATAATATTTGATTGATATACAAAGTTCTAGTTTTATTATACTTTATATAGGGTGTCCTGTACGTGTACATTTTCCAGTTAACTAATAATTTGTTGTAAACATTCTTAGGACTGATCCATTTAGTGGCCACACAGTAAATTGCCCACTACACAAGCTGGAGAATTTGATAAACTTTAGAAGGCCCTGTTCTGGACAACATTTACCGCTCCCCACACGCACACCTCTTAAAACCGTACTATATTAATAAAAATATGAATTGCTGTTTTTTGGGACATCTTGTAACTACTTAAGTAAACCTCTACTAATTAACTCAGGTGGATTTGCTGGAGGTTTAGAGATCCTGTGCACGTTCCCTACAGAATATGTAAAGACACAGTTACAGTTGGACTCCAGGGCGGTAACACCACGCTATACAGGGATTGGAGACTGCATTAAGAAGACGTTCGCTCAACACGGATTCTTTGGTTTCTATAGGGGATTATCCTCCTTGTTATATGGTTCAATTCCTAAAGCTTCTGTCAGGTGCGTTTATAATAGTTTTAAATGTCTTGTGTGTCCGGTGTGTTCTCAATATTTGTGGCAAGCCCCCATGTCATAACCCCCCAGAAGGGTCTACTTGGTGAGGTTAACGTAAAACGCGGACATTGTATTATAGAAACGTCCGCGCGCGCATGCACTGCAACGTGCGTACCTGATAATGCGATCATGAGATGTGGCGCGACGGAGAATCGAATGGCGTGATAAATCTCTAGAAAGTGACAAAACGGGTGAGCTGTTTGTCGCCAGATTACAAGCTCCTTTCGTGCAAACACCTTAGCAGTAGAGTTACTGTGGCCTAATTGAGGATCAGGCACGATTAGTAAACCTGGAACATGAACATGTAGATCAGTGGACTGAAGTATTACTTCCGGCTCTTGACATTACCTGTGCAATGCGTGCAGAAATCTGTTATCTCAACACTTCTTTTAGTAATTTGATTATCATGTCAGGTTTATGGGATACGAAGCACTGAGGAACAAGCTGGTAGATAAGGATGGGAAACTTACTCAGATTAGAACTGTGCTGTGTGGACTAGGTAACGATAATATTTCCTACACATCCTACATATCCTACATATTCTCTGATACATAAATTATCTCAGACTAAAATGGTTTTTCCTATTCCTGATATCACCATTATATCGAAATTGCAGTTCCGTTAACCTCAAATCACCCAGGTGCTGGTGTAACTGAGGCTATTGTTATCGTGTGTCCTATGGAAACTGTAAAAGTGAAGTTTATTCACGACCAGAACCAGGCTAAACCTAAGTATAAGGGATTTGTTCACGGAGTCAGAGAAATAGTGAAACAGGAAGGTTTGTAGTTTCAGCACTATTTGTAACAATAAAGGAGGGCTGTTATGCTGGCAATGTTGGAGGAATCTAATTTGTAGTTTCTTGCACAGTTTACAGTTTACCACGGTAGATTCGTTCGTTAGATTTGTTCTGCATGATCCTGCTAGTTATTATTATTATAACAATAATTATAATCATATCTCATTTAATCGATCTTAAACCTGGTCTCCTGACAACATACTACAAATAGCAATATTATAATTTCAAATCCTACCCAGGTTTCAGGGGTACATACCAAGGTCTCACAGCTACAATCCCCAGGTTTCAGGGGTACATACCAAGGTCTCACAGCTACAATCCCCAGGTTTCAGGGGTACATACCAAGGTCTCACAGCTACAATCCCCAGGTTTCAGGGGTACATACCAAGGTCTCACAGCTACAATCCCCAGGTTTCAGGGGTACATACCAAGGTCTCACAGCTACAATCCCCAGGTTTCAGGGGTACATACCAAGGTCTCACAGCTACAATCCCCAGGTTTCAGGGGTACATACCAAGGTCTCACAGCTACAATCCCCAGGTTTCAGGGGTACATACCAAGGTCTCACAGCTACAATCTCCAGGTTTCAGGGGTACATACCAAGGTCTCACAGCTACAATCCCCAGGTTTCAGGGGTACATACCAAGGTCTCACAGCTACAATCCTCAGGTTTCAGGGGTACATACCAAGGTCTCACAGCTACAATCCCCAGGTTTCAGGGGTACATACCAAGGTCTCACAGCTACAATCCCCAGGTTTCAGGGGTACATACCAAGGTCTCACAGCTACAATCCCCAGGTTTCAGGGGTACATACCAAGGTCTCACAGCTACAATCCCCAGGTTTCAGGGGTACATACCAAGGTCTCACAGCTACAATCCCCAGGTTTCAGGGGTACATACCAAGGTCTCACAGCTACAATCCCCAGGTTTCAGGGGTACATACCAAGGTCTCACAGCTACAATCCCCAGGTTTCAGGGGTACATACCAAGGTCTCACAGCTACAATCTCCAGGTTTCAGGGGTACATACCAAGGTCTCACAGCTACAATCCCCAGGTTTCAGGGGTACATACCAAGGTCTCACAGCTACAATCCCCAGGTTTCAGGGGTACATACCAAGGTCTCACAGCTACAATCCCCAGGTTTCAGGGGTACATACCAAGGTCTCACAGCTACAATCCCCAGGTTTCAGGGGTACATACCAAGGTCTCACAGCTACAATCCCCAGGTTTCAGGGGTACATACCAAGGTCTCACAGCTACAATCCCCAGGTTTCAGGGGTACATACCAAGGTCTCACAGCTACAATCCCCAGGTTTCAGGGGTACATACCAAGGTCTCACAGCTACAATCCCCAGGGTTCAGGGGTACATACCAAGGTCTCACAGCTACAATCCCCAGGTTTCAGGGGTACATACCAAGGTCTCACAGCTACAATCCCCAGGTTTCAGGGGTACATACCAAGGTCTCACAGCTACAATCCCCAGGTTTCAGGGGTACATACCAAGGTCTCACAGCTACAATCCCCAGGTTTCAGGGGTACATACCAAGGTCTCACAGCTACAATCCCCAGGTTTCAGGGGTACATACCAAGGTCTCACAGCTACAATCCCCAGGTTTCAGGGGTACATACCAAGGTCTCACAGCTACAATCCCCAGGTTTCAGGGGTACATACCAAGGTCTCACAGCTACAATCCCCAGGTTTCAGGGGTACATACCAAGGTCTCACAGCTACAATCCCCAGGTTTCAGGGGTACATACCAAGGTCTCACAGCTACAATCCCCAGGTTTCAGGGGTACATACCAAGGTCTCACAGCTACAATCCCCAGGTTTCAGGGGTACATACCAAGGTCTCACAGCTACAATCCCCAGGTTTCAGGGGTACATACCAAGGTCTCACAGCTACAATCCCCAGGTTTCAGGGGTACATACCAAGGTCTCACAGCTACAATCCCCAGGTTTCAGGGGTACATACCAAGGTCTCACAGCTACAATCCCCAGGTTTCAGGGGTACATACCAAGGTCTCACAGCTACAATCCCCAGGTTTCAGGGGTACATACCAAGGTCTCACAGCTACAATCCTGAAACAGGGTTCCAACCAAGCTATCAGATTCTTCGTCTTCAACAACTTAAAATCTTCTTTCCAGGTTATTATATTTGATATATTATTTTCACCTTCACCTGCCCTTACATTAATCTGTGTACCAAAGAAAACTCAATGAATACTTTTACTATAATTTACAGCTTTTTAATACCCTTCTACTACTTTATTACTAATTACTACGCTACTTAAAAGGGTGGAGATAACACGGTGGAAATAGGAATTGCGCGCACATTTTTGTGTGGTGGAATTGCTGGAGCAGCCAGTGTATTCGGTGAGATCACTTATTTCTCTGTTTCATCCAACAATATTTCATTTTCGTCATGTAAAACAACATTATTTTGGCATGTACAAAAAACTCATTTATTCAAGAAGAACTCTTAAATCATAGATTATATGGTTGTTGTGAGCCGTCAATTAAGTGATGAATAGTCCATCACAATCGAAAGAAAAGCAGCCGCAAATAACTATGGAAATATTTAACCTCGCAACCATAAACCTTACTAACAATTGCTATGGCAAAAAACAAATGTTTGCTAGGTTACAAGTCAACAAATAATTGCTATTTAACATGACAAATGGTTGCTAGGTAACAAATGATTGTTAATTGCTATTTAACATGACAAATGGTTGCAGGTAGCTGTTAATTGCTATTTAACATGACAAATGGTTGCTAGGTAGCAAATGATTGTTAATTGCTATTTAACATGACAAATGGTTGCTAGGTAGCAAATGATTGTTAATTGCTATTTAACATGACAAATGGTTGCCAGGTAACACCCCTCTGGACGTTGTAAAGACAAGAATGCAAGGTTTGGACAGGCACCTGTACAGAAACACACTCCACTGCGCGCAGGAGGTCCTCAAACACGACGGTCTCAAAGGGTGCGGTATTTTTAATTTGTAACATTGTGTTTCTAGATGTAACATTGTGTTTCTAGATGTAACATTGTGTTTCTAGATGTAACATTATGTTTCTAGATGTGACACTGTGTTTCTAGATGTAACACTCTGTTTCTAGATGTAACATTGTGTTTTTAGATGTGACACTGTGTTTCTAGACGTGACATTGTTTTTATAGATGTAACATTGTGTTTCTAGATGTAACACTGTGTTTCTAGATGTAGCAATGTGTTTCTAGATGTAACAATGTGTTTCTAGATGTAACACTGTGTTTCTAGATGTTACACTGTGTTTTCTAGATGTAAAACTGTGTTTCTAGATGTAACACTGTGTTTTATAGATGTAACACTGTGTTTCTAGATGTTACACTGTGCTTCTAGATGTAACACTATGTTTTCTAGATGTAACTCTGTGCTTCTAGTTGTAACACTGTTACACTGTGTTTCTAGATGTAACACTGTGTTTTTTAGATGTAACACTGTGTTTCTAGATGTTACACTGTGTTTTCTAGATGTAAAACTGTGTTTCTAGATGTAACACTGTGTTTTCTAGATGTAACACTGTGCTTCTAGATGTTACACTGTGTTTCTAGATGTTACACTGTTTTCTAGATGTGACACTGTGTTTTCTAGATGTAACACTGTGCTTCTAGATGTTACACTGTGTTTCTAGATGTTACACTGTTTTCTAGATGTAACACTCTGTTTCTAGATGTAACATTGTGTTTTTAGATGTGACACTGTGTTTCTAGACGTGACATTGTTTTTATAGATGTAACATTGTGTTTCTAGATGTAACACTGTGTTTCTAGATGTAACAATGTGTTTCTAGATGTAACAATGGTTTCTAGATGTAACACTGTGTTTCTAGATGTTACACTGTGTTTTCTAGATGTAAAACTGTGTTTCTAGATGTAACACTGTGTTTTATAGATGTAACACTGTTACACTGTGTTTCTAGATGTAACACTGTGTTTTATAGATGTAACACTGTTACACTGTGTTTCTAGATGTAACACTGTGTTTTATAGATGTAACACTGTTACACTGTGTTTCTAGATGTAACACTGTGTTTTATAGATGTAACACTGTTACACTGTGTTTCTAGATGTAACACTGTGTTTTATAGATGTAACACTGTTACACTGTGTTTCTAGATGTAACACTGTGTTTTATAGATGTAACACTGTTACACTGTGTTTCTAGATGTAACACTGTGTTTTATAGATGTAACACTGTTACACTGTGTTTCTAGATGTAACACTGTGTTTTATAGATGTAACACTGTTACACTGTGTTTCTAGATGTAAAACTGTGTTTCTAGATGTAACACTGTGTTTTATAGATGTAACACTGTTACACTGTTTTCTAGATGTTACACTGTGTTTCTAGATGTAAAACTGTGCTTCTAGATGTAACACTGTGTTTCTAGATGTAACACTGTTACAATGTGTTTCTAGATGTAACACTGTGTTTTCTAGATGTAACACTGTGTTTCTAGATGTTACACTGTGTTTCTAGATGTAACACTGTGTTTTCTAGATGTAACACTGTGTTTTCTAGATGTGACACTGTGTTTCTAGATGTTACACTGTGTTTTCTAGATGTTACACTGTATTTTTACACTATATATATTTAGATGTTACACTGTTACACTATAACACTGTAACACTGTGTTTTCTAGATGTTACACTGTGTTTCTAGATGTAACACTGTTACACTGTATATAGTGAGATAGTGTATAGTATATAATACAATATATTTTCAGGTTTTATAAAGGCACAGTGCCCAGGCTGGGGAGGGTTGTGTTCGACGTTGCGTTTGTTTTCACAATTTACGAGCAAACTATGAAAGTGCTGGATCTCGTCTGGAAAACTGACTAAACACTGAACCTGGTGGTGTGATGTTACTACTGTTACGTGACGTCATCATTGTGACGTCATCAATGTGACGTGACGTCATCATTGTGACGTGACGTCATCATTGTGACGTGACTTTGTAACAATAGCATGCGTACTTTTGATGAATAATTTACATGTTTTAGATTGAAATACTTAACCTAGAAATCTTAAAAAGCTATTTTTACGACATTAGTTTATAGTTTTAACAAGGATGTTTTTTTTCAATTAAATATAATTAAACGACTTTTGAATTATCTCACATTTATATTTAAAGTATTTCTCTATTCAACTGACTCAGTGTTATTAGAACAAAAAGTTTCATATTTTTTGACAAAATGTTTAGTCTTTTTAATGATCTGTGGAATCTTGTTGTTTATTAACCTAATTCTAATAATATGTGTGTGTTTTGGGATTTTACCATGTTAGGTATGTGACTATGTGGGTAATTTATTGACTATGTCAGATCAGTTCTCGTTATACTTACCAATAAATATGAATTATATGATATTGTTTGAAGTTTCCTATGCGACGATATTTATCATTTGTTTCTTAACTTTTTTGGATAAGGAGTAAGGACTGTATTCCTGAGCAATTTAACTTACTTCCTATATTTACATCTAAATTTAAGAGACGTCTCTAACCGCTGTGTCGAATATTTGCTTAAAGCGTAATGAGCCGTTACACTGGCATGCCAGGATTCAGTGTTCCTACATCTCCTTAGTCATTGAACTTGTCTCGTGATGAGCCCAGCGTGAGGCGCGCGCGCGCACCCAGCGTGAGGCTCGCGCGAAAATAATTGTACTTTCATTACATAAATATCGCCGCCGCGTACTGCATTACGACGCGCTTCAGCTCCTTAAATTCCTTAGAACCGGCCACGAAATACTTTTAACGAGGAATGTCATGTTAATTGTTACACAAACTTAGATCAAATAAAAATACCATGAGTGATGGTTGTCACACTGATCCCTTCAAACCATCACATCCTCAAATTACATGTTGTTATGTTTTGTAAGCGTAGGAAGCACTTTCTAAATGCGAAATTATACATTCTGACTAGCAAATAGTTGATTGAGTAGAATCTGTCACAGACAAAGCTACACACAATACGGCTTCTAGAAATTTCCTTTATCAATTGTATAGCGCCAACGAATTTGTGGAGAGCCTTGAGAGTCGAGGTAATTGGTGCTGTTACAATTATAAATATTGATAAACGATAATAGAATTTGAGAATCAATGCTAATTGCTTCCTAATTGCTTACTAATTGGAACAGATTTAAACATTTATATTGAATAACCCATAATTTCTCAAATGAGTGAACAGTAACTACAAATCACATTACTTTCAAATATTTTCACATTGTAAATAATATTTCGCCCCCACTTGGGGAATGCGCTACAGTTAAAAGTAACTTTCTAAATTAGAAACAATGCAACTTAATGTTAAAATCAGTTAAAACAATGATAATGTGCGCTGAATGGGGTTCAGAGTTTTAACAATGTCTTTAAATTTTACATTTCGACGATGAAAATATGAAAAATCGTTTGTTTTTCTTGAGACTTCAAAGCATTTTGTTCGTTTCTTAACTTAAAACATATCATTGCAATAATAAACCCTCGACATTTAAATCGTGTTATACCTATCATTACTCATTAATATTAACGTTATTAATATTAATAATAACATTAATATTAATGCAATTACTTATACTCATTAATATTAATGCAAAGGTCTATCAAAATTCTTGAAGTTGTCATACATTTTACAAAACGCTATCAATACCATAAACACTGGAGCTGTTTCTAAAATCTAAATTCTAAAATTCTCAATTTTCAAAATGTTGCGATTTTAAAATATCGTCATTACCACGGCAGGTAAAATCATTGGAAAGTGGAAATGAAGCGGGTCGTAAGTAAAAGTGGTATCAAATTATAAGATATTTAGAAATTAGAGTGGGACGATAAGAAATGTAAAATATTGGTGTTTTAACAGTGAGGCAGGTGTCATGTCCACTATTACTACTAGTACAGGTATTACTGGTGTATAATACTAGTACAGTATATACTATTAGTACAGTGTATACTATGTAGTATGTACTAGTATAGTGTATATATAAATACATCTCTTTTACTGAGGACAAGGTATTGTTATTGTTAAGTTACCCAGATCCTAGTGGGTTATTCTGCAAGTTCTACCAATCTAACAATTTGTATATTGTTCAGATAAACCACATCGCAGTAAACAATAACCCTGTCATATTGCTGTACCCTGTAACTGTTACAGGGTACAGCAATACCACACCTGCTTACATTGCACCACATTATTAGTTCCGGCATCTGCCCCTAACTTTACTAAACTAGTCACGGTAGTTCTACTACACTTACAGTTTAAATGCAAAAGTTAGAGCATATTTGTCGCAGGAATCCCTAATTTCGACCAGCAATAATTTGAAGAGTTATTCAGTAGTATATTATATAGGTATATATTATGTATATTATTCGCATATATCAGGAACCTTATACGAGGCACATAACATGATATTATCCAGTGAAATAATCGTGTGGGAAAGTTTTCTAAAAGTAACATTCTTACAGTTTACATTATATCATCTCAGTAATACAGATTAAAGGTACTTGCGGTATTTTGTACAAATAGAGATACAGTTTTACGTCATCAATAACCATGGTAACAATGGTAACCTTGATAACGTTCATTGATTAAGCTCGCAAAACTCATCATAACAATCACCGACACTGTGTACGCCAAATAGTGACGTCACAATTCGGACAATTGCTAGGATAGTTGCATCACTATTGCGTCACTACTAGGATAATGGTGCCACTATTCAAATAACGGCGTCAGTATATTCATTTCTTCAGGTTTTCTGAGAACTTTTCTGAAATTCTTCTCACTGCACCACGGGCACGGTTCACCTGAAACGAGTTGTTACGTGACAGTGTTGCTATTGTAACTGCAGAGTTGCTATGGTAACTGCAGTGTTGCTATGGTAACTGCAGTGTTGCTATGGTAACATAATGGTAACTGCAGTGTTGCTATGGTAACTGCAGTGTTGCTATGGTAACATAATGGGTGAGTCTATGAGTAAACTATTATAAAGGGAAATAATATGAGAAAAGCCTATTTTAATTCAAATTTGTCCATTTTAGAATAGTAGTTAACACTTAGTAGCATGAGATTGTAAAAACTACTGTTACTTTAGTTATTTAGTTATGTTACTTTAGTTTGACTTAACTAACTTCTTATTTGGGTTCCTTGTTGATGAGCTTGTCAATGAGGTCTTTAAGTGGAGCATACTGTTTCTCTTCGATCAGGCGGAACTCGTTACAAAAGTAAACAAAGTGCTTCAGTGAAGTGTTCAGATGAGGCTCTTCTCCCAAATCTAAAATATAATTTTATAAAATATCTGAAATTGAATGTTAATTATTATCAAATTTTAACTTTTTAAACAGAAACATTTCTGTCAAATAGATTACAATGCATCAGACAAGTAACGTTAGTGAAATGGCAGTGGTAAGTGTGACTCACCTATAACGTTATTGAAATGGCAGTGGTAAATGTGAGCATATACTCTGAAAAGCTTCTTCAGGATGTTCTTACAAATTGAGAGGAAATTCTGAAAATATTCACTGTAAGTTATGCGGAGTAAGCTCGAGTTGTAAACACTAAAGAAATTAATTTTGTGATCTGACACTGATAACAATAAATTTATCATTGACTAATTCTAACATTGCCCAGTTTATGAGATACACAAATGTAATGATGGCAGATATGTTACCATGATGTTACCATGACAACTAACCTTGGTGTTACCATGATGTTACCATGACAACTAACCTTGGTGTTACCATGATGTTACCATGACAACTTACCTTGGTGTTACCATGATGTTACCATGACAACTTACCTTGGTGTTACCATGATGTTACCATGACAACTTACCTTGGTGTTACCATGATGTTACCATGACAACTTACCTTGGTGTTACCATGATGTTACCATGACAACTAACCTTGGTGTTACCATGATGTTACCATGACAACTAACCTTGGTGTTACCATGATGTTACCATGCCAACTTACCTTGGTGTTACCATGATGTTACCATGACAACTTACCTTGGTGTTACCATGATGTTACCATGACAACTTACCTTGGTGTTACCATGATGTTACCATGACAACTTACCTTGGGAAAGGCGACACCGATCTTATCAGGGAACATTTTATCATCCTCCAACTGGTCTTGTACCCAGGTCATCAACAAATCTATATACTGGAAATTAAACCAGGTCATCAACAAATCTATATACTGGAAATTAAACCAGGTCATCAACAAATCTATATACTGAAAATTAAACCAGGTCATCAACAAATCTATATACTGGAAATTAAATGTTTTCTTATTTTGTGGAGTCACAAGAATACCAAGTTGTATACTAAACAATGTATAATACAATGTATAATGTACTGTTATACAATGTATAATGTAATATAATACAGTGTATAATACTGTTATACAATATACTGTTATACAATGTATAATGTACTGTACAATGTACTATAAAATGTATAATGTACTGTTATACAATGTACTATACGATGTATAATATAATGTATAATGTACTGTTATACAATGTATAATGTAATATAATACAGTGTATAATACTGTTATACAATATACTGTTATACAATGTATAATGTACTGTACAATGTACTATAGAATGTATAATGTACTGTTATATAATGTACTATACAATGTATAATGTACTGTTATATACAATGTACTATACAATGTACTGTTATACAATGTACAGTTATACAATGTATAATGTACTGTAATGATAATATCTCTCAGTGTAATGATAATATCTCTCAGTGTAATGATAATATCTCTCAGTGTAATGATAATATCTCTCAGTGTAATGATAATATCTCTCAGTGTAATGATAATATCTCTCAGTGTAATGATAATCTTTCTCAGTGTAATGATAATATATTATCTTTTTACCCTAGGAGCAGAACACTTGATAGGTTTTGAGGTACCGTCAGACCAATGGTACTCGTATTTAGGACCCGCTGTCATTATCGAGCAGGACTCCTCAGTACAGTAGTCTTGTATAGTTCCGTACAGCATACTGAAGTTATATCAGTACTAGAGTTGTATTTTTGTGTGTTATTTTGTTATATAAATATGGAAAATAGCAACATCACTTAATATTCTCAATTATTCAATCCACCTATATTGTGCCTCATATTTGTTGTAACCAGGAGATGCTACTATTACTGAAGTGTGTTATGTGTGAGAGAGATGACTAACTTGATTTGGTTGTAGAAATCTACAGTGTTAACTGCCACCCACTCGCACAGATCCTCTCCGTCAGGTAATTTAACTGCGAGTCCCAGGTTACCCGACCCTGCAAACACAGTTAGTTAGTTATAATACACATAAACATTGAACACAGTTAGTTAGTTATAATACACATAAACACAGTTAGTTAGTTATAATACACATAAACACAGTTAGTTAGTTATAATACACATAAACACAGTTAGTTAGTTATATTACACATAAACACAGTTAGTTAGTTATAATACACATTACCACAGTTAGTTAGTTATATTACACATAAACACAGTTAGTTAGTTATAATACACATAAACATTAAACACAGTTAGTTAGTTATAATACACATAAACACAGTTAGTTAGTTATAATACACATAAACACAGTTAGTTAGTTATAATACACATAAACACAGTTAGTTAGTTATAATACACATAAACACAGTTAGTTAGTTATAATACACATAAACACAGTTAGTTAGTTATATTACACATAAACACAGTTAGTTAGTTATAATACACATAAACACAGTTAGTTAGTTATAATACACATAAACACAGTTAGTTAGTTATAATACACATAAACACAGTTAGTTAGTTATATTACACATAAACACAGTTAGTTAGTTATAATACACATAAACACAGTTAGTTAGTTATAATACACATAAACACAGTTAGTCAGTTATATTACACATAAACACAGTTAGTTAGTTATAATACACATAAACACAGTTAGTTAGTTATAATACACATAAACATTAAACACAGTTAGTTAGTTATAATACACATAAACACAGTTAGTTAGTTATAATACACATAAACACAGTTAGTTAGTTATAATACACATAAACACAGTTAGTTAGTTATAATACACATAAACACAGTTAGTTAGTTATATTACACATAAACACAGTTAGTTAGTTATAATACACATAAACATTAAACACAGTTAGTTAGTTATAATACACATAAACATTAAACACAGTTAGTTAGTTATAATACACATAAACATTAAACACAGTTAGTTAGTTATAATACACATAAACATTAAACACAGTTAGTTAGTTATAATACACATAAACATTAAACACAGTTAGTTAGTTATAATACACATAAACACAGTTAGTTAGTTATAATACACATAAACACAGTTAGTTAGTTATAATACACATAAACATTAAACACACTCAGTTATAATACACATAAACACAGTTAGTTAGTTATAATACACATTAACACAGTTAGTTAGTTATATTACACATTACCACAGTTAGTTAGTTATAATACACATAAACACAGTTAGTTAGTTATAATACACATAAACACAGTTAGTTAGTTATAATACACATAAACATTAAACACAGTTAGTTAGTTATATTACACATAAACACAGTTAGTTAGTTATAATACACATAAACACAGTTAGTTAGTTATAATACACATAAACACAGTTAGTTAGTTATAATACACATAAACACAGTTAGTTAGTTATAATACACATAAACACAGTTAGTTAGTTATAATACACATAAACACAGTTAGTTAGTTATAATACACATAAACACAGTTAGTTAGTTATAATACACATAAACACAGTTAGTTAGTTATATTACACATAAACACAGTTAGTTAGTTATAATACACATAAACACAGTTAGTTAGTTATATTACACATAAACACAGTTAGTTAGTTATATTACACATAAACACAGTTAGTTAGTTATATTACACATAAACATTAAACACAGTTAGTTAGTTATAATACACATAAACACAGTTAATTAGTTATAATACACATAAACACAGTTAGTTAGTTATATTACACATAAACATTAAACACAGTTAGTTAGTTATATTACACATAAACACAGTTAGTTAGTTATAATACACATAAACACAGTTAGTTAGTTATAATACACATAAACACAGTCAGTTAGTTATATTACACATAAACACAGTTAGTTAGTTATAATACACATAAAACACAGTTAGTTAGTTATATTACACATAAACACAGTTAGTTAGTTATATTACACATAAACACAGTTAGTTAGTTATAATACACATAAACACAGTTAGTTAGTTATAATACACATAAACACAGTTAGTTAGTTATAATACACATAAACACAGTTAGTTAGTTATAATACACATAAACACAGTTAGTTAGTTATAATACACATAAACACAGTTAGTTAGTTATAATACACATAAACACAGTTAGTTAGTTATAATACACATAAACACAGTTAGTTAGTTATAATACACATAAACACAGTTAGTTAGTTATAATACACATAAACACAGTTAGTTAGTTATATTACACATAAACACAGTTAGTTAGTTATATTACACATAAACACAGTTAGTTAGTTATAATACACATAAACACAGTTAGTTAGTTATATTACACATAAACATTAAACACAGTTAGTTAGTTATAATACACATAAACACAGTTAATTAGTTATAATACACATAAACACAGTTAGTTAGTTATATTACACATAAACATTAAACACAGTTAGTTAGTTATATTACACATAAACACAGTTAGTTAGTTATAATACACATAAACACAGTTAGTTAGTTATAATACACATAAACACAGTCAGTTAGTTATATTACACATAAACACAGTTAGTTAGTTATAATACACATAAAACACAGTTAGTTAGTTATAATACACATAAACACAGTTAATTAGTTATAATACACATAAACACAGTTAGTTAGTTATATTACACATAAACACAGTTAGTTAGTTATAATACACATAAACATTAAACACAGTTAGTTAGTTATAATACACATAAACACAGTTAGTTAGTTATAATACACATAAACACAGTTAGTTAGTTATAATACACATAAACACAGTTAGTTAGTTATAATACACATAAACACAGTTAGTTAGTTATATTACACATAAACATTAAACACAGTTAGTTAGTTATAATACACATAAACACAGTTAATTAGTTATAATACACATAAACACAGTTAGTTAGTTATATTACACATAAACATTAAACACAGTTAGTTAGTTATATTACACATAAACACAGTTAGTTAGTTATAATACACATAAACACAGTTAGTTAGTTATAATACACATAAACACAGTTAGTTAGTTATATTACACATAAACACAGTTAGTTAGTTATAATACACATAAACACAGTTAGTTAGTTATAATACACATAAACACAGTTAGTTAGTTATAATACACATAAACACAGTTAGTTAGTTATAATACACATAAACACAGTTAGTTAGTTATAATACACATAAACACAGTTAGTTAGTTATATTACACATAAACATTAAACACAGTTAGTTAGTTATAATACACATAAACACAGTTAATTAGTTATAATACACATAAACACAGTTAGTTAGTTATATTACACATAAACATTAAACACAGTTAGTTAGTTATATTACACATAAACACAGTTAGTTAGTTATAATACACATAAACACAGTTAGTTAGTTATAATACACATAAACACAGTTAGTTAGTTATATTACACATAAACACAGTTAGTTAGTTATAATACACATAAACACAGTTAGTTAGTTATATTACACATAAACACAGTTAGTTAGTTATAATACACATAAACACAGTTAGTTAGTTATAATACACATAAACACAGTTAGTTAGTAATAATACACATAAACACAGTTAGTTAGTTATATTACACATAAACACAGTTAGTTAGTTATAATACACATAAACATTAAACACAGTTAGTTAGTTATAATACACATAAACACAGTTAGTTAGTTATATTACACATAAACATTAAACACAGTTAGTTAGTTATAATACACATAAACACAGTTAATTAGTTATAATACACATAAACACAGTTAGTTAGTTATATTACACATAAACATTAAACACAGTTAGTTAGTTATATTACACATAAACACAGTTAGCTATAACCAACATTTTACATTTTCAGGTAGTCCCCCAGCATAGCTGAACTGTGTTTTATTTGTTAATGTTCTAAGAAGTTCAGTATTTTAAGCTAAAGAAGATTCTGCAAAATGTTAATGTAGTTTTACTCGCCTAATGTAGCCTCAGCATAATCTTTTAGATGTTGGGCTCCGTCCGGTAGGTTCTTTTTGGGTTTAAATGTTTTCTGATAGGAGGACTTACCAAAAAGGAAATTCATGACTACCTGGAAATTGAAGATAATATCTGTTTTGAGTTTTTCTTCATTATAATATATAATAATAACAATAATATAACTAAAGATTTATAACAGTGGGGGTAGCAGGTCGTTTCAAAATTGTATTTTACTTAAATTGTATTTTACTTATATTTAGCTCAGCCACGATCTGTTGAGCTTGCAGGACTGAAAGTCCTTGCAAAGCAGGTCTGGCTTTAATTGTAAGGTGCAGGTCGACTTAACCCCAGGGATAGCACCAAACCAATATTCTAGCCATACAACATCTCTATACATATATATATAACTCCAGTTAGTCACTGTAACTGCCTGATTTCTAGCTATACAAAATCTCTATACATACCACAGTTACCTCGAGCTCTACAAGATAATGAAATTCCGTGCTCCAATATCCCTACATGAGGGTTACACATGTTCGTCAAGGAAACCCTGCCTTCTAATCTGTCAGGCAGACCCACCTGACAATCACAACACTAGATCAACCAATATTTTCAACATTTTAACCCCAAAGTTCAGAATGACTGACTTTACTACTAGTGTAATGTGCTTGCGAGGTAAGCTAAAACGTGCTCTATTAGCTAATCAACATAACCACGCCCTGCTTGATTGGACCATAAAAGATTTTGACTGCGCAAATGTTACTTTCCAAACATTATAACTGGCTGGTCACACACATCTCAATTAAATTACCCTAGGCTACTGTTTTCCAAGTCTTGTCCTATGAGTAAAGTATGTGTGAGAAAGTTTTAATAAAATGAATGTATATTTTTGAATTTTTTAAATTTAATTTGAGAATGAAGTATAAAGAAATTTTTAATTAGCACTGTATAGTTTAAGATATTTATAGCTTATTATAACCATTGATACAAAGGCCATAATCTCTCGCCAGCTCTCCAATATCCACATTGAAGCTGCATCTTATATCCTTGAACTACACAATCTTACTATATATAAAGCGAGACGATATATATATATTTATCTGTGCCATTTTACTGACACCACGGCATCAACTTTAACGCGAATTTCTTCAAAAACCGTCAAAGATATACAACTGAATCTTTTTTGACTGGGTCAAATGCTTTAATGGCCTCCAAATCAGCATGAAAAAATAAAAAATAGGCCAAGAAATAGGAGCTTTAGAGCCCAAAATTTGGTACCCAAAGTGGTGTCAAAAACGCGAATTAAATAGGTAATAATTGTTTTAGTCTCTTCAGTCTTGACACCATTTTAGGGTTAGACGGGTTCCTGCTAGTATAAACTAAAGCATGTTATAGTGTAGACTTTTTGTCACAACATTATTATTATTAAATCTAAAATAGCTAATAATTTAATAAATTATTAACAGGCCCCTTAACGTGGGCAATAATATACGCTTTATGTCACAACAAGACTGCAACCTATAGTAAAAACTATAAACTGAACCCCTAATGTCTGCTAACAATTTTTCTTCTAGTCCTAATGTGAGCCTTGTCTCTAAAGTAAAGTAAAGTAAAGTAAAATTTATGACATCACATCATCACACATGTCTACAAACTATCATCGCACTGTGTGAAAAAATATATAATAAATATTTCCCCACCAACATTAATTAATTATCAAATACAATATTTAAAAACAATTTCATCAAAAACATTATCCTATTTTAAAAACTTCCCAGTGGAATAAAGATTTATAAAACGCTTCTTTGCCACATAAGGATGGAACCAAAGATAATTGTTATGTTTCTCTTTATTACTGACATAACTGGCTCCCTCAATTCTTACTAAAACTTCATTAGAACACATTCTCTAGCGTTTCGGTGTGTGCAAAAGCTTCCAGGCATGCGCATTCCTTGCCCCGTTAGTTACCTGTCCTTCCAAAACCAAAGCAGTCAAGGACAAAAAGCCATACACCAAACAATATACACATAATATAACAATTACCCTATATAAAAATTCAATATAAATTCAATAGAAAACTAAATAAAATTTATAAACACCCTTTAAGTAGTATAAGTAAGCCAGTTTAAAGAATGGGCATTAGTGAAACAAATTTAGTAAAACAAATTTAAAATTTTATCCTTTATTTTACAATCATAATATAATAATATTTATAAGCCTCCGTTTTGAAAGTTTTAAATTTTAATATATTCACATTTCTATTTAAAATTCAATTTAATGTATAAGTCAATAACTGGCCGCCAAAGCCGCGCATTCTTAAAAACATGATTAAATTGTTTATGATTATACGACAAATAGAAATAAATTTAAAATTATCCGTGGTTTTTTTAAAAAAATAAATTATAATCTTACCTAAATCCAAAGCCAGCTTTGTAAAATTTACTTTTAGATCAAAATATATCGTCAATTCTAAATATTTACAATGCAACATTTCATTAATTTACATACAAGCGTACTCCAGCCCCTGCACGCATCCGTTCTTATGCGGCGCGGCTCAAGCCGCGCACGCACGTATTATTTTATACTTTTTGCTTTCTAATAAATATCGTGTCAATGTGTACGTCTAAATGTTCATGCTTTGTGTAAACCGAATCCAATTGAGATTAGTGACAAGGATAAGGACCCAAGTGCCTGTACGGCTTTTTCGGACCCCTGTGGACCACTACTCTTGAAGTCGCTCTACAACTATTGAACATTTATAACTGTTATATAATATATAACGACATTTGACAATTATTATCATTAATCTATAATCTAGCTGTCTTGCTGAGGGGGAGGAGTAAACGCTTCACAAACTAAAGTGCTTACAACATACAAAATTTAAAACCATCAACACGGTTATAGTTCATATCAAGGGCCAATTTGGTATACCTCTATTTCGTTGTAATATCTAGTATATCTTCACATCTTAATACTATAATGAAATACAATAGGATACATGTTTCGAGAAAGAAAGGCTGGTCCGATTATTAACAAAAGTAAACAAAAGTCCATCAGGGACTCCACGGAGTCGAAAAAGGTACACGGCTGCTGTCTGGTGCTGCTAGGCATTTATTGATCAAGATGTTTTATTGTATTGGTTTTTGATGATTCTATTGTTCGTGACTAATCAAGTTCTAAGTGGGGGTATAAAGTGCTGCTTAAGATACTTCGTCATCTCATGTCCAGTATAATGAATAAGATAGTAAACAATATAGTTTCAGTAGTTGACCCATACAGTTAAGTCCGTCATAACTCACAATTGTTTAGTCATCTGTCAATTGTCAAAGTCGTTGTGTGTTTAGTCGCTGAGATGTGACAATGAAAACGCTACAGAATTATTGTTTTCGCGCGTTACGTAGAATTTACTAGTGTGTAATACTGGTTAACACTGGGTGTACACTGAGTGTAAGTCGCTAAGTTTCATATACGAGCCGAATATTTCTAATTTTGAGTGTATCGTGAGCATGTTTTACAGTGCAATTGTTCGGTACTAGTGTGTTTGTGTGTATATATAAATATATCATCTGTGGAGTATGGTGTGTGGACTGTGGTAAATAATGTGTTTAGTTGGAGTGCAGTGGTTGCATGTATGAGGAAAGATAAGTGGTTATTTTAGTAACTCACATTAATCAAAACTTGAGCTTATTCGTGGCAAAATTAAGCTCACACCAATCAAGTGTATCATGCTTGAATTGCAATTCTTGTAAAGCAATTTTCAATGTATTCTTAAACCCGTTTGTCGGAGTATTGATGATGATGAAAATCTAAATATTATAGGCTACAATGAGCATTTTAGTAACAAATAGTATGAAAGATCTGAAATTTAAAAAATAAAAACCCTAAAAATATTTACACCCCAAGTTAAAAATATAGTGAAACAAATTTTAGTGAAACAAATTTAAAATTTTATCCTTTATTTTACAATCATAATATAATAATATTTATAAGCCTCCGTTTTGAAAGTTTTAAATTTTAATACATTCACATTTCTATTTAAAATTCAATTTTATGTACAAGTCAATAACTGGCCGCCAAAGCCGCGCATTCTTGAAAACAGGATTAACTTGATTATAGTTATACGACTATGTAAATTAAAAACTATCCGTGGTTTTTTCTTTTAAGTAAATAAATTATAATTTTACCTAAGTCCAAAGCCAGCTTTGAAAAATTTACTATTAAATCATAATATATCGTCAACTTTAAATATTCACAATGCAACAATTCATTAATCTGTAAACACGCGTACTCCAGCCCCTAAACGCATAAATTGTTATGCGGCGCGGCTCAAGCCGCGCACGCACGTATTATTTTATACTGTTTGCTTTCTAATAAATATCGTGCCAATGTGTACGTCTAAATTGTAAACGTTCATGTTTTGTGTAAAGTGAATCCAATTGGGACTAGTGACAAGGATAAGGACCCAAGTGCCTGTACGGCTTTTTCGGGCCCCTGTGGACCACTACTCTTGAAATCACTCTACAACATTGAACATCTATATCTACTACGTCATTTGGCAATTATTGTCATTAATCTAACTTTCTAATTAATTTCCGAGGGGGAAGAGTAAACGCTTCACATTAAAAAATAAAGTATAAATACTTTATTTTTAAAAACACTATCAAATAAGGTGGTTGATCAGTCACTTGTGTCATTACGACGACGTCGTTATATCAAGTCAAAATATTCCCCAAAATAATTTAAAGACGATTCCCGATCAAAAACGTTTTTGGTAGAAAAAGTTTTTCGAGTTACATAAATATCAATGGAGATGCAATTTTATAGATAAAATCAATAAAGCTTAAAAGTGAAGCCCAAAACAAAGTAACACACCCAAAAATGGTTGAGATGTGATACATCCAAGCAGTCTAAGTCGACAATAATATCATGTGAGTTAATATCATTCTCTCTTTGAATCACACCTAGGTTATGCTATTTCTGTCTGGGGAGGTATTCCCAATAATCAGTTAAAACCACTATTTATTACTCAAAAGAAGTGTATCAGGATTCTATTTGGAGACTATGAAACTTATGTAGACAAATTCAAGACATGTGCTAGAGCAAGACCAATTAATTCTCAACGTCTAGGATCTGAATTCTATGTTAAAGAGTCCACTAAGCCTCTATTCA